GTGACGACACGTACGGCGAGAATACAACCCGGAGTAGTTGCCTCATGCTAACGTGCTCGGCAATTATATAATTCCACTTCCAATTTGTGGTGTCTGTGAAGGTGCTGAAGGAGCCAAATTGTCTTTTTCCTAATCTCGCTTCGTAATTTCCTCTCTTCCCCTCCTTTCCTGTTCCCCTCTCCCCTTCCTTTCTCTCCCCCTAGCTCGCTCCGAGTTTTTCCCCTACCTCTTACCTCACTCCAACTTTTAGTCTTTTAGTTTTGAGCCACAAAGTTCCCTCGCGTGTCCTTGTACTGAGCAAAAGTTCTTGTCCATCTCGACGGTGTCATTGCTCCTGTAATTAGAAGCCTATCACGTTTCCCGCAACTTGTGACCACAGATTGTCTCGTTTATGATTGCCCCAAGTGGTACAGTGAAAGTGAGAAAGGTGTGGAACAGCACGTGGGTATAAAAGGAGACGTAATAGAATCTTCCCAAAGAAATGAGCGTGGCATGTTGTTGTAGCACCAGTGCCTAATGGTCCGCGGTAGCTGTGTAGTGTTTTGTATCAGCCTTACTCTAAAGTGCATTTTTACCAACACACGTGTGTCCGGGTTGTAAGGATAGGGTGACACCACAGTGACATGTAACTCTTTACACCCTCACTTTCTCCAATAAATCCCATTTTACTCCTCCTCATACTCCCCCCTCTCCCCTTCCTTTCTCTTTCTCTCCTTCCCTCCCTATTTCCCCTCTCCCCTTCTCCCTCCCTCTTCCCCTCTCCTCTCCCCCTCTGTTCTTTTTCAGGTTGAGGAAGAAGGAAGGAGATCGGTACATCAGGACGGTCCGCTACGCACCCGTCAGTCAGAGAGAGGTTAGCCAATGGTTCATGTGAACCCACAGTCCTTTTGCCAATCTCTACAGCGTCTCTTTGGCTGGGCCAGGCTTTTGGGTGATTACTTGCAAATTATGTCCCTATTTCTGATAGTTGGTTCACAAAAGACGCGGCAAATGATGCGATTTAACCTCCTCCTCCTCCCCCCTCCTTCCTCTCCCCCTCCTCCCCCCTCTCTTACAGTCTGAAGACGAGAGAGGTGTGTTCCGAAAGCGGCCATTGCTAGGATCACACGGACTAGCTTACGACGCAGCACCTCGATATACTCCCAGCGTCTCTAATACTCAAACGTAAGCTGCAGAGAGGGACTTAAATTTTGAAGAGGGATAAACGTATTTTGTGTGAACTGCATTCTATATAGACAGCGAGATAAAAATGGTTTTTTTACTTGTGTTGTCGTGCTTTAAATGAAATTCAGGTGTCAAGTGTGTCTCTGTGTGTGTGTGTGTGTGTTATTGGGGATGGGGTGATCATTCCATGTTGGCATTTCATGGCCAGTGAGCTGATTAATTGAAGAATGTCATAGAGTAGTAACCCCCTTAGGTGTGTGTTGGCAATTTGTTCGTCTGGTTGCCACGGACCGCACAACCAGCCAACCAATCACCTCTAATTGGCGGGAGGCGCTTGTTTTGACGTGTCTTCCCCCTGACCCGGACAATGCTGTTGTGAACGCAAAACTTTTCATTATTCCTTGCTGTCTTGCTCTTTCGGATCTCTGACCAGTGTTGGTGGGTTTTGTGGTTTGGATACTGAAGCAGTTGGTTTGAGTGGGGCTGTGTGAAAGTATGAAATCCTCTCACCAAACAATGGCTCTCTGTAGAACCCCTTTACACTCTGTTTTTACTCACTTTTGTTTTCACTCTTTCCCACTTCCTTTATCCTTCTCTTTTCTCCCCCTCCCCTCCTTTCTCCTCTCTCTCTCTCTCTCCCCCTCTTCCCCCCTCTCCTCCCCCTATTCCTCTTTCTCCCACCTCCCCTCCTCTCACCCCCAGTGCCACGGTACCAGTTAGCCCCCACATGGACATAACAGCTGGGCACCTCCTACTAGTGAGTGCGAACAAAAATCACAACACTCACACTATACACACTTAACAAGTCACGCAAGAAGACGTGTTAACTCCATATGTAACACCTTCTTCCTAGTTATGGTATCAGATGTACACACAGTCCCTCCTTACTGACTCTAAGTCACTTCCTCTTTCTTACCAACACTTCTGTTGCCGTAGGTTACTTACACCATACACTACTGCCTTTGGTAACTCACCCTACGCAGCTCACCATCTTTTCCCTTTGGTAAAGTTTACTAAGGTCCGATATACTACTGCTTAAGCAACACTCTTCTCCACATTTGGTCATAATCCGTTCTGTTAGTTGCACAACGATCCGCAGTATAGAAACTCAAAAAGCCTTATATGTTGATTTGTGTGACTCTCACAGTTACGTGACGCCGTAGGAACTCTTTAAGGCGCAGTTTCAGGTTCTTATTATCCAGTTTCTTTTCCCCTGTGGTGAAATAAGATCCGTGTGAATGGATTTGTGGTTTTAAAACATGCAGCTCTAGTTACTGGGTTACTTTGTATGTCATTGCGAATGGATTCTTTCATAGTTCATAGTTTTTGTATGATGTATATACTTACCGCTCATCTCTCTCCCTCTCTCTCTCCCTCTCTCTCTCCCTCCCTCTCTTCCTCTCTCCCTCTCTCTCTCCCTCCCTCTCTCCCTCCCTCTCTTCCTCTCTCCCTCTCTCTCTCCCTCCCTCTCTCCCTCCCTCTCTTCCTCTCTCCCTCTCTCTCTCCCTCTCTCTCTCCCTCCCTCTTTTCCTCCCTCTCTTCCTCTCTTCCTCGCTCCCTCCCTCTCTCCCTTCCTCTCTCCCTCTCTTCCTCTCTCTCTCCCTCTCTTCCTCTCTTCCTCGCTCCCTCCCTCTCTCCCTCTCTTCCTCTCTCCCTCTCTTCCTCTCTCTCTCCCTCTCTTCCTCTCTTCCTCTCTCCCTCTCTCCCTCACTCAGTCATACATAGAGGAGAATTTGAAGAACAGACACAAACTGCGCCAGGAATGGGAGGTACTGATTTCCTGATTTACGCAGTAATTAATTAATGTCCATGGGCAATATGGCCTTTCAATTTCAGGGCCTTGTTGCCTGGGCAACTATATAGTGTTGTATCCCATAAGAACGAAACAGAAATTACTATCATTTTGTCAGTTTGTTTTTGTGTGTGAGGATGAACAGGAAAACATGTTGACTATAAAACTTCCCCTGGTATGCTTAGTATACCTTTGAGAGAAAAGCTGTCTTCTATCCAGTTATGTACACCATAGATATTAGGTTGGGAATGGAAGAGAGGGCTTAAAAATCTTTTCCTCCCTATAGGCTGGTGAGCTAGGAGCCTCAAAAGCTTCTAGAACATTCCTTGTCTGTAATGGTGTACATTAGGCTCTTTTACTAGTGATACCTAAGACCTTTATACATTAGGCCTGAGGATAACACAAAGCTATTCTGTGTATACAGCTTCTTTTGGCATGGGAAGGAGAAATCCTGCAAAATCTTCTAGAACTTTCCCCGTCATTTTGTGTGGGTTGGCAATGAAACACTGTGGGGTCTTTGTAGAGTGATATTATGCTAGGGGGGGGCCTTAGGGGGGGGCCTTAGGGAGGGAGTTTAGAGGGAAGGGCCAGGCTATTGGTTGGTGAATGGAGGGCACCCCCCAGCAATTCAGGTCTGTGTAGTGGTGGTTTGTATCATCCTCTACCTTCTTGAAAGGCTGGCTTGAAAGGCTGTCAATAAACAAGGAAAGGAAGGCAAAAGCAGCTTGAGGATGTAATAGCTAGCATGCAAGCTCTCCTTAATAGAGAGGTGTCGTTTATTCAGAGGTCGTTTTTCAGATGTTTTACCCTAAAAACTGACAGTTGGATGTGCATGCACAAAGTTGCATTGTTTTTGAATTTTTACTTGATGATGTACGGTTCAACTTGGCACGTTATAGGCTAGACTTGTGTATCGTTTTTTTGTAGTTAGCTCGTGCCCGTAGCTCGTCTAATTGACACTAATAAAATATCTAGACCCCTAGCTCCTGGGCATGTTATGTGACAGTATTCACGTGCCGATATTGACTGGATTAGGAGAAGCGGCAGCCGGAGTCTGGGGGTTAAATTTAGCGGATTAGGGGCGAGGTAGTTGGAAGGCCTCCGGCGAGAGCAGCCGATTTTCCTAGAAATCGTTTCCAACAGAACAAAGGGCGGGTATTACTGGGGCATAAGTGGTGCTGTGTTGCACCAACAACCTAACATGGAATATTCCCAATGCCCATTGGGCTATGTGCTGGAGTCTGTTTGTATATCACACACTACTGGGGACTTTGGCGGGCCAGCCAGTCAGCTGCTCTCTCTCTCTCTCTGTGTGTGTTGTGTGGTAGTCTTGGCTATACCTAGACGCCGCCGCGGTGTCGGCTAGCCGGGCCCCGTGTACCTGACGACGTCGTTCCATTTTACAGCTTGTTTTCATGTTTTTTGTTAGAGACGGGACGGAGGGGAGGGAGAGGGAGCAGTAACGTTTACTACGTTAGTGTTTTAGACGTGCAAAAGTTTGCCAAGACCAGCTCGTTTTGGTTGTTAGGGAGGGAGAGGAAAGAAGTGAGTGAGTGACGTTTCAAAGACGGCCAGCAGAAGTGCAGAATTTCACTCAAATCTCGATATAAACATTCCCATGCCTCTGCTGAGTCTCGCTCTATGCAAATAGACCAGTCTTGCACACTCACTCACTACCACATTTGCATGCACGTCTGTCACCCCAGCAGTTATCACGACAGTAATCGTGACTACTCACCCCTGCGTGCATAATGTTGCAGAAATGCAGTATATATAGCCTCTAGGCCATTGCATAAGCTGGTGAGATGTACAGGTATGCATGGTGTGATTCATGCATTAGGACTGAGAATGCTCACATGGGCATTGCTAATGTGTACAGCCCTGGTGAGTGGGAGAGAGGAGGCCATGTTGGTAGTTCAAGGAAAGCCCTATTGTTCTAGGGGCATTCCTTGTCAATGTTTGCCAGCCGTGTATACATGCCAGCTATATGGGACGCTCACAGGAAGTATGCATGGCATCCACTGCCTGTTGCTGACAGGAGGGGTTGCCTTGGTAACGGCCTGGGAAAGCAGTGAAGTCAGTGTGTCCAGGGCTGGCTTCCTCTCTCCCACTCCTATAGTGGATTATGTATATACCACTGGTTGTGTGTGGGCCTTCCAGTGTGTGAGCTGTGTAAGCTTCATGGCTGAGTTGTGTACGTGGAACAGCTTCCTCCTTTGAAGAGATGTGAGGTGTTAGTCAGTCATGCTATTTACTTGCACTCATCCTCCTCCTCCTCCTCCTCCTCCTCCTCCTCGCCCTACTGCAGAGTCTCCAGTCATACATCCCCGAAGGTTGCACGACAAAAGTTGCAACGCTGCAAGAGAACAAGTCAAAGAACCGATACCCAGATGCCCTTCCATGTAAATCCTTACCCTCCTGTCTTTCACCTTCTTCCCCCCTCCCCTCCCCTCTCCCCCTTCCCCCCCTATCCAGCAAGGCCAATTAGTACCCAGTTATGACAGCTATGCCACTCACTACACTGCACACTCCCCCCCATGCCCTGACAAACACAATAACTCTACCCTAATTAAATTACCCCTGGTGGGATCCCTAGGCATGCTGATTGGATTGCTGTGTAACTTAACCCCTGGCTACCCTGCTTTGTTTAACCGCTAGATGACCAGAACAGGGTGAAACTGGACCCTACAAAGAGCGTGACGGGATCGGACTACATTAATGCCAGCTACATCGTGAGCTCATATCTTGAATTTCTCGTTGTTTGCCACGCGTAAAATCAGCTGCATCATATTGTGTTGAGGGCAAAGGACACCCTTGAAATGAAACATACCTTCTTTCTCCCCAAGAACACTAACAGGTCTTTCCCAAGAAAGGTTGTTAGGACACCTCACTGACATTGTTCCATCAGTGTCCAGATCAGAGAGAGGTTCCACTGTATTAATGTCGACTCCCGCATGCTATCTACTACTGTAGCTAGCCCGTGTCAGACTCTTCACGAGCTACTCCACGAGTAAATGCATACTACAAATAGCCCAGCCCATTAATTAGCGGTACCGCGCATGCGCAGTTCGCCGAGGGTTTGCACTTTAGTGCTTTTCATTCCATCAGTGTCCAGATCAGAGAGGGGTTCCACTGTATTACTGTTCTCCCTCTCTGCCAGGTCGACGTGGACCCACATCATCCTCGCTACATTGCAACCCAGGGGCCCCTTAGCAACACCATCGACGATTTCTGGCAGGTTATCATTATCACCACTCATTTCTCTCCTCTCTTCTTCTTCTTCTTCTTCTTTTTCTTCTCTCTTTCTAAGGACACCCCTGAAATGAGGACACCTCTCTAAGAAACAGGACACCTCACTGATATGGACACTTTCTTCTGTCCCATTGGTGTCTAAGATTTGAGCGGTTCCACTGTATAATGCTCAGGACACCTCACTAATATGGACACTTTCTTCTGTCCCATTGGTGTCTAGATTTGAGCCGGCCCTACTGATATGGACACTTTCTTCTGTCCCATTGGTGTCTAAGATTTGAGCGGTTCCACTGTATAATGCTCAGGACACCTCACTGATATGGACACTTTCTTCTGTCCCATTGGTGTCTAAGATTAGAGAGGTTCCACTGTATAATGCTCAGGACACCTCACTGATATGGACACTTTCTTCTGTCCCATTGGTGTCTAAGATTAGAGAGGTTCCACTGTATGTATTTCTCAATCTGTCTGGCAGGGTGTGTCCACTATAAGTGTTCCCTGAATGCAAACTGGTCATTGGGTCAAGGCTTCACTCAAAGACTACTCTCACAGGGTGTCTATAGGAAACCCCTGGCCCCTGGTTTCAGTTGTCTCGGAGCAGTACCTATCGAGTCAGGCCTGGCTGTTAGATCACAACACGTTTCAATACATTACATCACTCTTACACTTATTGCATCACATAGTCGCTAGTGTGTACGTCTTTTCTCCTCTCCTCTCTCCTCTCCCCTTGTCCTTCCTTCCGTCTGTCTCTCCTTCCTCCATTCCCTTCTCCCTTCCCTTCTTCTCTCTATCCCCTCCATACTAAGCAGAAGTAATAACAATGACCTCATCATTATGTCATCTGCTCTGACTTATTTTGTTTACGTGTTATGTAAACAATCCCAGACTGTGATACAGTGCAGTGCCACTGAAATTTAACCTCTCTGTCCAAGGTTAATGTTGGAATGTCCGGGTGCAGCTATGACCTCAAAAAGGGGTTAATGCAATAATTGACGGAATTCTCTGGAAGCAGGAAATATGCTTCCGAGAGAGAAAAATTTTAGCCCCCATGTGCAAAATTTTGGCAAAGGGGATGTATTTATGCACCTGAACCCTCTCTCATAGATGGTGTGGGAGCGGAACATCACGGCCATTGTAATGTTGACACCAGTCACAGATATGGGCCTTGTGAGTGTACGCTAAATATAGCCACATGATGTAATGTTACCGAATATAGACACCACCATGACATCATGTGTAATTTTATGTAAATGATGCCATTGTCATGTGGCCTAAAACCAACTGATTGATACCTGTCCATATAAAGAAATGGAAAAGGCTGGCCGTAATTGGTTGCTATGATATCAGAGGTGGGAACAGGAATGGTGTACATTTAAGGGGCATGCAGGACAGGAAGTGAGATAGGGGAAACAGACTGGCTGGCACCAGAGTGTCTGCTGACTGATCACATGTGGGTCATGTGGCAAAACAGGTGACCAGACACAGTATATAGACACTGAAGACTTAGAATTTGGCACTCAGGGAATCCCACTTGTACGGTATTTTCTACATGCTATAGACTTGCACTAGGTAGCACGGAACTATTAGTATATGGATGTGTGTATGAAGAAAACTAATGGTGTGGGATTCTTGAATGAAAACTGGTCTTCTTCTTTCATTTTCAGAGTCAGTCCAGTCAGTATTGGGCGAGCAACGGAGTGGCTACTTACAATATATATGAGGTAAGGGAATGGGTGGAGGAGAGGGAGAGGGTGTGGAAGGGGAGAGGGGGGAAGGGGGAAGAAGTGAGGGAGGAGAGGGAGCGTGAGAGGCTGTGGCCTCTGTTTGCTGACCTAGAATTATCACCCTCTTAGAGGTCTTGCCTGCCACCTATCGACACATCAACGCACCCACTGAGCCACCCTTTCAGCAGCGTAATAGTGTCCCACCAACAGCTATAGACATACACTGAAACCTCTGAATAAAGAAACACTTTTTGGGACACCTGAAGTTCATAGGTGTCCCTTATTTGGAGATATAGTACTACTGGGGCAGAACCAAGCGTCCTTTATGGAGAGGGTCCCTTGTTTTGTTATGCTCTGAAGGGAAGTAGCTCTCGTTGCAGGACGCGAGTATACACGCGGAGAGTGGTGGACGGTCCTTTGTTAGAGGTTTCACTGCCTTACCTTAAAACTGAATGCAGTGCAGTTTTGATGAGTGAGTGAAAGCGACCTACATGGTATGAAGATTTGAACTACTCCACGTGATTTTCGCCTGTAGTGTGACAGGAGATAGGAGAAACCAATGCCTTTTAGACGTCGAGGTTGGCGTACTTTGCTCATCAACAAAGGAATACGAGGTTTTATTTTTGTTTTTGTATGTACATGCGTACTTCACACACGCATGCAGCTGCCCGGCATGCGATGGTTACGTAACGGAACTGACTCGGACTACGGATGGTTTTGGCTAACTGCATTTGCTGCCGCGTTTCATTACACAGTTACTTGACTCCCTTTCATACTGTGAGGTCCGGCACGCAAAGACTATAAGTTTAGGATGACACAGACAAAGTAGCTTTCTGATTGCTTTTAAGTTTAAGATAGACAACCTACCTTTCTGGTTGTTTTTAACACTATATACAAATTTCTTCAACCCACAGGATTTCAAGGAGAGAACTTAACCTTGGTTTGCTCAAAAAATAGAATTTTTCTCGCAGGTAGTGGTGGACATCAGAGGATAACACGTTTAACTTCCCCCCACACACAGACCAGCTAAACTGGTTGGCTTTCCTTGGAAGATGGCTGCTTGAAGCTATAGCGGGTCCTTAGGTATAATACTGTGGTATGATGAAGCCCTGTGAACAGTCTTCTTGTATGCCACCTGGAGCTCTGGCGGGCAGCGTTGCCGTTGTAATGGCAAGCTTTCAAAGTAATTAGACACCAAAGTTCCCAAGGGCTTTGTACACATTGGACCTTTTACCCGCATTTGTGCCTGGCCATGCGGAAACTGCGCAGTGAGGGCACTTAGTAAACTCCGTTTGTAAACACGTCCATGTGTGCTAACGAGATAATCATAATAATGTAGGTATGAATCAACAATATCAAAGGCTTTCCCATATGTTTTCCTCTCTGCGATGAAGGGGGCTAGATTTGTGCTTCCCCTCAAAGGGGGTCTTGTAACACCTCATTGATGTAGATAGACAGCTGCAGGTGGTGCCAAGAGAGAGTGACACCTGCAGTCTATGGTGGTTGGTTCTCCCTCCTCTTATCCTGTCCTATTCAAGGCAGTGTTGGACAGCTGGTGTTGTGCTGTTGAAAGACACAATGTGTATTAATTTCTGACCTTTGAACCCAGGTACGTCTGGTCTCGGAGCACCCTCACTCTGATGATTACATCATCCGCAGTTTCTATCTCCAGAACAGCCAGGTCCGTGGTCCCATTCCCATTCCCCTGTTCCAATTCCACTCTCCTCTTCAGACGCGAGAGTCTCGAACGGTGACCCACTTTCAGTACCTCACGTGGACGTCTCTCGGAGCCCCGCCCACTGCCACGCCCCTCCTTGAGTTCAGGAGGAAGGTCAACAAAGCGTGCAGTAACCCAAAGACTCCTCTGCTGGTCCACTGCAGTGGAGGGGTTGGCCGTACCGGCACATACATGCTCATCGACATGGCACTCTCACGGATACAGTCAGGTGGGCGTGGCTTCGTGAAGTGGGCGTGGCAATAGCCTGTGATATTATTGGGAGATTAAGATAACCCAAAATCTTCAGTGCTTTGTGCAATGCCTGTTATAATAGTGCAGACCAGTATTCTTAAATTTTATGGTGGCTCTTTACTCTATCAGGTGCTAAAGAGATCAATTTGGCAGCTTCAGTTGAGTATCTTCGAGATCACCGACCTCATATGGTCAAGACCAAGGTATAATCACCCCGTTCCTCTTACCAATTTATCTCCTACCATTAATTAACCCTACTCCTCCTACCATTAAAACCCTATTCCTCCTACCAATTTTAACTCCATCTCACCTGCCCACAGCTGCAGTTTGAATTTGCTCTGTCGGCTCTCGTTGAAGAGACTCATGCCATGTTGGACGCTGCCAGGCAACGGGCCATGCACTAACTACCATATACCACACCATTATCATATTATACACCCACTAGTACAAGTATCATTTTATACATGACATCATAATTATGTCATAAGAAACAGTGATCGAGCTCTAAGATTTAAAACCACAGTGGATGTCAGAATTTTACATCACATTACTTTTGAGTCTAACAATAGCAACCCTATATAATTATACCTTGCACTAAGAACAATATCTGCCCGCACCTGGTCACCCATCATTTTTTGTACCACCTTTTTTGAGAGTCAAAACTAATTGTATAATAATTATACCGTGGTGTAATTTTGAATCATGTTTTATGGTACAAGTGGATGTTGAAAAATTAATAACCCTGGCCTAATTATTGAAGCTACATGAAGTCGTCAAAATCAGCTCCGAGATCGTCGTCGTAGTTCATGTCGACCCTCTTCGAACCTTTCCCGACACTACCGAGGACCACCTTCCCTCCTTTCTTCTTCTTCGTGTGAGGTTGCTGTGGGGAAGACAAAGACAGTCACTACTGCTGCACCACGCGCTCCAGTCACGTGCTCTGCTAGCATCATTGCAGTGTTGAGAGGAAGGCCTCGAAACGAGGCTAACTCTTGCATATATATGTATTATGTACCTTTAGTTTTTGTTTCTCCGTTGCCATGGCGCCTATTGCACTACTGAGTCTTCGTAGGTCTTCTACATCCACTGCAAGCGAGAGAGAGAAAGAGAGAGAGGGAGAGAGAGATTGACAGGTGTAAAACTTCAAAGTGCATTTGTTTTCGAAAATTGCATGTTATGCGCCAACTCACAGGGTGTGCAGACGGATCGAAAGAGGCCTTCTAGAAATGTTGTGTAGTGAGTGCTTGCCTGCAAAGAAAGGAAATCGGGAGGAGAGATGTTATTATAGAGAGGGAGAGAGAGGTGAGATGTGAGATAGGGAAAGGAAGAAGTGGACAGAAGAGAGATAAGGATTGGGGAAAAGAGTGGAAGGAAGAGAGCGGAAGAAGACGGAAGTAGGAGAGATAGTCTCCAATGTCTCAGGGCTTGCCTCAAACTCGGTGATCTTTTTTGAGAGGGCAGATCTGAATTCCTCGAATTCCTCGGGGGTCTTGGGGTTCATTCTCTCCAGGTGATCTCCGCTTCCGGCCACTGACACTCCAAAGAGCTCCTTGGCAGACTCCAGATCCGCTTCCCTCTGAGCCTCCTCCACTTTTCGTTTCTCCTCCAGTTGCTCCTCGGCCGAAACGGACTCTGGCTCCTTACTCTCGGTGGCCACCTTGCCCTTCTGTTCCTCATCTCGCCTCTTTGCCTTCTTCTCCTCTATCCTCTCCGCTTTGCTCTTCTTCGCCACCGCCACAGCTGGAGAGAGAGAGAGAGAATTTCGAGGCTTGCGATGGAGATTTCGCGAACTCACGTTTCAGTTTTGGGTCTTGCTTGTCATCCTCGATGACTAGCCCCTCGTCCTCTCCCTCCCACACGTCTCCCCCCTCCTCCGAGGGTTTCACGAACCCCGCCTCGGGGTTGAAATCGTCGGCATCTGTGGTGTACCGAACAGAGAAACTTGGCCAGTTTATCACCTCGCTCCACCTCATTTCTTCAGTTGAAAAGGGAGTCTTTCCGTGTAACTAGACAACTAGCCTACCCCTTAATTCTCTCTCACTCTCTCACCGTCTCCCACTTACCCCAGGCGTCTTCTCCGTCTGACATGCTTCCTAGTGCTCCTCTCTACGAACTTCGAACTCTCGGTTAAAACTATCCCCGCCCACTTCTCGTATGCGCATGCGTGTCACGGTAATCACAAGAGCAGATCGACAAGCTAGCGTTTTGTCTGTGGAGCTTTGAGGTGAAAAAGTGCCAGTGTCGCCATGGTGGAACAGCCATACGGTAATTTGCTGATCTTCCCTCATGTTTCTAGTAGAACACAGGGACTGAAAGCGTTGAGCGAATGTCGCCATGCGTCAAATTTGTTCCGCCCCCTTTCGCGGGGTTTTTGAGCCTCTGTTTTTCTCCCCTCAGCCACCATCAGGAGCACCCTGGCCTCGGGGGTGGAGTACGACCAGTACTGGGTGAGTCTGAGAGCGCCGCTGGCGACAGGGCCGCCCGGCCTCATTTAGTATTTGACCACGCCTTCCCCCTCTCTCTCTTTAGGAAAGGGCGGAGCAAGAGTACCTACAGCACGTCGTCACTCAACTAGAGTCGGAGAGAAAGGAGACGGCCGAAAAGTACAGCAAACGCCGTCGTGAGGTGATCTGGATGGAAGTCATGAACGAACGCATCGACCAGGGCGGCCACTATCTCAACTCTTTCACAGTCGCCACCAACAAGAAGAAGGGCTTCTTTTATTCCTGGCTGTACCTCTACATGTTCTCAATCGCCTACGATGAACTTATGAAACTAGCATGATTAACTCTACACGCCATTGGCTAATTTTTAGATACCACACTTACGTGTGTATTGTGTATATATACCCCAGTTGTTGGTTTTATCAACTTTCAATTGTGCAATGATAACATTTACATACCTTATGGAAATGAGGGTTGGGACAGGTGACACAAAAGGACAGGTTTAATATATATAATAGAGACAGGAACACAGGAGTAAAATATATAGTTTGTGCAAAAATGAGATATAATAATCATACAAGTGCAGTTGTCTTGTAAGTCAGTTTTATTCGGTGTGAGGAGCTCGCGAGGGATAATGATGGGATCATGTGCAGGTCACATGACGTGTGGCATCAGTTGAAGGTGGTACCGGGAACATTGGCTCGACGTTGTACGGAGGGGGTGGGCTGGGCAACTGACGAGCATAGCTAAGCAGCAACTATAAGAAGGCAGTTAAGTTAGCTATATTATATCCATATTCTCATTCCGATATCACAAGCTGTCCAATTAAAAACAATGCATCTTTGACATTATTTTAGTACTTCAAAAATGACAAACCCATGTTTAGCCGTAGTCAACAAAATCGCTAAAGTATGTACATATAATATAGTCCTGATGTTTAATATACCTGATGGAGGAAGATGTACTGTACTTCAGTCTGAACCATTCCTCCTCTGTCTTGCCTCAAGGTGGACACAATCTTCAAAATGTCGACTTGTCCCTCCTTCTCCAACTGAGTCATCCCCATATCGGCTCCGATGAACACCCCCGTCCGTCCAATACCGGCACTGTGTGCGCAGTATTGAGGGAGAGAGAGAGAGAGGTTACCTTAATGGATACGACAACAATATGCATTTCATCAAGTTTCTGAATTTAGTTGCTACAGTTCCTCTCTCTTCTTTCACTGATATATATATTCACGTGCTTTGTTTATTGAGTGCAGGAAGTAAAGATAGAAAGGAAATGATGTGAATCACACACACACACACAATAAGCCTGAAAGAGAGGCCTTATATCACCAGTACCCTACCACTGAGTTCCTGGAAATTTGCCGGGCCGCTACACAATGGAATGTAGAGCATCCCCCAGTATATTACACCAGGTCCACATGTTTCTCACAAACAAAGTCAAAACATCATAATAATTATGCATACTGTACTCCCTATCTCCTATTAGCCAGATGTAAATTTAACTGTGGGTTAAAGGCAGCTAGCTCTCACCCATGAAACATCGTCTGGGGTAATAATAATAATATTGTACTACGTGATTAGTAGAAGAGAGAACCAAGTGTCCCTCATAGAGCAGCTACGATATTCATGACGCGCCCACCTGCAGTGGACGATGATTGGGGCGGGGATATCCTGGGCGTGGCTACGGATGTGGGAGAGGAACTGGAGGGCGGGCTCCGTGGAGGAAGGTACGCCGTGGTCTGGCCACGCCGTGAACCAGAAATGAGTCACCTCACGAGAGACCAGTTTCTGCAGACAAACGGCATTTTACATATATACAGCTTCAGCCGGTTCTTCTATCATTATAAACAATCGTTACTTCTCAAAAAAGGACATATGACGTAATGACCATGAATAGTACGTGGAATAGAAAAGTGGCTGGTTTCCTGACTGTACTGGCAAAATCACATGACAGCCAGTGATGCACAGCAGGCGAAAAACAATATGGCACAGCGGAACTTAGGTACACGCTAATAATTGATTACGGAGAAACACAAACATGAGATAATGAAGTTTTAAGAGTAGGAGGGGCATGTAACTTCATATCGGCCAATAATATTGTAAGAGGCGGACATTGTAAGGCTTTGGAACTATCAGCCAACACGTGGTGGTTTTTTTTAACCCTTTGCTCACCTCGCGGTGGGTGACGTGGAAGTGAGAGACGGTGTAGTTGGGGTTAGTGGTCACCCGTTTCTTGAGAGTGACATTCAGGTCTCCGTAGTTGGCAGTCAGCGTGACATGTGGGTCTGGCCAGTACTGGGCACACTTTACCTGCAGGAGTGTACGTAGAATGTTCTAGAGGATACTGTTGAACGAGAGAAGACGGGTATGGAAGAGAAATAGACGGGAGAAGAGAGAGAGAAAAGAGGAGAGAAAAGAGAGGGAGGGAGGAAAAGAGAAATAAGTAGATAAATGAGGGGCCAGGGAGGTAACGAGGGAGAAAGAGATCGAGAGTTCTTCGTACGATTCTCCTCTCCTCCAGTCCGGTCACCATGACGATGACGGAAGTCTTTTGCTCCCAGACCATTCTCCAGAAGTCGTCGACGGTCCACGGGAGGGGACCCTGCGCCGCTATGTAGGCCCTCTCCGAATCCTGCAGACCCTGTGTTCCCACAAACACATTAGTAACCAATTAATTTGGAATGTACTCAATCGTTGCACGTAATCTGGAGACGCTCATGTAGAGCGTGTAGATGTAAACATGATTACTGCATTCCTGGTAGGGAATTACTCGTCGTTAACATGCGTAACCATAACCATAAGCTTTTAAGGAGATTTCAAGCGTAAATGCCAAATGTTGTGGTTATTTTGGTACCACGTAAATGATGCTTCCGTTATGCCAATCACCCCATACCCCATGCCGTGCAATACGTAGCAATGAGGAAAAAAAACAACATTCGGTTTAGTGGCGTGAGCACGTGTGATGTCGGTGATTGTGTTGGTTTTAGGTCCACTGTGCAATGTCCACATATAATGTACACGTACCCTGATAAAGTTAGCGTTGATGTAATCGGAATTGGCGACTGCAAACTTGAGAAACAGAGAAACGCGAGTCTGGGGATCTGCGGGAAAAAAGAATTCACCTCCAACCTTACTCTATCCCTATAAACAGCACATAAACCTATATACTGTATGTACAGGTATGTATAAGATATGGTGTGGGGTGACTTACTTGGCAGAATATCCTTGTATCTGTTTTTCTCCTCCGCACCAGGGGGAACATCGGCCATTGTCGCCAAGTTGGACGGGATCGACTAGAGGGAGGGAGGGAGGGAGGGAGACACAGGCAGGTGGGAGGGATAACAAACACGAGTGTTGTTCCAACCACACGCCAGGAAGGAAGGTCTATGAACTCGCGTTGTTGGCACTAGCTAATCATGACACAGAATGTTGATTTTTGAAACCCAAACTCAACAACCTTTATGTCACGCTGTAAATTCAACAATCCCCTCTTAACACTGCATACGGTATAATGCAAGCTATACAGTGGTGTTGGTGTCCCATACCGAGTACTCCTTGCGTAGGGTTGCAGGGTTCTGTAGGAGGGTTTCAATTTCATCTTGTCCCAGCGGATGCGACTGGACCTACATGGAGAGGCCAAAATTGCACACAAACAACAATCTTTTAGACACACTCTGTCCACATCATCGTAGTGTCTCAACTTCACCCAGCATGTATGTATGTTATGTATGTATGTATGTATGTATGTATGTATGTATATATGTATGTATGTAGTACGTACAGTGAGTCCATTCAGTGTGTTGGCAAAACAAGTGTATGATTGTGATGTAGCTATGAAGGTTGAAAAAGACGCTCACCTGGACCCTAGACTGGAACCCGACGCGGGCAACCCTCCGCACGTGATCCCTTCTCTCCCAGTCACTGTATACGTCCTCGTTGTTGTTGTTGACGCTCGCTCTTTCGCGGAGACCTCCGCCGGCCACCCGAGGCTGGTTGGTTTGGACCTGCGGCGCCGTGTCATCGAGTAGTTGCGCGTCCCGCGTCAAGAGCCCTTCTTTCTCCTCGTCCTCCCGTCTCCGTGTGAACCACCTGCAGCAAAACTGCCGGAGAGAGAGAGGGACAGTCGTGTTTCTCTTCATTCTCTCCCGCTCTCTCAACTGCGAAAACTATCGCTGCGACGCAAATTCGTTTAGCGGCTCTCAAGGGCATCGCGCACAAGATTCCGGGGTAGAACTCACAGTAATGGCCTCGCAGATCCTTCCTGCCATTGCTAATAGCCTTTTGATGTGCTCCAACCACGAACAGACTAGACACGTACGGACGTCCGCTATTGGGCTTTTACGCAAACGCGCGCGCTGGCGACAAAACAACGCGTCCGGCACGCGCATGCGCATATGACTCACAGCAAGAACGAGGAGGAGAGGGCAGGTTGCGGCGGCAACGCAGCCGAGAGCAATCATCAGAATATCCCACCACTTCAGAGACGAGCTTTTCAGTGGAATCCCAGCCGACGGATCTCGTATAAACTGTACATCCAGCACAACCTGCAGAATAATTTGAATATATAGCACAATGGAAAATGCATATAATATAGTCTTACGGTGAGCACAAATCAAAGCAAAAAGTGAACTCACAATAGTTGTTTTGTCCTTGATGTCTTTATAAAACGCCACTCGGTCCGCAAGGAGTGCATCATACAAATCTGAGGTGGCATCAATGTTCAGGTCGCCAGATTCACTGTCAACGACGAATACTCTCAAAACAGTCGTCGCATTTGAGCTCTTTTCGCGGTCCAGCTCCAAAACAATGCTAGTATTGCCTCCACTAGTAGCCCTCTTTCTAAGAGTTGTTGTGGCATCCAGGTACGTTTCCAGAATCATCAAAATTGTCTCCTTACTGCGTTCGTATTTATCGGGAGCGATTTGTAGAGTGAGTTCAATGTAGACAGAAGGTGTGTAGGATGGCGTTAGTGGGTCGTCTCCGCTGCCCGATCCTGTTTCTCTACTGAACCTCTCGTGGTCTGCATCGACATCGCTGGACAGAATGTCGCTCTCAGCCTCGGAACTAGTTAACAACGGACGGAGAAACTGCCCCTTCTCCTGCCTCTCATGAACCTTCTCATGAGCCGCTGACTGTCCCAGAGACACGGCCAGGATCAACCACAGCAGCCGCGCCAACACCCAGCGTCTCCACAGCGTTTTATGGTCCCTGCCAAAGAAGCTCATCGTACAGTGCAATCCCGCAACCTCTGTGTGTGTTAGTCCGACGATCGTGCACAAACGAGCAACGCCCTTTTTCCCAACCCTTGTTCCAAGCTAGTCTCGAATGGAGACGAAATAAATGGGCGGGGAATTGCTCGCTCGCTCGCGCGTGTGCTGCGTGTGTTCCATGTGTCGCGCGCTGGTGAGCAGTGTCGTCCCCTCTGCAGATCAGACGTGCCGCGGTGAACTGGTGAAAGAGGCGGGAGGTAGACGTCATGGCCAAGTCACAGCCGCTCAAGCTCTCGGATCTCCGGCCGGGCGTCGACTACTCCGTGACGGGCCCGCAAGAGCAATCCGAGCGCCGCTGTCTCTTCCTCGTCAAGCTGACCGACTTTAGCATGCGCTCCATCGAGAGCCTCATCAACAGCGACAAGGTCGGCAGACCACGTGGGCTACTGCCAATTCTCTCGCTAGCTCCGTGTGGCGCACGGTGTGCAACGTCGCGAAAGCGACGCAGTGCGCTGCATTTAGAAACAATCCCGTTCTCTATTTTTTCACAGGATGCGTGTTTTTCTCTGTGGTTTGGAGACGGCGGAGGGGTAAGTGGCTGTGTTCCTATCTAAAGACATCTTGTATATACCACGTCACGCACACCTTGTTCAAGGCTCAACAAATGAGCTGATTTACAGCTGTGCTTTTCCTCCATGTTGTGTGTCCAAGTGTGTTTTCGCTCCTGTGGCAAGGAAAAACCAGTGGAGGTTTACATAGACACCTGCGTGGGTGAGTTTAGCTCACAGCAGCTGAGGGCCTAGCTACTAATCCCAACCCTCGCTCCCTAGCAAAAATTTTCTGAATTCCTTGCATAGTCCTGTCTTGCTTCTTAGAATTTTTAGCCATCATGCCATTTTCCCCTACCAACCAACCTGCAATACACCTTCAGAGTATAATAGAAACCAAGTGCAGTTGGAAACACCTCTACTTGGCTAAAATTCACATCCACTTTATTTCGCTCATTTTTTCCTTTCCTCTAGACTATTGGTATACCAGGTAGCAAGGAGTACAGGAAGTTTGTGTTCAAGACTTCCCAGGGTGACATCGATGGACTGGAGTGTGTGCATCAGGCACTGGACTCTGCCAAGCAACCGAGGGTGAGTCATGTGACCTGTCATGTGACTCTTTAATGGGTGTGCCTTTGCTCGTGTGATCAGTCGTGTGACTTTTGAATTGGTCCTCCTTTGCTCGTGCGACCAATCATGTGTGTAACGTCGATTCTGTCCTCTGCTCATGTGACGTGTGCATATTTTGATGCGTGTATCACATGACCTATGCCTAAGTCATGTGACAAGTCATGTGACTCCCCGCAGCTCAACTGCTGGGGCCAGATTCGCTACAAGTTGCAAGTTCAGGGTACGGAAGAGGTATACAAAAGAACCATGAAACTCATGAAAGAAACTGAGGAACAAAAGCAGAAAACGCGGTAACTTGTGAATTAATTCTTGTGCATTAAAATTGTCCATTTGTTGTGTCTTTGTTTTTCCACTTTTGCTTTGCCCAATGCTGTATTATAGTCGGACACTTTTGTGGGAGAAAATATGAATTTTGCAGCTTTTTTGTCCCAGTGTATAATTATATAATAATATACAAAAGTTCCTTGCTTGCATGGTGGATTAACATTTTTGCTGATGGTCTCGCTCAAAAGTTTCGACTATGATATTTTCATTCACATATTGTTTTTTTAACTGCTTCACTTGCCTCTCCACAGAACACAGACCATAAATTTTCCACATTCTTCCTCCAAAGGCCGGTCGAAGAAATCCGGCAGACCGGGAGGGGGACGCCCCCTGTCGAAGACCTCGTCGCCTTTCTCTGCCCCCTCGGCTCCTCCTTCCTCTCACTCCTACTCCTCCGGTCCTTCTTCCTCGTCTTCAGCTAGCGGTGGAGTGGGTGGAAATACCTTCAGCTCAAAGGTGTGTTACGTACAGTGAAGGAAGGGAGAGGTGGGGCGGGGGGAGAGGTGGGGCGGGGGGAGAGGTGGGGCGGGGGGAGAAGGAAAATGCTTTGTGTGTCTTGCCATGACCGTATCTGAGGTCGTGGCTTACAGCTCTAATCCCAAAGTATTTTGAAAGAGTTGATAGGTTAATGGAACACACGTGTATATAGGTCTTTTTGCATACCTTGTAAAGTCCAATATTTATTAGTAAACTGTTTTTTTTACGCGAAAACATTTGGTGATTTAAAAAGCTCCCGTCTGCCAAACTTTAAGTGTGTCCTTCTCTCTATTGTTGTGGTTGTTGTTCGGTAGTTTTCGTCAGCTAGTGGTACCACTAGTGGCGGGGGGACCAACACCAGTAACGGTCCCAGTGGTCTCGGTGGTACTACCAGTAGCAGTGGCAAGTCGTCTGGTGGCAGGAAATCCTCAAAAGCACCTCACACCCTCAAGTAAGTCTTCACAGTGGGAGATCAGTAGGTGCAAAATATTAGTGGTTTTTCAAAGACCGGATCTTGCAAAACTTTGGCATTTGGCAAGTTGGAAACTCGTGTCTTCTTTTCCCAGAGAGAGGATCATCCATCTCCTGGCGGTGAAGCCACAAAGAAGGTGTGACATCATCAACAGACTCAAAAAAGGTAAACAAAAAATCCGCGTCACTACTGAAAATGAAAATGTGTGACTTTATACCATTTTTTCGCCAGAGACGAAGAGAGGTGAGACCGCCATGTCAAAGACCGATTCCCTGCTACAAGAGGTGGGGTCTGTTTCCATGGCAACACCTCCATGTTTTTTGACGTGGATGCTGTGTCGTCATGGCAACACTGGATGTATTTCGTTTTCCTCGCAGGTGGCAGATGTTCAGGGAGACATGTATCACTTGAAGCAGTCGCTTTTTTCTGAGTTAAGAGTGAGTAGTACATGTATATAATAGACTGAGATAGAAATAGGAAAAATGAGATGTACGAGTTAGTAGTAAGGACGGCGAGATAGAGAGGGCTAGGGATGGCGAGATAGTTGTATTAGCCTTTGCCACGGTACTTTTGTCTTGTGTTGTCCACAGGTAGATGACTGGCCGTTCTACTCTGATGCAGAGAGGCAGTTGGTCAAAAGGTACACTACAACAGTCAGCAAATGCTTCACATTTGAACGATTCTATATATATACTTATATATTCATGCATGCCCCATTGTCTAGTGTAGCAGCATTGTGTGGTTAAAGACGACTTATGCTACATACATTCATATATCTTCTGTAGTAGTGATGATATGACATAAGTTCCATGTTTTGTAGGAGACATGGCGGAGGAAGTGGAGGAGGAGGAGACAATTTCAGTGATTATATGAAAGTATGAGAATTCATTTTCAATGTTCAGTTTTCTCTCTCCTGGAGTATCTCTTCTTGTTTGACCGTTTTCAGTTTTCTCTCCTGCTCTCGTCTTGCTGTCTTTTTCGCCTTTCTTTCAGCGTCCATCAGCAGCAAGAGATCCACCTCCATCCAAGAGACAAAAGCTATCCCACCCTCCCCCCTCCTCCACCCCTCACCCTCCACCCACAACTCACACCCCCTCCTCAAAGAAACCCTCGCCTCCCCCCTCGTCAAAATCATCCAGTGCCCCACGCCTCAATATGCCCCTCTTTGGAATGGACACTTCTAATTCAGCCAATCCCTCGAGTAATATTGAAATGCAGTCATTCAGCAGCAGCGTACTTTCTTCCCACTCTCATGCGTCCAATCAGAATCCGTCCGTGGCAAAACCGCAGACTCAGTATCCCGGATTAATCTTCTCGAATTTTGTTCGCAGCAGCAGCTCCTCCCTCCATCATCCATCTCCCTCTCTTCCTCCATCTTCCTCCCTCCCTCATCCATCTCCCTCTCTTCCTCCCTCTTCTTCTCTCCATCATCCTCCTCATTCTGTAGCCCAGAGCAATGTACCAGATGTACACAGCTCTGCAAGGTCGTCGACTAAACATGAGCACCAGCATTCACAACCTGTGTCGACCGGACAATCTGGTTTGTCAGCTGGTCAGACCAGTTTGGGTGGACCGCCGTCTACCGATGGAGAAGTTGGCGTGGCAGGTCTGTTGCCCACGGCGACAGGAGGGGGAAGACTATTCGGAGACCTAGTGCAGTCTGGTGGGACGGCAACATCAACTGAATCGACTACAGAGACTGCCGAGTCAGCAAAGAAGAAGAAAAAGAAGAAAAATTCGCACAAGACCAAAGGTGTGTCCATAAATACTGAAAGTAAACTGAACATGGAGAGAAGTAATTCTCGAGTTATGCTCTGTGTTGTCAGATAAGGGATCGTCTAAGGTAGTTGCTGAGGGGAAGGGGGGTTTGATGAAGACGAGTGAGGGTGTGAGGGAGGGAAAGGGGATGAGGGAGGAGGGGGGAGGGAAGGTGGAAGGTGAGGGAGAAGGCGTGGCAGTCAAGAATGAGCTCATGTTGGAGGAGAACGGAGCTTCGTCGACCACACCCAGCTCCATGGACCTTGACCTGTGAGTTCCATACTACATACTATGTAATTATATTATGTAGCTCGTTTTATGGGGAGCCCTGGAATGTAAAGACCCCATTACAATATTGACTCCAATTCCAATCAGAGACCAGATTTCATCCACAAAAAACTGCGTACATACTCAAACCTTGTGATGCGAAGCGCAGTACATAAATAACTTGCTGGCTCCTCCCACTTTCTCTCTCTCCCCTAATTTGCCCAGACTATTTCCCCCAATTACCTCTGATGCCACGAGGGCAGAGTACAAAAAGGTCTTCAACGATGAGTACCAGGAATATCTCAACCTCAAAGGTCAAGTAGAGGTCGTTCGTAAGGAAGTGACAGCGCTTAGCGATCAGATGACAGCAGTCAATAAGGGAACTGAAGAAGCAAGGGTAAAAAGGAGGGAAATTGAGAAATTTTTCGTCTTTTTGGTGTGGGTTGTAAAATGTGTTGATTTGTGGTGTGTATATACAAGTGCATGAATTTATGGTGTGGGGAGTGTAAAAAGCGTTGTTTTGGCATGGGGAGTGTATTAATAGTTGTATGTGTAATTCTTATTACCACGTCCTGTTTTTCCCCTTGCAGATATTGAAGAGGAAGATAAGGGAAAAGTACACGGAGTTGGAGCAGAACAAAACGTACCAGTCGCAGAAGAGAAGATACCAAGAACTGCACACAAAACTCGGGCACATAAAGAAACTGGTGGTGGCCTATGATCAGTCTCACTAGAGCCGCACAATAATGGTGAAAATTGAGTCTCGTGAAAATTTCATCCGCAAAAATGCTTTTTTGTTCACGCATGCGCACAATGTCGGGCGGGGGCATGCAGTGCGCGCGCGCGTGCCAGGTTCGATCGTCGAAGGAGGGAGGGTCAAAGATGAGGATTTCTGGGTTGAGTTTGTTGCTCCTGCTCTCCCTCGGTTTGGGTGCAGGCTCGAAAAAGAAGAGCGTACTCGACCTATCTGAGCGGGACGTGCACAGAATATATGAACAGTGGGAGGTAAGTTGGAAGCTAACGTCAAAACGGTAGCGTATGCCAGACCCCTATAGACGTCTAACGTAGCATCAATCATTGCTGTCATAGACTACAATGCATGTTGTTGCAGGAGAATGATGAAGACTCGGATGAGGATGATTACGATGATCTTGATCCAAGAAAGCCACGGTCAGGTGTGCAAATAGCTGTGTAATCTGTTTTCAAGGAGCTGGTGTGTCTACCAGTGGAACGTCTGAATAAGCACAATGCTAAAACCTTGTCAAGAGTACCTATACATAATACACTAAAGTACAAAAGTATCTGAAGTTACTGTCCTTTGTAGAGGTGTTCATTATTCTAAATGTCCATTGTAATAGGTTCCATGTGCATGTATTTAATCAATGGCCGAACTAACTGGCATATGTGCGTGACAGTGATATGAACTCTAGCTGCATGGTGACACCCACCCACTACAGGTCCACCTATAGACATTGAGAAGCTGCAGTCTGGAGGCAAAATAGACCCTCAACAGATACTGGAGCAGTCCAAGAAGGGGAAACCCCTGATGATATTCGTGGGGGTGAAGGACCCTCCCAACGAGCACTACACGGAGCAAGTGAGCCGACGATGGACGCAGAGTCTCATGAACGCCCACGTTCCAGTTGAGAGGTGGGTGTATGTCACATGATAGGTGGGTGTGTCACATGATACCAGTTGAGATGTCACATGATACCTTTGAGAGGTCACATGATACAGCTACTACGTCATGTGCTACTACATACATAGGTACGTCGTGGCCACTGATAGAGTCCTCTTCATGACACGAGACGGGAGCAAGGCCTGGAAGATCAAAGACTACCTCGTAACTCTCGAGGAATGCACAACAGTCAATTTCGAACACCTCTCCTTCCCTTGTAAAGGAACATCGGAAGGCAGCGAAGGATACCAACATCCAAAGCAAGAACTGTGATTGGCTAAAATGGGCTACAGTCATTGTATAACCAGGAGGAATAGGAGTGATTGTTTTTTCTGTTTTTTCATTCCCTGATCTGTATTATAATGACCATTTTGAATCACTTCTTTTTTGATAGCACATTGTAATTATGATGACATAATAAATCATGTGATAATGAAATAAAAATGTATGGTGGTAAAATTTTCCAAGTGCAGCTCTAGAATTAAGTGATGCTTGGCCGACAAAAACAAACTCAACTCCTCAAATGTTTTTTAATTGCTATGCAATTTTTGCTTCAGAGATGAAAAAAAATGAGGAAAAGAACAATACATTTTCACGAGTATTCCAAATGGAGCACGCTACACCCAAACCCCGGCATAGTTGCCATGGAGACCGAGGGGTAAGGGTCCGCCGGCTGTAAAGAGTTTAGTTCTGGCTGGGCTGTAGCAGTGGGTGTAGATGGCGTTGAGGGGTTCAGGCATTCCGCTGAAGAAACTGCGATAGGTTTCGTCTCTTCTCTGGATCGGGTATATGGGAAATGGGAACAATTTCTCAATTAATGTTATATAGTGCTAAACACCTGCATTGTTCTATACCAAGTACTCCATAAGTAGTTACATTTTTGCTCCAGTGAGCTAAGTGGACAAGTTGAGTTGCCACGAAACACATGAACTGAATGGAGAGCATCATGGCTTCAAAGAGATGCATACCGAGAGTGAAGTGCAGGCTTGATTAAGAAAAAGTGTACATGTAAGAACAAGACCAGGGAAGGTTTAAGGTAGGAATAAGAATGCTATATACTACAAGGCAACGTTTACAACATAATATGCTGAATGAAACAGTCTTGGTACCATTAGAAGGCTCACCAGCCATCCTCCAGTCGCAGTGAGTGAGAGTGCAGCTGGTTTCTGCTGTCCGCTGCTGCCACTAGTTCCACTGCCACCACTGAGGTAGTGGCGAGTCCTCATGTCGTAGAAATAGACATGACCTGCACCGGTCCCTATACTCAGGAGGTTGTGGTGGAACTTCAGTGACCTTATGCCTGCGGAGGACCCAATGGTGGCAGAGACACTAACTCAAGTTGGAGATTATCAGATCTATTAGGAATTTCATTACATTTGGGCTGAAATAATCATCTAAAACGTCATACAGGGCAGGGGGATCTATAACCCGCTATCTTGAAACTCAGCGTTGTATCGATTAAGTTAGTAATCAACGTCGTCGAAGTATTTATGCGAGACTCCACCCACCACAGTCAGGGTCCAGGGACTTGAGTGACCCGACAGTCGACGCTGGAACCCGGTCGTCGAGGAATGTGACATGGGAACGGGACCCCACCCCGTACATGTGCCCACTCTCCTCGTCAAACTCTATACACACGTTCTCGGCACAAAACGGCATCTCCACTTCCACCGTCTGTTTGTGCAAAAGAAGACAATACTAGAGACAACTGCAGTCCAATGGGTAAAATCTACATGATACAGTGAAACGTCTGAAGAATAAGTGACACCTGGGAGACATTGAAAGTGTCAGAGGCGTCCCTTATAGAGAGGTAAAGTACACGGCAATGCATTAGTACGGGGCAGAACCCTTATAAAGAGGTAAAGTACATGGCAATGCATTAGTACGGGGCAGAACCAAGTGTCCCTTATAAAGATAGGTGTCTTTTAGTCGGCGGTTTCACTGTAACTGTATAGGGACTTTTAAAAGCAAACTTTGAGTGTTTTTTCGCCGCAAAACTTTGTGGACTCTGTTTCGAATTCCAACCATTACACAAGTGCTTTCTCCCACAGTTGTATATAAGAGATTCTGGACATGCAGGGTGTGTTGTGGGTTTCACTCGTTATCATGCCTGAGGTTGTACACGGCAGGTCAAGAATGTAATAAATCGTGTGATTGTTGGATGCCAGACACGACTTAGTAACACTGGAAGGGAGCAACAATTTCCAACTTGTTGTCAAACAGTCTATATACAATAGAAAAAACGCACACACACTGCTCGGGAGGAATGCGATCCATGCATTAGTGGGTCATTGTTGTGTGTGTCGATCACTTGCATGTTCAGTACTGATTCAAGTCTCTATGGAGAGTGTGTTCTGAGATGTTAGAGGTGACTATATACCAGTGTACTAGGGCTATGGAAAGTGTGTACTAGCTATGTATGTATGTATGTACCTGTATGAATGAGAAAAGGTCCCAGAAGTGGACAATAGCTCCGCATGCATTTGTCTGCAGTGATGCCAGGGTCTGCATTCAGTGTGGGAACAATGGTAGAGGTGGGGAGAAGGGGAAGGAAAGTGGGTTAGTACAGAGAAAGTGTATGCTTTGCTGAGTGTTAGTTTTGCAGGACAGCCGTCAGTTTTATAAACTAACACAGCTATCTGACTAGCTGAACACACACCAGATGTGTAATACTAAGACTCACATATTTCTGTCTGTTGTAAGCGAGACTGCGCACTCGCTCGCAGTGAGAGGGTGACGACCGGGAGCTCCCCGCCAGGTTAGAGAACTTCACAATTGGTTCCAGTTTCTGGACGTCTTCGGCCATCGGGCCACTTCTGGTGACCTCACCTCCCCTCTCACGAGGAGGTGGGGCCGACTCAAGGGAACCGACAGACCAGAGGGCCATCTTGGAGTCTCTGGCTCCTAATGATGGAGGGAGAGGGAGGGAGGATAGAATATCTACAGTTGTGACTGTGTATATATGACGAAACCAAGCATTTTGGCTTTTTGACTCTGTGTGTATTCACACATCTCAGTATATTATATGAGGATTTGAGAACTAGAGTCCCTGGTTAAAAGGCGAGGTAATGTACATAGTTTTAGGTGTGAATCAGACTATTAGCGCTCATTAGCAGAGCAAAACATTCCAATTTGAAACACGACACTGCAAGATTAGACAACTTGGGTTGCATGCCTGAGTGGGAAGAGGTGTAAATTTACAGTCAGTTAGTTATGGCGGTCACAGTCTAGCGGATAACAACCAACACAGTCTGTACCACTCTGCTGGTCTAGACTGAACATTTATTGGAGTTGTTAGCTCAGACATGAGAACACACAGCGTTTCGTGACGATGTCATACCTCACTAATGAGAGTCTCACATACTCTCAAAGAGAAAGGGATGCAGCTACATGTATGTACACGTATATAGACAGGGAGTTGTAACAACCATCTCCACCTTTATACTGTATATATACACCTGTTATTAGGAGGGTGTCAGTGATCCATTGCATGTCAAACAACCAGTCAGTGTGGCCCTATATACAGGTTTTAGAGAGAGAGAGGGGGGGAGGGAGAGAAGGACAGAAGGAGGGAGAGAAGGAGAGAAGGAGGGAGAGAGGGAGAAAAGGAGGGAGAGGGGAGAGAAGGAGGGAGAGAAGGAGGGGAAAAAGAGGAGGCAAGTCACTTCTTTATATCTGCCAATGTAGACAAAACATGGTGTAAACCACACATCTAGGTGTTCTAACCAATATGAGGAATGTTGCATACATGTAGAGCCACACATTATACATACCTCTCCAATAGCCAAAGGCTGCATTTCGGGTAGTCCATAGACAGCCAAATGAGTAGGGTCTGCCCCACCGGCGGCTAGGTATTGCCTCTCGCTGGAGACACTGATGGTGTGGATGCCACAAGATGAGGTGGAGTTTGAGGAGCCTTCGGGCTGCAGTCTGGGGATGTCAACGGTTGAACCGTTTTCAGTGTTCACGACAAACAACTGTGGGGATAGAGAATAGAGGTGGATTATCAGATTATCAATCCTTAGCCAGGTCTCTTCTCTTCAGCATCCCACGCGTGCAGCCACACCCTGTTGCTAGCTAGTGCAAATCCCACGCTCAATACAATTCTTGATCGTATTCATGCTCTACTAAACTACGCTCAGATCACTATAATTTCGACGTATATACCTTGTTGCATTTGGTCCCCACCACGACATCTTCCTCGGTGATCCAATCCGAGGCAAATACTTTGTCCGTTTTCCCGATGTCCAGCGGTCTTTCCCTCAAGAGATACGGGAGACGCCGTGAAACAGCCGCTCCAAGCCCGCGCGACGAACTCTCCCAGCGTCGCGGAGGGCGCGGGTCGGGGAGACAGCTCCGCCGTTCGAGGTAGTCGAAAGTGCTCCCGCTACTTTCTCCGTGGGGGTGGTGCTGCAGAGACGGCAGCTCGCAGCTCATTCTTGTGTGTTTCTCCCGTCCTTTTGGCGAGTCTTGTGGAAAGAAGTGTCCCCGCGAAACAGTTCGAACATCTCCGTCTCCGCAGCAACGGCCTCTCTGCTCTCTCTTTCAGAGCCTCCGGGCAACGCCCCCCTTTGGCAATCAACGCCCCCTTCTCTATGGTTTCCTACGTCCCCGTTCGATTCCACTCGCGAACGCGAACACGCGCGTTACACAAACCACGCCCTTTCTGCGCGCACGTGCTTTTCGGCGAAGAAAAAGAAAGATGGTGAGTCCTTGTAATCCTACTGATTCTATCTTCTCAAGCAGTGGAAGAATCGAAACGCTGTTTCAAGGTGTTCATGTAAGTCTCATTTTCTCTTAGGGGCGGGTTAGAACCAAGACAGTAAAAAAGGCGTCTCGGGTCATCATCGAGAAGTACTACACTCGACTCACGCACGATTTCCACACCAACAAACGCGTCTGCGAGGACATAGCCATCATCCCCAGCAAGAGGCTGAGAAACAAGATTGCCGGGTAAGGAAAACGGGGGGCGGTGACCAATCACTCTAAATAAAGCGCACCCTAGGTTCGTGACGCATCTCATGCGGCGGATCCAGAAGGGACCAGTCAGAGGCATCTCTATCAAGCTCCAGGAAGAGGAGAGGGAGAGACGTGACAACTATGTCCCCGATGTAAATCAGATTACATTGGCTCTAAATTTGGGGCAACTTCTCTGATTGTCTCCCTTCCCCCCAGATCTCTGCTCTCGAGGAAGACATTGTAGAAGTTGATCCCGAGACCAAAGAGATGCTGAAGATGCTGGTGAGTTCTTTTTATAGCACCCCTATCTGGTGGTGTCGGTATTTTCAAATTCTGTCTCTTCATCCTCAGGATTTCGGCAACATAAACATTCAGGTCACGCAGCCTCAAGGGATGCAGTACAGACGATAGGGGGTCAAGGGGAAGACTCCTATCATAATTATGTATAGTAATGACAAAACGATTTTCAATTTCTAACGTGAAATAAAAAAGGTGTTTGATGATGGATACAACACCTTGAATAATAAAATAGTTTGAGGTTTGCGTTGTTTTTCTACGGAGTGTCAACCAAGCTATTCCCAGACTATGCTGCAGTTTTCACACATTAGTTTGTTTAGTCCGTGTTTCTGGCCAAGTGGTGCTCTGTGGAGGTACGATGCCAACCTCTCTTCGCTGTCATTGTCGCCACTGCTCTCTCGACCGTTGAATGCTCCAGTTGTGTCGACGTTGGTGAAGTGTGCGGTGAACTGCCCGTGTTGGGTCCTGTGGAAGAGACGGCAGAGTTTGTGGAGGTTCGTTGGCAGCACTGGACCGGTGATCTCGAGGAAGAACCGCTGGACCATCTGTCCCTCACTCAGCTCCTTCACACTGCCTTGCCTCACCTGTACATAGCATGAAACGTAAATAGGTCACGCTTTCACTTAGAGAAAGAAGAAAATGAGAAAGAAAGGATTTGAATAGAGGGTTTCTCTAGATAAGCATTGCTGCTGAGCGAATGAGTGTTAAGTTTCAGTGGTTTTTATGCATGTTTATATTACGTGATAATCTGACGCATTACTGCATGGACAGCACCTTCTAAAATACTAGTGCATTTCAGAGTACTGGGTGGGGCTCACTGCGCTGATCAACAATTTTGGCGTGCGAGATTGACCTTGAGTGATCTGAGAGTCGCTCCTCGGAACCCGAGGGGGGAGAGGATGGTGGGGGGTAGCCCAGCATGGCTCCCGGAGGTGCTGATTGTTGTCTTGCTGGTCAGGAGGTAGTTGAAGAGAACATGAACACTGCCAGGTCCTTCCACCAGCACTGCAGACTCTAGGCGATTGTCAATTCGTGATTCCCGCGGACTGTTCGTTCTAGTCAAGGAAGTGACATTGAAAGGCAGCGTAATATTGGTTTAAGTTACAGCAAAAGCCCATATCCGAAGAATAGCAGGTCAACCACAAACTCATTTAAACTTCCAAAAACTCCACGAAAATCTAGGGCCACCAAAATGTGTTGAGTGAGAGAAGGCAGTTGTGAGGTGGATACAGTGTCGATCTCTGAGTTCGTAGTCGTGGCAAGTCCTGTGCAGGTAGACCCATGTTGGCCAGCCAGCCAGTCGCTCCTCCATCCTCCTCCTCGTCACTGCAGACTTCGTCCTCATCCACCACCCCTTATGAGGTGCCAGGGGGAGACTCAGCTCTGCCCCTGTCAATTAATGAATGTGCCATTGAACCGACCCAAACCTCAAATATGGCTAGCAAACACACGCACCCACAAAATTTGTCCTTTAAAAAAATGAATTTTCGCTATATTACAAACCTTCCTTTTTGAGAGTTTCCCTCATTCCACTAGTGGTGGGTGTAATTACGGCCGATATTGAGGGGCCCCCTCGCACACCAGACGAGGCGAAGAGAACGGTAAACTGGTTTGCACAGAGGTAGAAGAAGGGACAGTGGCCACACTTCAGCAGCTGGTACACACTACACAGACTGGTCGACCTAACAATTACATCATTGGAAGTTCATTCAAGACCAACACATACAGCGAACATTATAATGCAGCACAAAGTTGCTACATTCACCAAAGTTGATTGTTAATTTTTTGAAAGGCTGAGTGAGATAGTGGCAAAGGTTAGGAGCGAGATAGAGGGAAAGGTTGGAGTGATATAGATAGAAGGAAAGGGAGAAAGTTAGGAGTGAGATATGGGGAAAATAAAAGGTTTGGAGCGAGATGGTGGGAAAGCTCTGACCAGTCATCCTTGAGAGCCTGGAGGACTTGTTCATCCTGCAGTAAGGCGGTGGAGTGAGGGATCTTCTGTCGTGCGTCACTGGCAGTGCTGTTGTTGCGAGGGAAGACCTTGAGGAAGGGGAGGGAGGGATGGACCCACATCATCAGGCTTTCCTGCAGCTCCTCTTGTCTATCACAACTCTGGGAGACACCGTAAAACATATTGTTAAGTGAAACGCTATTCAAAACATTAAAACCAGAGTGCTCCAACACATAAGTTTACTCTACATCACAATTACGACTTAAATTTTGTCAGTTTGTGTGATACATGGCACGACATGTATAGAAATCTCTTGCTCTTGGTTGCTTATTATATACACAAGCCACCCACCCCGCCCCTCCATATTGTAAGTACATACATACATACACGGCAGACACAAGAAATTCACAGACTGCAGTATGTGAAGTATACACACTCACAGCTTGGTGATGAATCTGGTCACCGGAGCTGGTGAGGAAATTTGTGAGCCCGCAGGCCTCCTGTTGTGGTCTGAGGCTCTGCGTCCAGGAGAAGGGGAACGGAGACACGAGGCGCACTTTCGTCTTGAGGGCCCAGTCCAGGGGGAGGGGTGGAGCAGCGGCAGTGCCGGATGGAGAAGAGGGTGTGGGCGGAGGATTCTCAGTGGTGATACAGTCTCTGTCTTTGTGTGTGTGTTGAAGCGTGAGGTTTTCCTTGTCTGGAGTCCGGAGTGGTGCCACTGGACTGTTGGAGATGTCCTGGAGACCTCCTCTAGACCTCTGAGCGTAATAATAGGCAAACTCAAAGTAAAAGATGTCAAAGGATTTGTGAGTACAGCACCACAAACAACATTTTAGCTATTGACAAGTGTACATGAAAAGAGATGTCTCTCTCTTTGCCATAGATATACTGTAGGTTCTGCATCTACAGCTCATCTCACCTTGGGAGGAGTCGAGGCTGCGAGGTTCTCGGACGTCCGCTTCAGTACAGGTGTCGTCCGCTTCGTTACTTCTCTTAGAGACTCGCTCCGCTGGCCAGGAATAGACTTCAAGGAAGGCTTTCTCGATAGCTGTATAGATGAGAGGAGCAGCCGTGAGCTATACCTGAAACACTTAGCGACGGGAGAACGTGAGTGTTCGTACCTTTCGGCGTATTCGGACAACCTCGTTGGGTTTTTTCCACCTTCGCTGCTCCTGGCCTTCTGATGAGGACGTCTCACCGAGGGCGGTCTGTCGTTCTGCCTGTAATATCGCCGACATTTCTCTTTGACCCGTTTCTTTCAGCCTTCCACAACCGAGAGACAGCAGTGTGGAGCGAAAATTTACCCGCCAATTGTTGATACTGCGCATGCGCACATTTATTATTGCCGGGTTCTCTCTCGCTCAAGAGAGCTAGAGGAAGGGGGCGTGTAAAATTGCCAGCTAAAAAAATCTCTTGAAATACAGAAACTTTGACAAAGTGACGTCATCAAACTGGCAGCCGCGTTCACACGCATTCTGACAACCACCAGGATAAGTGGTGTTCTTGTTGTCGTGGTATCGCGTCCACCGAGTGTCAGGAGGGAAGTAGACGCAGCGGGAAGTGGCGGAACTTTCTAGAATCGGGGCAATCATGATGTCATCTCCAATGAGGAATTGATCATCGACTAGCAGGCCACCGGAGTCAATCCACCACATCGGGCGAATAATGGGGTAACCCGTACAAACAGACTCGAGGGACAAGTTATAAAAAGTGTCGGCCAGACTTCTGTGCAGCTCTGTGAGTTCGAGAGCATGCTGCGTGACGTTGACACCCTCAACAAGGTCTGTAAAATTCTCGTGGAACGGAGGTATAGAAAACTGCATGACAGGCAGGAAGGCGTTTAGTTGCATCCAGCGAACAAAGAGGGTTGGATCAGGCACATAAACTTCTCCGAAATTAGCTGGGTCGTCCCCGTTTCCTCCAATCATGTCGGGCAGTACAAATGGATAACCGGCTATCCCAAACGTTAGAGCCGCCGTGAGAACGGATTTTAACCCGTTGCTCACGCCCCACGTCGAAGATCGGTCCAGCATTCTCACCCACATTGGCTGCTCTTGGGAGAAATAGCCGACCCTCACTTCAGAGCGCGGAGTGACGCCGGTCGAAAAGTTACCCACGAATGCGGCGTAGGCGGTAGTAAATGCAGCGGGGTCTTCGACGTTTTGCGTGTAGACGCACTTTGGGAGGTAAGTCACCTCCCCCGCGTCAAACTTCAGCGAAGACAGTCCGTAATTACTCACGAAATGAGTCAGTGCTTGTTTGTGAGAATTTGCCACTCTTTCGTCCAAGAAATTTATGACGGCTCCGTAATCGTGCCACCATCTAACTAGTGATATGCTGTCACCTTCAATCTTGCTCTTACCCGGAAGAAAGTAGTCGTCATCGATCCCCGCCCTGAAGATGTCGGCCATGGGATTAATGAAGGGGTGAACCCAAGCCGTTAGAGGCACGCCAAACTCACGGAACAGAGCCTTTGTGTCTATCGCCATGGAGAGGTTTCCATAGGCACTACCACTGCCCCCATACCCATCGTCCAACTCCAGTTGACTAATGCCGAATCCGCGGTTTGTTATTTCAGAGAGATAGCCCCGAACAGTTTCATCGTCAATGTTGGTTTTGAAGGCACCCCACGTGGACCAAATTGGATCTTTAAACGTTTCTCTCGCAGGTACGTCTCTTGGGTGGAGGATGTGATTGCTCAAGAAATGCTTGGCCGACGTAGCAATCGACTCGTGGGCACACACCGTGTAGTGGAGATGAGTCAGCTCGAAAGAGCTTGGGATGCATTCGAGTGCGTAGGGGACAGCTTGGAGGCATATTTCTCCCTCTCCGCCCCCCTGGTGTATACTGACGCTGAGTGGAGTGTCCTGATCTACAAGAATCCCTACTCCATTTGATGCCAACCACAGTGGGTGTAGTACGGAACCAAAGACCTCTCGTGACTGGTAGGCGGAAGACGAGAGGTAGTCGTGAGGAAGAAACGGCGTCATGTTGATGTTCATGTCGCCGAGTGGCCACGTTTGGGTGAAGAGCTCGTGGGCTCCAAACCACTCGATGTCTTTCAGTTCCTTCACACTTTCATCGTTTGTTTTCATCACAAAGCAATCAACTAGGGGTTCGCCGGACGACGATATACCGCTCCATTCCATCTGGAGACAGTTTTCGTTCATCCTTGTGATGTTGAGCACCGTATCAGCAGTGTATACGTAGACATCGACACGTTCTTCCTTTATGTAGCTGTGGTGCTGCGCCAAGGAACCCTTTAGCTTTGTTTTCCCCTTCTCGCAGAGAAAGAACTGTCCTTTGTTGGGGAGAAATAGAAACGGGTACTCTTCAGAAGACTCGTCGTCGCTTTCATAGTCGAAGCAGGTCTCCTTTCGTTTGTCTGACCAGATGCCGAGTGGGACGGCGATGAGTAAGATCATCATTATCGTGAGAATAAAAAGGGTGGTCCACCAGTACCAACGTTTGCTCCGAGACGAACGGAGTTTCTAGAAGACAAAGAAAAGATAGGGAGAGGATTAGTAAAGCCCCTCTTTGTCTTTCCCCAAAAGCAGTCCCTCCCTTCTAATAAAGACACTTTCTTCTGTCCCAGTGGTGTTTCCATAATTATTAGAAGGGTTCCACCGTAATGTAAGCAGTAGCTGTCTACAGACCTACCCGGAGCCTCAGCCTGAACTTCCCAGGGTGCTTGATATGCTTTTCGTCCTCCACTCGCGGCTCCTCCTCCTCCTCCTCCCCGCCGCCGTAGTCTATCCTCAGGCACGGCGGCGGGTCCTCGTCTCGGTCGAAGATCCCCGCGTCTTCCTCCGCGCCGCCCGCCCGATCCACCAGCTGGATCTCGTCTTCCTCCGTCGCCATGCTGCCTCTTCCTCTTCTGCGTGTCGTGCAGGACGCCGCGCCTAACATGCGGTCCTAGATCCTGGTGTTAATAGTAGCAACAGTCTGGACTCTGGAGTCCAAAAGGACTGATAAAGCCCATGCAGAAGTGGGGGCGGCGGGGGGTGATTGGAAGTATCCGGAAACAGTGCACATTTCCGTATATCCGCGTGTGCATACTCGCGTGTGAAACAGTGGACATTTCCGTATATCCGCTTGTAAAAACAGCAATGCAACATTGAGTAGAGATTTGATTCATGCACAATCTATTGCCCTGTTCCTTGCTGCTGCTGTTGAGCATGCATTCGTTTGTGTTTGAGGATGCCAATGGACGACAGTCTCTTGGTCTCTCCACACACTGGGCAGTGGTAGTCTCTGGTTAATGCCGCACTGGCAGCCTCCTCTAACTGCTCACCTTCATCTGGAGTAGGGAGAGGAATAGAGGATCTCTGTTTTTAGTATCTAGTCTTGATTTGGGTCGAATTCTTAAAACAACACGGTACACCAGGTGCATGCATGTAAAAGAATGGCAAAGGAGAACGGATTTTCTGACTTGAAATTGAAATTTAAACAAACCCCATTATGTACATGATACATAAGAGGTCTTACTTGGGAATGGAAATTTAACGAAAACCCCATTTTTGTGCGTGTTAACAAAAGTGGGTCTAGACTAGATGTTACTCTCACTGCAGACCTGTCTGAGGCTGGACAAGGCAAGAAGCCTGGTGTTGCAGCTGCTCGGCGAGGGAGATGACAAGTGTCTTCCCACATGTCGGACAGCTCCAAACTCTCCTCAGGTAGTTATCTGACCTAGCGGCTGCCAATCCCTCCTCTAGAAGACTGTCCAGTATAGAGAGAGAGAGAGAGACCAAATTCATACATTCATACACTTGTAGAACCACCGTTTTAGGGCACTAAAATTATACATACTCTTGTCTAATTTTCATGGATTAATGTACATAAAAAATTTTGTGCCTCAAAAATTTGGTGATAAACTGTACCAGTCATAGGTAAGGTACTCTTGAATAATCCATCCACCCTTTAGTGGGTGTGGCTTGGATTCGGAGGACACGAATGAGACAGAAGAAGAAGAATCGGTTTTGGTTGGAGTTGTTGCCGTGACGTCGGGTGGACCCTTGTAGAGGTGGGTCTTGGCGACCGACGACAGCTGGGAGAGAGAGTAGGAAAAGACACCGTCGAGGAATTCCGCCAGTTTTGAGGCCAGCAGTTCCTCCAGTGCCGACACCTTCTTCTCAAGTCTGTAGTCTCTTTCGGACTCACCTCTCTCTGGGAGGGACGATGGAATTCTGTTTGCTTTGTGTTTTTACGCTACCTACCTCTTTCTCACTTGCACACACTCCCCTCTCTTCCTTCTTGTTTTCTTCCCACTCACCCTCTCTTATCCCACTCTCTTCCCATCCTTCAACTTTCCCTCCCTCCCTCCCTCACTCATGGAGGACTCAAGTTTGGCTTCCAGCATACTGCTCCATGTATTCCGTAGGGTCTGGATACACGACACAACCTGTTGACCAGAGCTGGCCTCCACAAACTTCAACTCCAACCACTCTTCCACCACCAACCTTTGACAAGAGAAGAAAGGAGAACACCCCACACTCAGGTTCCTATATACCACACTTTATAAAAGCAGGAAACAACTGAGAGAGAGAAAATTTCTACTTTCAGAGTCAAAGTACGTATAATGTGGCAGGACTAGAAACAAAAAAATAGGCCCCAAAGAATAATTTAAGTAACGTTCTCTAAATTTAGCCATTTTTCTCCACAAGGGTGGTACCTATGGCAGAGCAATTCATCTTTGAAACTTTCAGAGATCTCTTTCATCTAGGGCTAGATATGTACACAGTTCAGTGCTACAATACAGCAAGTGTCTCCCACAGGAGTGACCTGGTGCAGTCAGAGTTGGTGTCGATGTTCTGTGAGAATAGTGTGAGGGTCTGAAGAGCAGGGGCGCGCATGCTGTTCACCAGATAGGGCTTGTTGGTTTCCAGTAGATCACTATATATACGTAATATGGTGAGGGAGGGAGGGAGGGAGAAGAGAGGGGGAAGGCTCACGGGTTGCAAAAAGAGCGATACGATGTGCTGAAAATACAAAATGACAGGACCTTAGGGGTTAAATTAAAAATTACACATAGAACTCCCAACTCAAATTTTGCACAGTTCAAAGGAAACAAAAAAGTTTGCATGCCGTGAAATTTTTTACGCCTCAAGGTACGTATACATGAACTGTCCATACGCCAATGGTTGTGTGGTCGTGGGCTCACACGTAGGAAAGTAGCTCTGGCTGGGTACTCCCTTTGCTCTTTCTCTAAAGAAAATATAAGTCTATATGAATTTGAGAGCCTTTACAGCTGTAGCAAAAAATTACGAGATGCGCAAATTTTCAGTCTCACCTGAAATTTGTCAATTTCGTGCCTCTAAATTTGGTGCTATGGAGAAGGAAAAAAATCGAGCTGACCTGTCCTGGATCGATGTATTCAGGGTTAGTGGCAAATACACTGGTCGGATGCAGAACAACAAACTGCTTCGACTGCGATTGGACGAAAGCACCCGTAACGATTGTGGTTTACTAATGAGATTCATTGCTCGCCGACCTTGGTGTGGAACACTTGGTCTGAGTCCTTGCGGTATGAGTTGCAGTCGTCTGAGATGGCCAGTTGAGGATACAGACCACTGGTTGGATGAATGGCGGGTGGGGGCAGTTGAGGGAGGGGGAAGATGAGGGGAAAGTAAGTGAAGAAGAAAAGGAACAAGAAAAAAGACAAGAAGATAAGCAAGTAAGAACATGAGGGAGAAATAGAAAATTGGAAGAAGACAACGAAGAAGATGAACGGAAAAGAAACAAGAAACGAAAAATGAACCAAAAATGAAATGAAAGTGGGCAAAAGGAGGGAGACCGACCTGCAAACCACAAGTTTCAAGACGTTCAAATCTCTGAGAGAGAAACTCTGTCTTAGAGCAGACGCCTCCTGCAGCAGAAGACTGCACTGTTACTGAAACTAACTTTTCCTACACATAACTATTGGTGTGTACATAACCAGAGGATGTTGTTTGTTACCTGTATTATTATGGTTGTTTCTACAAACATAAACAATGCTTGTTTGTGTTGTTGTTGTTGTTGTTGTTTACCTGTAGATCGGAGAGGTTGTGGAAAAGTTTAAATTCGAGATCTCTCAGTTCAGCTGTTCCACTGTGCACCTCTTCACTGTCACTCTGAGCTCCCTACACCACAACAACAACAACAACAACAACAATATAAACAACGTGATGTTGGACTGTGGAATAGTCAAATTCGCCTATATAGCAATTATTTACATATTGCACTCTCAGCCCCGTATGTTTCTGCAACATGCAAGCTCAATTGAGTAATTCCCAACAACCCATTTGTTTTGAAGAGAGGGTGGAATAGTTGCTATAACTTTCATATCTCACTTCCGTTTCACTTACCCCCTTCCGATAATGGTTTCAACTATTTTGCATTTTTTGCGGGCAGGTGAGTGAAAGAAACGACAAACCAACCACCCTCAATACTTTGACTACTGCTGGAGTGTGGAATAGTGGAAGAGAACTCACTCCTTCCTCATCCATCCTGAGCATCTTCCTTTTCCTGTTCTCCGTGCGATGTCTCTTCCGCGCCTGTCTCAGGCCCGTCAGCTGCTCGTCTGTCAACCGTTCCCCTCGTCCTCTTCTCCTCATCCCCCCTCCCCTGTCTCCTAGCAACCCATGCTCCTAAAGACATACAAGAGTGAGAGAGAGGGGTTCTACTGTATACTCATAAAGTGCTAAACATAGGCAAATGGTTAAAGCCCCCTCCCCTTTCTCCTAGTAACCCATGCTCCTAAAGACATACAAGAGGGAGGGTGTGTGTGTCCTTAGAGAGAGAGAGAGGGGTTCCACTGTATACTCATAAAGTGCTAAACATAGGCAAATGGTTAAAGCCCCCTCCCCTTTCTCCTAGTAACCCATGCTCCTAAAGACATACAAGAGGGAGGGTGTGTGTGTCCTTAGAGAGAGAGAGAGGGGTTCCACTGTATACTCATAAAGTGCTAAAAACAGAATTGTAAAAACAAGTGGTTAAAGCAGCTAGCCTGGAGGATTTCTTGAAACTGTTGTCGTAGTTTCGCCATCTCGTAGAACCTCTGTTGCTCCAGTCCTCTCCTGCGGCACCACTGGTGACTGCTGGTCGACCCTCCACTGCCCTTCAACTGGGGAGAGAGAGACAGGGGGTGCAATCTTGACGAGGGAGAGCAGAGAAAGGGAACGATGGGAATAACAATGACGATTTGTCAAAGAAACGAGAAAGAAAAAAGAGAGAATTTGCTCACCTCCACCCATTCTTCAAAGGCGTTCAACAGAGTAAAAGGATCTCCGTGTTCTGACTCCAGCGGTCTTCTTGCCACCTGCACAACAAACAAACACACGCTGCGTTCGTTCTCGTTCGGCCGGCTGGAGGGAAAGGGGTTAACAACGTACGGTGATGTCATTTTGCCCGAGAGGCACTCGGCTAAACGGAGACTGGACACTTAGAGCAGCAGCCATTGTCAAAACTGGCTCTATCACCTGAAAACAACAAACAAACAAACAAACAAAAAACAACAAACAAACAAACAAACAATAAAAAAAACATTTCTTGAATAATATCTTTCTCCCTCACGTGAAACAAGGTGCCCATGATAAGCATTTTCCCCACCACGATGTCAACAGGGAGCTGAGCCAACATCCGACCAATGGGAGTCAGCCTCTCGTTCCAATACAGAGCTCCCTATAATACAACATACACACAATGCTGGTTCAATTGCATGCAAGAACTGTCCTTTTGGGGAAAGAAAAGGTTTTATTTAAGAGAGAGGTGTCTTCGTTACAGAGGTGTCCTTAGAGAAGGTTCCACTTTGCCACTTTAGTATTGGCAAGCTGAAAAACAATGTTGTGATGCGTGCAAGTAAGATCGCAACGTATGTACCTGGTATGCACTGTATATATATACCTGTTCCTTGAGGAAGGCCAGAGAGGTCTCAATGTTGCTCAGTGACGGAGGTTCAATGAAAGGAAACCTGCAGATGCAGTACATATACGCCCATTACAAAGACATACTATAGTAATTCTCAGTAAACCAGACATAACTTCTCAGTAAATCTCAAGCGTTAAGGACTGAAGAAGGACTTGAACATTTAAACCTATGTCGTAAGGACGGGAACCTATGGTCCCCTAGCATTGTGTCCAGAAACACGACATTTAGTTTGATAATAATATCCCACTTTGACTATAAGGTCAGTGTACTAGGGTCCAGCGTTGTATGTCAACTCACTTCCTAACGTCGGACACCCCGAGAGCGGTGAGTTGGAGTACGAGGGAGTCGAGGGGTACCCTCATGATCTCCGGAGTGGAGTACTCACTGAACGAGTCGTAGTCGGAGTCGGAGTACATCCTGTAGCATACTCCAGGACCAGTTCGACCTGAGGAGAGAGGGAGGAGAGAGGGAGAGAGAGAGAGAGAGAGAGATGTATAAGAAGAAGGCTAGGGAACCTTTACTTCAAAAGGTGAAAGAGTCAAGAAACACGCGAGTTTATGGATTGTCATACATAGGTGTGTAAGTATATAGTTGTAAACATAGAAGAATGGAGAAGTAAAAGAAACGAGGGAGGGCACCTGCTCGCCCCTTCCTCTGCTCGGCGCTGGCTCTGCTGATCCAGAACTCCTGTAGTCTCCTCATCTTGGCCTGGCTGTCGTAACTCATCTCCTTCACCTGCAGTATCACAGCAGCTAGACACACCAGTGAGCACTATGCATACTACAGAGCTACTGGTGCTCAGATGAAATTTATCATAGCAGGAAACATTCCGGGGGAAAATTGTGCAGATTGCTCAAAATTTGATTGGGCATACTGTGAAAATTTTCTGCCTTCAATACTGAACACATGGTCGTTTGTGTCTCATAAGAAACCACGCCCACAAAGCCACACCTACTGCCACACCCACCTTTCCCGAGTCCACGACGAATCTGATGCCGTCGATAGTGATGGAGGTCTCGGCGATGTTAGTGGAGAGAATGCACTTACGGATGCCATCGGGAGAAACATCAAATACCTACAAACAAACAGAAACAAAATTATCACTGAGCATTAAATTTGGTGACGTTTTCCCTCCCAAAACACTTTGCAGGAAAAAAAAACAAGAATCTGCCATGTTCGAAATAAGGTGATGCTTGTCCATACAGCATTAAAAACACTTTAAAAATTAGAGGTGGTCACATTTTATACGGTTTGTCATGATTCATGATAGAACTTGAAATGCATGCGTAATACTCACTTTGTCCTGTTCTTCAATAGACAGAGCACTGTGCAGAGCCAATACAATCCAGCGATGAGTCTGCTGGGCGTAGGTTTTGACTTCTTCCATGAGTGAGGCAATCTCATTCATTCCACTGAGGAATACCAGCATGTCGCCCCTCTCGTTGGCTGGGTACTTGGCGGAGAGGAAAGAGGGAGGAGAGAAAGAGAACAAGGGAGAGGGAAAAGGAGATGGGGTATACAGTGGAACCTCTGACTCAGGACTCTCCGAGATGAGGGACGAACTCTTTACAAAGAAAACCTGTTTCAACCCCAAGCCAATACCTAGTGTGTTATTTGACCTCAGGGCAACCTTTCTACACAAGGGACAAGATCGCTGGCCTCATAGTGTCCCTTGTTCAGAGGTTCCAGCGTAAGAAGTTGAAAGAATTGACTCTTTTACCTGCTCGTCAATCCTCCTCAAAACCTGCAGATACGGCTTTGGGTCAAGTCGATCACTTCTCTTCACCTTATCCTGACAAGGAAACAGAGCCAATACTCAGGTCTCATACATACCACCAAACCCAAGTGAAAGTATGCTGGATACTTATTACGCTCATCTTCTATTAGTTAATACACTCTGTACTAGAGAATTGAAACTGAAAGCAGTTTCATATGGACATATATGGACAGTTGCACTCACTCTAGGGCCCAGGCAAGTTGAGGGCAGTGGTACGTACTCTAGATCTATTGGATACAGCCGGCCTGGAACCTGCAAAAAAATTTCGAGATTGAGAGTAAAAATTATCAAACTTAAATTTTTTTTGCCGTCCCACCTTGATGACAGGGGCATCGTCAAAGTACCCAGAGAACAGCTGTATGTTGATGGTAGCTGACATGAGTATCAGTTTGAGGTCAGGCCGGCGGTAAACGAGGCCATGGAGTATTCCGAGGAGAAAGTCGCCGTGGATATGTCTCTCGTGCACCTCGTCGACGATGAGGACCTCGTACCAGGAGAGGAGGGGGTCTGTTTGCAGCTGTCGCAGGAGGAGGCCTGCAAGGGGGAGGAGGGGGAGGAGGGGGAGAGGGTAATTGGCGTGTCTCAATTTTGTGATTTTTCTATATTGTAACCGACGTCTCTGCCACTAATATAGACAATGTGCATGTGCAAAAATCACATATGTATAGAGTAGCATTCGCTTGCATTGCGCATTCTTTGGAATAAGTCGTTTTCACCTTCTGTGAGAAAGAGAATCTTTGTGGCTGGAGATTTACTGCCTTCAAAACGAACCTGAAAAACAGGCGACATAAAATCATCACATTACTCCACACCTCTCACCCTTTTTCTACACACTACATACCTGATAGGCAATTTCAGTCCCGTGTTCTTTGAGCGTTTCGAACCCCACCCTCTTGGCCAGGGAGATGCAGGCGATCCGGCGTGGTTGGGTACACGCTACCTTCCCATACCCCGCACCCAGCAAATACTGGGGCACCTGGTGGATCACATGATGTCACAAGACACCACACATTAGTCACATGACAATACAACAGTAGACAAGCACATTAGTTTGAAATAAATCTTTCACAAATCAGAAGAGAAGATTTGCTGGACGATTGCTTTACAAACTTTCTCTGCTCACGGAAAATTGTACAAGAAATCTTTCATGAATATCTAATTCTTCCCCCGCCACTAGTGCAGTAATGCCGGCCTCACCTGAGTCGATTTGCCACATCCAGTGTCTCCCGCTATAATGACCACCTGGTGAGCCCCCACTGCAGACAGAATGTGAGAGGAATATTGAGATATCGGGAGATTGGACTGGTCTCTTCGAATCTTCACCAACTTCTCAAACTGCAGTATATAGAAAGAGATGGTGAGTGAGGACACCTTTCAATCTAAGGCCACACGATACACAACTTCCCTGTGTGAAACAAAGCTGCATTCAACTTAAAATGCACCTACAGCACTATTTGAAGGGAATGTGGCGGTATATAAGGGCTAAATATACTAAAAACAAACTCAATTGCATTATTTCACTGTGCCCTATTGCTTTGTTCTATATTTAGTAACATTTCTAAATTTAGCCCTCTAACTGTGGCTCCAGTGTGTCAGAGGCTGTGTACACTCAGTATACATTGTAGTTGCTGCTAACTTTCTGTTTCTGTTTGAAGTTTATGAAGTGTCGGAGGGCGGTGCGAAACTGGGAGAGATGTTCCATGGAGAGCGACAGAGCTGCAGACAACACACACGCGCCAGCTGATACTCACATGGAGTAATCTCAAGGAGAAATATTTCGCAGTTCGGTTGCAAAATACGAAAATCACAGAGAAAATATTCGCATAATGCATACCGTTTCCATTTCGTTCATAAATTTGGGATAAAAGCACACGTGCCTCTAAAACCCTGATATTCTCAAACATTCTCTCCCTCGCGAAAGTGTCTTACAAAATGGACACTCCCCAACTCACACTCACCCCCTCTCCCTCCCTCTTCTCTCTTCTCCTGCTCCCTTCGCAGTTTGTACGAGAGGTCAGGTGTCACCACGGACAGCGGGATCCGGTACGATTTGTCGTAGTCTCGAGGAAGGCCAAATTTTTCCGAAACAGCCCCTCGAGCTGAAAAGATTTAGTTAGTAGCTGGCTAGAAAGTAAAATAGTTTTGAAAATCGACCTACTTTTCTTTGCATTGGAAGTGACGGTGTGCCTTGTCTGAAACTGCTGATATCGTTTGAAGAACGACCAAAATTCTGCCAGTTCTCCGCTCCCCCGGCCCCTATGGTATTAGCAAAGCCAGGCAGGCGGGGATAATGCTTCAAAAACGCGCGTATACTAAGTACGCAGACGCCAGGAAGCGTACGCAACCTCTCTCCATACCTACTGAAGAAGGAGAAGTCTTTGAAAAAAATTCTGTCCAACTCAGACTTGGATTTCTCCCAGTCCATCTTCCAGCCGAACTTTTTCGCAGACAGACGGAGCGCGTGAGCGACAATTTACGTATGAATAATATAAAGTATGCGGAGAGTATGCGGGAAACCTCACGGAATGCAAAATTGAACGTGAGAAAATGGCGCCGTTGTGTTGAGAAGCCGTCGTCTGCACGAGAGGCAAGAGTGGAAGTCACAGAAGCTAGTGTGGACCTCGCTTTCCTTGTCCCTGTGGTTGTGTGCGTGCGTGGAGACTCGAAAACCGCCGGAAAAGCTTTGGTCGTCTAGAAGAGTTCAAAAAAAGACCGCCATATTTCCTCGCACCATGGCCTCAGTGAGTATAGGTTTCGTTCCGTTCCCCGGCGTAGCGTGACGTCTCATGTGCATATCTAGCATCCTAAAAATACTATCCAAGCCGTAGTCACCTTGAAAAAGGCAGAGGAATAGTGTTTTGGGTGTGAGCTGGGAAAAGGGTAAACCCCTGTTATTTATTAGTTGGGGGTGTGTCCACCGTCGCGCTCTTGCGCATGCGCGTAATCCCTATTCACGCGCGCTGTTGTGTTTCTCAATTTCTCCCCCTTAGTCAATACAGATAAAGTTGGTTCTGGGCCACTCGGCACAGTGGAGAAAGAAGCCAACAGTGGAAGGGTACACCCATGACTGGACCATTCTGGTGCGGGGAGAAGACGGACAGAGCATTAGCCACTTTGTCGAGAAGGTCGTCTTCTTTCTGCACGAGAGCTTCGCCAAACCAAAAAGAGGTAAAAATTCTTTGAAGTTCTCAAGAAAGTGTGTGTGTGTGTGTGAAATTACTACTGTGTTGACTGATTTTTCTGTTTTTCCCGCAGTTGTGAAGGAGCCTCCGTACCAGGTGTCAGAGTCAGGGTACGGGAGCTTCAATCTCCCGGTGGAAGTCTACTTCAGGAACAAAGACGAGCCGAAGAAAGTCCGGTTCGAGTACGACCTTCTCCTCCCGAACCTGAACGACCCGCCCATCAACCAGATCCGCTCCGAATGCCTCACGTTCCAGAACCCGAGCGAGGAATTCAGACAAAAGCTCCTCAAGGCTGGTGGGGTAGAGACAGGAGGGGGAGGGGGAGGGGGAGGGGGAGGGGGAGTGGTGGGTGGAGAAAAGCCCAAAACCGGGGGAGGTGGGGGGAATGTTCCCAAAAAGCGAGCCGCTACTGGTGGGGACAGCGACCGCCCGAAGAAAAAGAGCAAGACGGAGCGATCGAAAAAGGCAAAGAGCAGCAGCGATTCGAGTGAGTCGAGCAGCGACAGCGAGAGCGGGGATGGCGAAGACCACTCCACACTGCCTCCCTCGAGGAAAACCTCTAGCAAGAAACCACTGCCCAACAGCTGGGACACCTCGGCCCTCAAGCGACTTCACAAGCAGCTGAACTCCTTACAAGACCCGCAGCAGTTGCAAGAGATAGTCAACATCATCGAGCAGACCGGGCTCTATAATCTCACCACATCAACATTCGATTTCGATCTTTGTAAACTAGACGATGGTACCCTAAGCAAGCTCCTCAAATTCGTCGAACCGGCCAGTTGAGAGAACATTTTCACATCACCACAAAATTATGTTCTGCTCTCTGATAGTTTCTTGGACTTTTACTTGTGTATGCATTAACAATAACACAGACTCCTCCCCCACTCACAGAGTCACATGCTTATACACATACACATTTTTACTCGACACACGTTCCAAACTCCACGCGAGAAAACAGACAGACCGTAAACTGGAAAAACTGTGTGTATGTTCTGTCAGTTGTTAAGGTACTATATATATACACCTCTGTATTGTTTTGTGACGTTATAGCCCATGCAGTAATAATGTTGGAAATTTAATCTGCCAGTCACCCTGTATAATATACAAGTGTACATATTTTTTCTTTCACTGATGTAAGTCACTAAAAATTTTTCACCATGAGACATATCTTTGAGCTAAAACGATAACTTATATAATTATTATACTAAAGCAAGAGCTGATCAAGTGCAGACCAAGGCAGAACACCTTTCATGTCATTCGTTTCACCCAGCTGATCCCTCAGATCTACCATACTCAAGCTACCATTGAAATTGAGGTGATCTGCTAGCATCTGTGGCAGGGAACTGATTGAATTCCGGCTCATGTTTAAATTCTCAAGTGACTTTATTTTCAGGAGGTGCAGTGGAAACTGCTCTAGCTTATTACGGTTCAGTAGGCACACTGTCAATGAACGGAGCTCAGAAAACGCCAGTGGTAGTTGAGAAATGGAGTTGTGCGATAAAGATAGCCACTTTAACTCCGAGAGGTTCCTGAGCTCGTCGGGAAGGTCTGAAATTGAGTTTTTGGCAAGTGAGAGCCTTTTCAGTTTGCAAAGAGCGCACACCTCAGCTGGAAAAGAAGATAGTCCCACTGAAGTCAACCAGAGCTCAGTGAGGCTCAGGAGAAGGGAGAAACTGGGCGGGAGACAGCCTAGCTTGTTGTAGCTGAGGTTGAGGAACTGGAGGTAGGCGAGGGAGGAGAGGTGGGAGGGGAAGAGGGTGAGCTCGTTCCGCTCCAGGGAGAGGGCGCGGAGGCGTGTCAGCTGAGCCACCTCGCTGGGCGGCATGAGGAGCCCGTTGTCGTTGAGGAGGAGTGTCTCCAGGTGCGTCAGCTTTACCAGCTCTTCAGGGAGGACTCTCAGACCTCTGTGACTCAGGACGAGAGTGGGGAAGCGCGTTCTCTCTGACTCTTGCATGAGCACCCGCACAACTTCGCTCTGCAGCGACATTTTGCGGGTAGTGACGTCATATTTACGTCACGATCGGGCTCTTGACGACTAGTACTTTGCGGTCGGATAAACGGCGTTGCCTGCGCCGTTTGTCGTTCTCTCCTCTGTGCTACTACCGAGCTGATAGGCTCTCTTGACTCGGGCTAGTCGATATGAACGGGCTCTCCTTCTCAGAGATCTGCTACCTGTTCTGCTGTCCTCCTCTGCCGTCGAGGATAGCGGCCAAGTTGGCGTTCCTTCCCCCCGAGCCCACCTACTACTTCGACGAGGAGCCCGACGGGACGCAGTCGCTGCACCTCACGGAGCGAGCCGAGTGGCAGTACACGCACAGGGAACTGGAAGGCATAGAGGTGTTCCGTACGCGGACTCGACGTGGTAACAACATAGCGTGCATGTACGTCAAAAACACCGAGAACCCGCAGTACACCATCCTGTTCACGCATGGAAACGCCGTGGATTTGGGTCAGATGGCCAGCTTTTTCGTGGGCCTTGGCTCTCGCATCAACTGCAACGTTTTCAGCTTTGACTACTCCGGATACGGGATCAGTAGCGGTCGGCCGACTGAGAAGAACGTGTACGCCGATGTCGAGGCAGCGTGGAGCGAACTGAAGAAGAGATATAACGTAGCCCCCAACAAGATCATTCTCTACGGGCAGAGTATCGGGACGGTGGCGGCCATAGATCTAGCGACGCGGTTCGAGGTGGCAGGAGTTATTCTCCACTCACCGCTCATGTCTGGGATGAGAGTGGCTTTCCCCGACACTCAGAGAACGTGGTGCTTCGACCCATTTCCTAGGTATGTGTGTGTGTCAGTGTGTGTAGGGAAGTATGTGGTTAATGTTAATTTTATTGGGGGAAATATGGGTCTGATATGTTATCCATATACACAGGGGAGCCTGACGTCTCGTATGTCCTTCCTTACCTCGTAAATGAAGTCCCATAATATGGTTGTTGGGGTACTATTGGTTGTCTACTAGGGAGATTAGTGCGTCCTTTATAAACAAGCCGAGGGGTGTAGCCATGTTCAAACATGTGGCATATACAAGATTTACATCAGGTGTACAAGTAACTCAGGAGTTAGAGCGTTCTATACTGGCCAGTTATCATGCAGATGCATGCATGTGTCCATTATGGCACAGTTATCTCTCTTTTCATCCATGTTTTCAAGACTCCATTTTAGTTAGTCACCACAGCTGGCAAGCTTCCTCTATCCAGCCTCTGTGTGAATAGTAATGTAGAGCGTATTGAAACTGCCATTATAGCAGTACACTTAAGGATTTTTAGTCTGTTGTCCTCTAGTTGGCACTCACTGAGATTCAGCGATTCAGCACTGTGTGTTTTGAATGAGGTAGTATGAAAGATTAGCACAGTGGCACTTCCCAAATGGTGGACCATTCCCTTGCTGTGGTGACAGAAACTTTACCAGTGCCCGTTTTGTTTGTGCATAGGTGGGAAGAAAGATAGAATGACTGGGTACATGTGACACTTTGTGCAGTAAGTGTACCTGAAAGAAAGGTGGCCTGTTAGCCAGAGTGGACTGTCAATGGGAACTCTTTTTCTAGCTATTGTGGCGTTTTTCTCTCTAAGTGTTGAAAAACTCCCAGAGTTGTATAATATACTGTTTTGAGAGCAGTTGTTACAGTAGAACCTCTATTCATGACACCAACGGGATATATTTGGGAGGTGTCCTATTTCAGGGGTTACGTGCCATGCTTATGAGAGGTGTCCTCCATTAACAGTGCAATGGTCATACATGTATTGTCTTGACACACGAGATCTAACTATGTTTTTACTACTAACACACACGCACACCCCCCCCCAGTATTGATAAAATATCAAGAGTCACGTCAACGGTGCTGGTGATACACGGAACGGAAGACGAGGTCATAGACTTCTCACACGGTCTACAGATCTACGAGAGGGCGCCGCACACAGTCGACCCCCTCTGGGTGGAGGGAGCGGGGCACAACGACGTCGAACTCTACGGACAGTACCTGGACAGACTGAGAAAGTTTATTAGTCAAGAAGTCGGCTCCTCCTAGCCCCACGCCCGCTTCTCTCTATAAGAATTTTATGTGTCACTGTAGTCATCATGCATGGTTTACTATTATAGATGTGTATTATTCACTTGTGTACGTGTCTGTGTGCGTGCCCTCTTTACTGCTTGTATAACACATTTCAGACAGTCTTTATCGGTGGGCTTTATTTGGGGTACGGGTGCGCATTATTTGGAGGTTGAGTGCACGCGGGGAGAAGATGCCCACAGTTTTCCTGCTGGACAGGTCTCTGTCCATGAGACGGAGCGTCTCTCGGGATCACTCTGAGCTGACGCGACACGACCTGGCTTGCCGCGGGCTGGAGTGGTTCCTGCGCTACATGAAGACGACCTTCCCACTCGAGTACACGAGTCTCCTCTCGTTCTCCTCGCAGTGCGACGTCATGGTCCCGTTCACGCGCGAGTATGAGCGACTCATCGAAGCTCTGGGCAAGATAACGGTGCTGGACCGCACGGAACTCCTCAGCGGACTACTGGGACTAGTCGAGGTCATGGTGTTCGAGTGGGGAGCCTTTGCTCCGTGTCAGGCGGTGCTCGTCACGGACGGCATGCCGGGGGTGAGACACCAAGACGAGAGCCACAAGCGGAGCCGGCTCAACATGGTATTTCCCTGCCAGCTGCATGTGGTGTGCGTTTCCACTCGCCACGAGCTTTCCCTCCCTGCCTCCAACGGGCAGACCCGGTTGCAGCAACTCTGCCAGACATCGGGGATACCGGAAACAAACGTCTTCCTCCCTCCGGCCCCACTCTCCATCGAATCCGTCCTCTCCACCTTTCGTCAGCTCGCCAAGACGCACTTCCAACCATTTCACGGGACGCTGAAATGCGGGCAGCTGCGTTCCAGAATCAGCCTAGTTCCTTCCCCCTCCATGCACAAGGCGACATTTTCTATCCAGGTCGCACCCGACCAGCAGTTTCCGAGGCTAGAAGAGGGGCTGCGTGGACAGAAGTACCCGAATGAAATCAGTGTCTGCGGGTTCCTGGATATTTCCAGCCTCTCCACTCCTCCGTTTTACGCCCGACACTTTGTTCTGGATCCAAACGAGCCACAGAGCGGCAGCAGCAGTGGAAGTGATAGAAGCGAGACGGTCACCACTCCGTCGATTCTCTCTCCCAAGACTCCTACCCCCTCTGGCGGGCCGGGGGGAGGAGGAGGAGGAGGGGGGGACGGCTCTGAGAAGAAGACGGAGGACTCGCAGAAGCCGTCGTTTCGAGTACTTCTGCACGGGAGCCTAAAGTGCGAGTCTAAGAATGCACTCGTCAAACTAGGGTCAGTGAGTGAGTGGGTTAAGAAGGTGATGTGTGTATTGTAGTGGGACATTAAATTGTCATGGAGTAATAAAGCTGGGAAATTTATGTATTGCAGGCACAATTTCAGAAGTTGCTGCACCTTAAAAAGTTGTTGTGGCAAGAAAGATTGAAGCATGTGTCCAGAATTCGACGGTTTTCTTTCAATTTCCGAACACTAGCTGTGATGCTATTTTCGCAGCATGCCAAGCGTACGTACGTACGTATAATTATACTTAGAGTTTCCCTCCACTGTGGATCACCTGAGCAAACTGACTCTGAGCTAATATTATTCACCATCTGTAGGGACGACTGGTACGGGCTACTGTTTTCCCAAACTTCCTCCTCCAAAAAGGCAAACCTGGTCCTTGGAGTATTTTATCCCAGAGCGTCTCTCTCGTGGCTCGGACAGTTCCAGTATCTAGGCAACCGTCCGGAGAATGCGGTGGACCCGCGACTGCAGTCGGAGGAGAAAGCTCCGATGTTCCCCCTCCCTCCTCCACGACCACACAGCTTCCAGTCACCCAACAACTTCTTCTGGGCTGAAGAGGGTGTCCTTCAGGTATATTTTACAGTATAGCCGGATAATTGCACGGAGGGAAACATTTGTGAATTCCACGGTATTTTGGCCATATTTTTTTCTTGTGCAAAGTTTTGTACAACTCCCCAGCTATTGATGGAAATTTTTGTGGGACAAAAAGCACATTTTGTGGAGAAAATTACATGTTTTTCTCCCACTTTATTTACTTATAGAGTGACATCACCAAGGTGATACGTTACAGTCGAAAACTCCCAGAGAAAGAATCATCTCTTGTCAAGGTATATACACATTAGCACATCCCCAAATTAATGCCCACCTTGGTTGTAAAAATTAAGATGCTGGGAAAATGAGCATTTTTTAGGGAAAAGACAACAACAAAAAGGCCAAACAACAAAGCACAAAAACAAACAACTAACGGCAAATAACAAATTGGGACGGAGGCATGAAAACCTGAATGTAGATAACTACAAATTTAGAGAAAATTATCACGTGCCCTGTTGCCCCCAATGTGTACCCTACATTGTGATAGGAGTTGAACAAGCTGCGACTAGTGGCACTGACATACAGCATGCCAGAGCTGACAGAGGTGTTGGCTCTGGTCCTGGGCCAGGAGGAGGCTGGGTCCTCAACTCCGCAGATCAAGACACTCCTCCACCAGTGTTCCCACTTCCTCTCCACAAACAAGAACCCCCAGGACAGACTTGTGGTCACCTATAAATAGTCGCTCGCCTCTCCTCTCTCTCTCTCTCCGTCTACCCGCTCTCTCTTGGTGTTTGTTCCTTCTTCTGTTGTTTCTGTCGTTTTTTCCTGCTCTCTCTTCCCCCAAAATAAGGGTGCCAACAATTTCACATTTTTTGTTGGCACATGAGTGGAAAAAGAGACAAGCCAACTATCCTTAATACTCTGACTTCAGTTGGAGCATGGAATGGTGACATCTTCTATCTCGCTGCACCTATCCCTATCTCGCCCAAATTTCACTGTCCCCCTATATAAAGGTGTCAACGATTTAGCATTTTTTGTAGGTACATGAGTGGAAAAAGGGACAAGCCAACTATTCTTAATACTTTGACTTCAGTTGGAGCATGGAATGGTGACATCTTCTATCTCGCTGCACCTATCCCTATCTCGCCCAAATTTCACTGTCCCCCTATATAAAGGTGTCAACGATTTAGCATTTTTTGTAGGCACATGAGTGGAAAAAGAGACAAGCCAACTATCCTTAATACTCTGACTTCAGTTGGAGTATGGAATGGTGACATCTTCTATCTCGCTGCACCTATCCCTATCTCGCCCAAATTTCACTGTCCCCCTATATAAAGGTGTCAACGATTTAGCATTTTGTGTAGGCACATGAGTGGAAAAAGAGACAAGCCAACTATCCTTAATACTCTGACTTCAGTTGGAGCATGGAATGGTGACATCTTCTATCTCGCTGCACCTATCCCTATCTCGCCCAAATTTCACTGTCCCCCTATATAAAGGTGTCAACGATTTAGCATTTTTTGTAGGCACATGAGTGGAAAAAGAGACAAGCCAACTATCCTTAATACTCTGACTTCAGTTGGAGCATGGAATGGTGACATCTTCTATCTCGCTGCACCTATCCCTATCTCGCCCAAATTTCACTGTCCCCCTATATAAAGGTGTCAACGATTTAGCATTTTTTGTAGGCACATGAGTGGAAAAAGAGACAAGCCAACTATCCTTAATACTCTGACTTCAGTTGGAGTATGGAATGGTGACATCTTCTATCTCGCTGCACCTATCCCTATCTCGCCCAAATTTCACTGTCCCCCTATATAAAGGTGTCTTTTGTACTTTTTTCAAGCATATTAAAGGAAGCACAGCTGAATCGACCATCTATTACACATTGATATAGCATAGTGAGTGAAATTTGTTGTATCTAAGTAATGTTGATAGTTTTTGAACTATTATGAAGCAGAAACTTCCATGTAGCAGTAGATGCACGAAACTTCACTGTGGCATAATAAGGTGCCCTAGTTTTTGTACTTTTTTCAAGCATATTAAAGGAAGCACAGCTGAATCGACCATCTATTACACATTAATTATAGCAAAAGTTTGCAGTGAAATTTGTGGTATCTAAGTAAAATGATAATTGTAGACTAGTTTATGAACAATTATGAAGCAAGAAAACTTCCATGTTCCAAATTTCGCTGTCCCCCTATATAAAGGTGTCAACGATTTAGCATTTTTTGTAGGCACATGAGTGGAAAAAGAGACAAGCCAACTATCCTTAATACTCTGACTTCAGTTGGAGTATGGAATGGTGACATCTTCTATCTCACTGCACCTATCCCTATCTCGCCCAAATTTCACTGTCCCCCTATATAAAGGTGTCAACGATTTAGCATTTTTTGTAGACACAAGAGTAGAAGAAGAGACAAACCAACTATCCTTAATACTTTGACTAGGGTTGGAGTATGGAATGGTAACATCTTCTATCTTGCTGCACCTATCCCTATCTCGCCCAAATTTCGCTGTCCCCCTATATAAAGGTGTCAACAATTTCGCATTTTTGTAGGCACATGAGTGGAAAAAGAGACAAACCAACTACTTCAGTTGGAGCACTATCCCTCGCCTTCCTTCCCTTTCTCCTGTCCTCCCCCATCCATCTCTCTCGTGTCTGTCTCTCTAATATGGACTGTTGTTTATACTCCTACTGTTGTGGTAGAGATTCAAAATAGAATTCGGAGTGACGCCACCCACGTAGCTTTTGCTTGTTACAGCTAATATCCATTTTAAAAAATAGAATATATACAACAAGTGTGCATGTATGGCACAAATTTTTTTGATAAGTGAATTACAATCTCTTTTGGGCTTCTTCTTCGGATATGCCCTCAAAGTGACTGATTGTGCGAACCATTGCCTGCAAAAAAGTACATCGGCTGTAGTTGTTTTAACCCCTTTAAAGTGGGTTAAATATTGCATACCTCGGGCAGTAAAACGTCTCCGGCATATGTGAAAAGAGAAGAGTTGAAAGATTCCTCGGCAATCTTCTGAAGGTGTCGAATAAGCTTCATTTTCTTCGAGATCGTCCACTTGTTGCACGGACCGTACTTGCTGCAGAGTGCCAGCTGCTGCTTCTGCTTTGCCGTCCCACTGATGTATACCGTGTGATACTCTGAGGGGGTAGCCCCTGACATGATTTCTATCAGCGTCGGCTGTTAAACGAAACCTTATCGAAACTGAAACCTGCCGATGGTGCAATTACCTTTAATTTTGTGAAGTGTTGCAAGACTTTTTCCAATGAGTAGACGGAACTGTGTGAAGGGGAAAATGAAATTAGTCGGAACCAAAACCTCGATCTCCACATTTCAACATAGTCTTTCTCAAGCAACGTGATCATGACACCGATAATTATCAATGGATTAGCTTACTTCTCTTCTTCTTCTTCTTCGCTGTCAGATTTGCTGACTTCAGAATCTGACGCCTCCTCCTCCTCCTCCTCCTCCTCTTTCTCTCTGTCCATGAGATCAGGGTCCAGTGGGAAACCAAATGCAGACACTGTTGGCGGTTCTGACGTGTAGAAATACATTCACATTCTGAATTCGAAATTCGTGTCTACACTTTCACCGGCAAGAGGATTAATGCAAAAATTGGGCATTTCCAGTATAGTATATAATTATACAGCATTTTTCAACTGAACTCCAAATAAAGCACACCTTTCCTACTTAATGCAGTGCTAAACATTTGAATAAAGGACCTTGTCACTAGGTGCTAGTGGATTGAACCTTGTCACTAGGTGCTATATAGTGCATTTCCGGAAACGTCTGTGTACTGTGTATTTGATGGTTCAGCAGTGGTTGGCATATACTTACCGAGTTGGCGGACGCTGAGGCTTTGTTCCATCCACGCAGCAGGAGGTGTCTGGAAGATAGAAGGAAAAGGAGAAGAGATGGGAGAGGGAGAATTGAGAGAACAGTTGAGTATTACAGTGGAACCTCCGATAAGGGACCCTCTGAGATAGGGACGAACTTTCTACAAAGGACACTTGTTTGAACCCCATGCTAATAAATGTTTTTTGACCTCAGAGATAGGGACGACCTCTCTACAAGGGACACTTGTTTCAACCACATGCTAATAAATGTTATTTGACTTCAGAGATAAGGGACGACCTTTCTACAAGGGACAAAAACGTTGGCCCCATAGTGTCCCTTGTTCAGAGGTTCCAATGTACATAACTGTATATATGTACCATAGAAGCTGGTCTCTTCTCACATATCTGCTTGAACATCTCAAGGGCCGATCCTGTCAGTTCTGTATATATACATATACATGCCACGTGACAGTCACATGACATTGTGTCACCCTGCACAATCTACCTTTGTTCCATTTTGCAGTGATAAAAGCTTCAGCTTCCTGGACGGACTGTAGGAAGTACTCGGCGTTCTCTCCACACTCTCGCCCCGCTCTCTAATAACACACAGAATCAGTTTCAGTTTATTGCATAATGAACATACCATGAATTTCTCGTATTCCTCATTTCCACGAACGTATCGAGCCAGTTTGCGTCTCTGTGCGTACTTGATGGTCACACTGTTGGAAAAAAATTTTTTTAAATGCGGTGACGGCAAAAATTTCTTACGGGTCGTGTTCGGGCTTGTCGCCAAAGTAAATGATCCTAGCACGTGCTTTACTCTTTGTCTTTGTCGGATATCCTTTCACTACCTGCAGTGGATTGACACTTCAGCTTCATTGGTATAAGAACACTGCACTTTTTCCCAAGGGATATAGTATAAAGTATTTGGTGGATTTGGGTTTGGGATATAGTATAAAGTATTTGGTGGATTTGGATTTGGCAGTTTCAGATTGATTATACGATCGACAGGTGGGGTTTGCAATGTCAGACATGTGACTGGCCACGAGATCACATGACCAGCTTTAATGCACTACCGAATACGCACCAGAGCAGGCCAATGAGGGAAAGTCTTCCATTTCATCCATATGTGGTCTCCCTCCTTCAACTTATTGACTGCAGAGTAAATCAGAATTTGAGAGGCTATTAACCGCTTTCAACATTCGTCTGATGTGTCTTACTGGTGACTTTGGTGGTGGAGGTAGTCTGGTAGTTTGGTAGGTCATCGTCTTCGCTGCTGGGGTCACTCTCTTCCTCCTCTGTCGTCATGGTCTTTCCCCCCTCTCTCTCCTCCTCTTCCCCCCTCTCCTTCTCCCTCTTCTTCTCCTCCTTCTCTTCCTTCTCCCTTTTCTTCTCAAGTTTCTTCACCACCTTTGCACTTTTCGGTTCTTTTACCCTCGCCTTCTTTTGCCGTGGTTCATCTGTTCCTTCTTTGTTCTGTTCAAACTCCATTCTTGAAACTGGCTCTTCCTTCCTCCCCTCCTCAGTTGTCTCACCAGCTGGCGTTTCCTCTCTCTCTCTGCCCAGTGTCAAGGTTACTTCCGAATTCTTCGACACTCTGCCATCCCCTGCATTCTCTCCCGCTAGTGCCATTCTGCTCCGCTCCGCCACACACCCCTCTCTCCCCACTCTCACCGTTCTCCCTACCCTCACCCCTCCCCACCTCACACTCCCGCATATCCCCACCGCTAGACTCACAGATTGTCAGGATATCAACGACAGCATCGTCCATCGATTCTTCCAAATCCAACCTCCTTCTGACATCACAATCAGCCCCTGAGCGCCCTCCCTCCTCTTCCTCGTCTATTTTCGATCTCTTCTCACTGCTGTACGGAGACATGCTGCATTGTCTTCGCTTCTTCTGACCACTCCTCCTCCGGACGACTTTGGGCAAAATGTCGCTCTTTGCCTTCTCGGCGGTAGACGTCAGTGGTACAGACTGGCATTGTACGGGCGTAGTTGGTCGTTGCCGTAGTCGCCGTTGACTTCTAGTGACACTCCCACCAGTGTCCCCCCTCGAGTCGGTCCCGGGCGTGAATATTTCAGAGTCGTGCAAGAAAGGTCTCCAGACTCTAGCTGGTTGTGGTGTGGGGACTGGAGTCGCGATTTCATCCAGTTCTCTGTCTGAGGGAAGCTCCACGTCAAATGTGGACAGAGGAAAATGCTGAAGTGCTTCTCTAACGGCCGCCACAAAGTTTCTCAGATCAGTTTTATCTGCACAAAAAACGACGTCATTATAACGTGAAGTAGTCTGTGGTATATATATATATAGTGTGTCAGTGGAAGATTTTGCGGTCGTATCTGAGTGTTTGGGTCGCCAAATCAAAGTAGCTATATACACACAAAAAAACAACTATGTGGAATGACCATCAATTCCACATTTAGCAAATAATTCGGTAAATTCGTCACTTTTTAGCCTGCAATATTTATTCAGCACTAGCTGCATAATAATATACTGACGTTTCTTCTGGAGCCGTTTGATCTGTTCCTGTACAATTGACTGACAATCAGGGGAGACGAACGGCTTCAGCTGGGGAAGTCCGATTTTCACCCACCCATACCTGTGTCAACACAAACACTGCAGTTGAACCTCAGAAAGAAAAGACAACTTGGGAACATCGTTCTTTAACGTATTTGGAGGTAGTAAAATACACAATTGTATATGTATACGGCAGAGCCAAGTATCTTTTAAGGACAAGTATCTTTTTATTCAGACGATCCATTTTTGGAAGTTAGAGTCTCGCTATGGTAATATTATTCTAGAGCTTTCATAGCTGTATACACACGAACAGTTTCATTTAGCAAAAGGTTTGCTTACGGGTAGTTGTCACCTAGCGCCTTTAGGTCAACAGATCTCCTTTCGCCGTCCTCCGAGACTTGCAATACCTACGGGGAAAACACACACGCTGCTTTCGTGGTCACAAAAGCTGAGAAGCATAGGCAAGAGAGACGGATGAGCTGTTAGATGGATCATGGACGCACCATGCAAGGCCACCATCCAGTTTTTTTGTCGTTGCGATACCAAACCGGCTGTCCCGCACGGTAATCACAGACGGTGTCCCTCTCTTCTTTCCCCCAACTTTCACCCGCCGTTGCAGCCATTTTAAAATCTGAGCGCATGCGCACAAATCTCATAAACCACGCCCACCATCTGCTCGATCTCCACGCAGTCAGTGTAGTAGCCATGGTGCGGGTGTACGTGAAGGGGAGAGGGGAGACTTCTTCTCTCCCTCGAACGGAGGTGAAGCTGGAAAAACTCGAGGGTTTACCGGTAGAAGACTTGACCGAGGCCGTCGCTCGTCTAATGAACATCGACAAACAAGAACTGCGTCAGTAACACAGCTAGCTAAAAACTTTGTGACTCACGCTTTCTGTACCTGTGGTCTTTGCAGATCTGATGTATGGAGGACGTGTACTGAAGGGCGGTAAGACCTTGGACTACTACCAGATAGAGGACGGATGCACGCTTCACGTTATGCACCACAATAAGAAAAGTATGCACAGAGTATCCTTGTCCCTGTATGGCACCTCTACCTCTTTGTCTGTTTGCTTGGGCCAGTCAAGTATGCATCTCTTCCGACCGGTCCGGAAGGGATGGCGGTCGTTTTTGCAAGCTCAAGAATTCAATCAGAGGTAGGGCCATTTCGAAGATGCCTCAAATTTGCCACGAAATATTATAGCTCAAAATAGAACAATTCACTGTATGATAATTACGTTCCGTAGATGGAACCTTTCATCAAGGACCCAGAGCTGGTAGCCAAGATGATTCCTATGGGGGACCCTATTGAAATTAGAGGTATATTATACTTATGTACACCCCTGCTCTATATCAGTGGACTACCAGAAGGGACCAACTAAGAAAGTAGTATATTAACTGATTGTGTAGGGAGGTGTGTAGGTGTTCACTTTATGTATATTATTAATGCTGTTGTGTCTCAACTCTACAGAGGTTCTTGAAGATCCAGATCTAATGGTGAAAATTTCAGACATAGCCAGAATCAACCAGTGAGTGGGTTTCAGTTTGTCAGTGTGGGATATTGAACCACACATTCTATGCAGTGGAACCCTCCTCTAGTTCTGAAGACACCCCTGCAGGCATCTATAATGATACTTTTACCCAAGAGCAGTTTCTTTTAATAAGGACACCTCACTAATATGGACACTTTCCATTCCATGTCTTGACCAACTTTAGTAATGTATTTTGCTATTTTTGTGGAGGTTGTGTGCTGCCCTCTTTCTCTCTCCCTGCCACCACGCCACTGACTCAGTCATCTCCACAAGAACCACCTGCTGTTCCCAGTCATGAAGGCTCTACTGAGACTCCACAGGGTCAAGTACTGCGTCAAGGACAGTGGGCAGGCCCGCGTGGATCATCTCTCCCAGCAAGTGGGGCAAATACTGGAGCTGGCCGGTGGCTCCGATTTCGAAACAGTGAGGGAGAGAAAGAAGTGCATGAGAACGGAGAGAGAGAGAGAGAGGGAAAGAGACAAAGAGGGTGTTGGATAGTTAATAATTATCGGTTAGGGTATAATATGGTGCATGGTAAACTGGCAAGGCACGTGTAAATCCATTAAATTTTGGGGTTCAAATTTGCACCTAAAGTTTACAGCAGGTGGGAGGGGAAGGGATATATATGCTCCTCAGACTTTCAACAATACACAAGTTTAGTTCTTGAAGGCCAAGTATTTTGTGAAATAATTATATCTCTTAAAATCTTCTTGTTTCCCAGATTATCATCCCAAGTGAAGCGTCTGCAGAGCACCCTGGTGTCCAGTTGATGCACGGTACAGTTCATCCCTCTTCTCTGACCACTCCCACGGTGGCACCAGGTACAGTGAAAGCACGCCTTCAATACCCCCAAGTGTCTCTTCTTCAGAGGTTGTTCCACTACTGTGCAATGAATATTAATGGTAACAGGTACGGTGGAGACTGAGGAACTGGGGGAAGAGGACGATGGTTCTCTGGGTCTGCCGAGTCTCGGGGTCACTCCTGCTGACCTGGCGTCTGCCCTCGCTAGTATCGACACTGAGCAATCTGACTCTCAACACAGCTCTATGAGGTAGAGATAGTGATTGCTTTATTTAGCCTCTTTCTAAGGTTGCAGACTATAGCAATGAAGAAACCCACAGAATTGTGTATGTAGAGCTTTCGTGCAGTATGCTAGAGGGCTAGGCTTCTCTCTCTGTTTCTCTCTTCAGTGTGGAGATGTCTTCACAGCCTCCTCTGTCTCTCCCCGTGTTACCCCCCAACGTCTCTGGCACAAGGTACGCAGTGTATGGGACACCTAGTTGGTCCATCAAAACACTACTCCAGCAGTGCTCAAGTATGCCGAAACATCCAATATCTGTGTTTATAAATCCCTCCAGTGCCTTATAATGTTGAGTTAACTCTCCTCAGTGCCCCAGCCAGTCTCCAGGAATCGGAGCTACTCTCCGTTCCTCCCCCTCCGACTGTGAACAGAAGTCTGAGTGACTCGGGACATGGGAACACGGGAACCAGACACGACGCCAGTGGCCCCACCTCCTCCTCCTCCTCCTCCATTTCACAGATGGATCTCCAGCAGGCACTGTCACAAGTCCTCAGCACTGCCCAGGTTAGCACAGTTAAACCCCTTGAAAGTGTCTTTTATTCAGATGTAGTATAATGCACTGTGGCTGTCTATTTCACACAGCGTCATCAGCAAGCGGGACCTGTTTCCACCAGTCACCAATCTCCCCGCACTCCCTCCCAGCACCGCCCTCGCCATCGTCACGGTGGGCACCAGTCACGGAGAGAGACAGCTCTCAGGGAGCGGTACACTGCACATGTGAGTTGTACCGTAGTCTCCAGCATATTGATCGCCAGTAAACACGCAGATGTGCATAAACCATGCTAAACAGCCACTCCTTTTTGCAGTATAAGTCACAAGAGTAGGACTTATATGCAAAACAGTATTTTCAATGGGTATTACAGCTCCTGCCAATAGTGAAATTGACAGAGTAGTGCAGTGCCCCTCTCTCCCTATATAACCCCCAGTTGGAGCAGCTGCATGCTATGGGAATAACCTACAGTGACTCAGAGTGTCTGCATGCACTGGAGGCAGCGGATGGGGACCTGCAGACTGCACTGGAGATACTCATGGGAGACCCCAACCACTGAACAGTCAATGTATATACCCCTCACTGGACACTGATTGAACCGAACGATGACACACACTGACTGGATACGAGATAATTCTTACAGGCTTTTTGATCGTTAGTGTCACCTTCTAGACCATCATGAAGTTGTAAGTGTGAGGCTGCAAATTTTGTTAGTAGGACGGTTTGTATGGTGCAGGACAAGCAACTGCAACAAACGTTTTCCAACCCAAGCGAATGAAGGTTATCTCCCTGAGATATTTCCCACATTCTGCGTATATACGGTGCCAATATTAGCCGTATAATGTGATATGATGGCCTAAGAAGTGTATTTGAAGCGATATGCCAACATTACTGTTCAGATCGTGGTGGTGTCTTCTTGCTCTGGCTCTGGCTCTGGCTCTGGCTCTGGCTCATAGTCGCGAGATTTCATTTTCACCCCATGTCTCTTCATCAGTCCAGAGTACTGCTCCCTGTACTTTAGCGATAGCTGCTCTGGACACAGCTGGTACCTGCAGTCAGTAGTGCATCTCTCGGCCACACTCACACACAGTCTATGCAATATTTTGTAGGCGGGGATATTTGTATCGTGAGGCCAGCGATCAGGGAAAACTTTCGCCGTAAAAATTCGCGTTTGCTACCGAAACGTCCTCAAAAGCTTCCTGCTGCATGTGTGGTAGCAGAGAGTTGAAGGTGTTCGAGCTAATCAGCACTAGTCCCCACAAGAATGAGAATTGCGTTTTACTCACATTCCACTGGATGCCTGAACCCAGACGGTCTTTGCTTCTTTCTCCACAAACACCTTCTTCACGTGACCAAACAGTACCTGCAGCTCCTTATCCTGCATCACATTAACAGAGAACCTCTCTCAATAAAATTTGAAGAGGGCGTTAGTTGGCAAAACAACAGCCTTCTCACAACATTGTTCTGGAAGGGATCAGTTGCAAGAAGAGCAACTTCATGATCGCAAAAGTGTATTTTTCTACTGAATTGCGCAAGTTTTCTGCCTCAAAGGTTTCCCTGCAGTATACTGTGCATCCCCACCTCGTATCTAAGAGTGCCAGCAATCTTGAGAGACTTGATGTTCTCGCTGTCCATCGGACAAGTGGCTCTGAAGTCGTGGAGCTTGTAGAAGGGACCGTGGGGCCCGTCAATCAGGAACATTTGAGGGTTCTCCCAGTAATCAATGTCCTCTTGCTTGACTGAGGTGTATAGGAAGGAGATGGGTAGTGAGGATGGGGCAGTTTTACAGTAGAACCCCTCTAATTCGGACACCGTCCATATTAGTGAGGTGACCGGGGTTAGCAAGAAACTGTTCTTGGGTGAAGAAAAGGTATATATCCTTATTAGAGAGGTGTCCTCGTTTCAAAAGGGTTCCACTGTACGTTTACCTTTTTCTAAGTCTTTCTTGTACTGCTTGAGTGTACCTGCGAAATAGAGTTCACTGGTATCTCACGACCGAAAAAGTATTTTACTCACTTTGTTGTGGAAGAAACCTCCTTATAATGAGCTGAGAGTGTGTGTGTAAGACTGAGATAACATATGCAATATACATACAGAGCCATACAATTTAGAAGTAGTATATATAGGGATGACACGTGTTTTTCCAGCACTTTGCCATACATGATTACTGTCCCATACAAAACTGTAAGAATCATCTCTTGTGAAGCAACACCAGAGAACTCGCATTTTGAACATACATACACTTACCAGAACGGCGTGCATGATGCTCCCCACAACACAGAGTACCACACAAGCCGCGATGGAACTCAGCAGAACCATTCTCACTCCGCCCGTTGTGGGTCCATACAACACCGCCAGACTGTCTTCTTCCCCTTCAAACACTGCATTACGTCATAGTGATGTAACTTGAATTTCGATGTCAGTACATAAATTACCGGCTTCGTCGTGGTCACGGAGAGGTATTGAGGCGTAGGCAACGAGGACTGGGTTGTCACAGAAGGGGTGTGGCTTGTTGGCCCAAAGCTCCGCCCAGCAATCAGTGTACACTGGGTCTTCATTGCTGTCAGGATTTCTCCTGTTCATAGGGGCAGATACACAACCCCTTCTGAACTCTATTCTCTATTGCAGTGGAGCAAGAGCTATATTATTATACACTACTCAACTGTGAGAGCTCTATAATTATATATATATATACATCACACACTAGGTACACTAGCACAACTTGCTTACTTGAAGTAGAACGGTTAAAAGAGAACACTACATACATACGTACGTGGGCATGAAGAAGTAGACATTACTGAGATTAATGTCGTCTCCCGAGAAGACCAGTGAAGGTTTGGGAGGGGTGCTGGTCCCAGTCAGACCAGCCACGGCCTGGTGGACTAGACACTCTCCATATGTCCTGGTAATAAGGATGTCTGAACGACCGCAGTAGACGTGTAACTGGTTCAGGTTGGCTATCTGGGAACAATGAAGAGCTGCTAGCACTAAGGAATGTCAGTGCATAAGGTCTAAACTTTAATAAACAGGTGCAAGATAAGCTACTAAAGATAGAACTAAACAGGTACAAGAATGCAATTGAGATTCTGTTTTCAGCCTTATTATACTGCCACATTCACTTAAAAAATAAACTCATATACTGACAATTTGCCCATACATTTATGGAAATGTGCAAGAGAATGACAAGGTGACTCTGAGAAAGGGGGAGGAAGAGGAGGAGAAGGAGGAGGGGTCTGACCAGGTGTTGCTGGTGACCTTGAACTCCCAGCGATATGGCGATTGCCTTGACCAGCTGGAGTCTCCTCTCGTCTGGGAGATTTGCCCCACTCTGGACTTGTTTGTCTATCGCGAGAGGATCCATCTGCTCCACTGGTAGGTTGTAGTACATCATGTCCACTTGAGGCAGACCCATGCCTGCATTTGAAGGTGGAGCCCTCTCTAGGGAGACCTCTTAATCGAGGACACCTCGCTAATGAGGACGCCTTATCTTTCCCTAAGAACAACTCTTGCATACAAATGTGGAAGGACACATGACTAATATGCCATTTTCTTCTGTCTCATTGGTGTCCCGATTAGAGGGGTTCTACTGTTTACAAGGGATTGGGAATATGGAGTTATTTTGTTAGAACAAACACAGAGTCATTCTATGCTTGCCTTTCAATTTGCACGGGTCCTTGAAAAGCCCGTGGTAGGTGGTAATGCTCGTGGTACATTCCGGAAACGTCTGCACTTTGCTGGCAAACTCCTTCAGCATCTTGATGGCCAACTTCATCTTGCACGTGTGTTTAGCAACCGGTTTGTGGAGGACTTGTGACCCCGACAGACTGAACTTCACAACTGCCTCCGATTTCTGCTCCCCCCACGAAAAAATATTGATTTGCTAACAACTGCATTGAACCTCTATACTGCGTAAACACACCTTCTCTATCTGGATAGAAATTTGGGAAGAAGGGAAAACCAGGAGCTCTGGAGAACATTCCAGTCCCACTTCAAACGTACCCCCACCCTGTAGTGTGACGATGTGAGAGAGCGAGTGTTAGTCGGTGGACATTTGTGACCCACTTTTCCAGTGTTGTGAATGTGTGCAGATATAGTGGCTGAAGGTATGGTCTCCTCGCTATCCTGCTTCCATACAGTGCTGCAGAAACCTTTCTGTGAGAACTCAATGTGAGGGAACTGAGGGGAAAGAGTATGGAGATATAGGGGGAGGGGGTGAGGGAGAGAGTAAGGAGGGAGAGAGAAATGAGAGAGGGAGGGGGGAGGGAGAGAGGGAGAGAGAAAAGGGGAGGAAAGAGAAAGAGGAAGGGGGAGGGAGAGCAAGGAGAAAGAGCAACAAAGAGAGAAAAAAAGGAGAGATGGGAAGGAAGCTGGGGGATAGCAAGTAGTTGTGTGAGACAAGACCGACCAACAGTTTAGCTCCTGTGATGGGTATCTGGTGAATGTCCAACTGATTGAGAGGACTCTTCAAATCTCCATAGAGAACATATGTGACTTTGCCAGTGTGCTTGTTTCGCCAGCTCGATATGAGACCTAGCATAATATATATATAGGACAGTGTTAGGGGATAAATACACATCTCTCTCGGTTGAAACTTAACTCTCCAAGGACGCTCCTAAAATGAGGACACCTCACACATTTCTTTCCCAAAGAACAGTTTTACATGCACTGAAATGAGCCCACCCTTTCTAATAAGGACACCTTTTCTTTCCCTAGGATAAGTTTTTGCGTGAATTACACCCACAAAAGGGGGACACCCCTTTAATACGAATACTTTATTCTGTCCCAATATAGTGTCCGGATTGGAATGGTTCCACTGTTTAGTTTCATCATCAGTGAGTCCTTGGGGGCATGTAATATGGTGTGGTGTAAGAAGTAGTATACCAGTCAGTTCGGGGAGTCCAAAGGGTGGAATGACTGGAAACCTCTCCGTTGAGTAGAAGCTCTCACCAATACAGTCCCCTGCAGTGGCAGAAGCTCGTGGTGAAAGATACACGCAGAACCAATCTCTATCGTTTGCTTCTGACCTATATAACTTGCCTGGAGAGAGGCTCGTATGAAGCTAGGCAATATTGAACCAACCTGACACACTAGCACTTTTTATACCAGAATGCCGTGTTAAAAGTCCCATATATATCCATGTTTTAACAGAGAGGTAGTAACGCAAAGGAACAATGAACTGTATCTTTAAGAGTAGTTGAAATTGAATCCTGGTTATTAACAATAGTTTACCAAATTCCTTATTGCAAAAGTCTTGAACATCGAGGATAGACTGGAGGTTCTGGTATAGCATAAGACCGCCACAGTCTTTGCTCAGTGCTGTCTTCTTTGGCACGTAGATGCAGCCGTCTTCGATGTTTAACTTCATCCAGAAACCAAAAGTGTTTCTTGTTTGGACGCACACGTAGTCTTCAGTTAGTGCCTTCACCACTCTCGTCGATATCCTACACATAATGACATTACATTTATATCTTTTACTTGGATTTTTATGTACTGATTTTGAAATGTAATTACAAAGTGTCTGAAACACGCTTTTTAGTGGTGGTTTTGATGTTTGCGTCATACTTGAGAAAATGAGATTGAGGCTCTTGAGCACAACTTGTACAACAGACTTTGTAAAAAATTTTTTAAAGTTAGTCCAAAATTGTGGAATCTGTGAAAGTTTTTCCTGCAATTTGCTACAAAAATACTGCAATAAGTATACTGTTTTGTTCAACACTTCCGTGGAGAAAACTGTTTTGAACTGACCCTTTGTTTTTCCATCCAAACTGAGCTTTGCTGCTGAGATCTTTCACTTCTCCTGTGCAACAGACAAACAGTTGCCAATCCCACTGCATCACTCATTCATTCTCCAAAGTATGTTCTCTCACCTTTTTCAGTGGTAGCTATCACTGTCCTGTAGGCACTATCCTTCCCCAAGCGACTCGTTCTGATCCACCATTTTTCTGGGTGGAATGACTCCAAAATCTGGTAAAACGGACCGAGTTCTATTGCGTGGAAGACGTGCGCCTGCCTCCCTGTGTTTCTGGGTGAGTCGATTGGACACCGTTTGGCTGGGGTGGCTGGAAGTTTCTGCGTGGGTAGGCGTGAGGACGGAGGAGGGAGACGGTAGCCGTGGGTCTTAGTGTGGTAGAATTTCCCACTGTGAACTGTGTCAAACCAACTCTGCGTGGACATCAGGAAAAATAACTTTGACAGGCTCTCTTCTTTCAGGGGTGGAATTCAGGTGTTTTAGAAGAGCGACACAAGTTAGTAGAACTTAAATCGGGCAAGACCAGAGAAATGCACAGTGCAACTTACAGTCTGCATAAAGAATTTCTGGAACTCCATTATCTTAGGTCCAGAGGGCCACGCAAACACCTCATACGCCTCGTCCCTCCTCTTGGCCGTGTGAACGTAGTACGGTTGAAGCAACGGTTGCTTTTTGTCCACATTTAGGTTGAGTTTTATAGATTGGTTTCTGGCGAAGGCTGGCACCATGCTGTGGTAGATGCGTTCGTTTGGCTCTAGAGTCACCAACCGCGTCATGCCACCTACCCATTTGGTAACTGTTTCCGAATAGAAAAACAACCCGGGTAAAGGTTTAGATTAACACACTTTGTAGCTTGCATTGCGTACACGGTAGGTCAAAGGTGAGGTTCCATGCAGGTAGCTGTACATCGATCTCCATCCCGCTGATATTGGCGGTAATAAAGGGAGGCAAGGGGACAGTCCCCTTACCTTCTGTCACATTGACCAGAGCCAAAAGCTGGACCTACAGTTAATCAAAAGAGCAACTTTAATTAACATTCATGCACCGTATCCATAGCTTCATTAGCTTCAGTTTTGTACAGTCTAACCGACATACATACATAATCATTTATTTTTGATCGAAGTTTTTAGAACTGACAGGGTTTTTGGATACGCCTTGAAATGGAAGAAAAATTACCTAGCTCATAAAAGATTTCTTTATAGAATATATACCTAGCTCATACAAGAGGGGTAGTTTTTGTATGCAGGCTAAAAGGGTAAAATTAGGATGATGACGTTAAATTGTGGTAAAAATAATATCTTGCAAGTAGAAACTCATACAGTGCTTAGATCATCAGGTGTCATGTGGTGTCCTCTCCGTGGAATCTGTGCGTGTAAGAAATTCTCAACTGAAGCTCTCCAGCTTTTCCGGGGTCTACCCCTGCGCTGTCTCGGTTGGCAGTATCGAGATGGTGACAGAGGTGCGACAGTGTGGTTACCACGGTATTCCTTCTCTTGCTGGTCGATGTAATAGGGCCCGATACTCGTGAAAGGAACGTATATCTTTCGACGGCTGGTGTCATAGGTGTAGAAGTATACTCCGCGCACAATCAAGTAAAAAACTCTAGGAGAAAATATCATGAAAAAACAGGTGCAAATTGTGTAACTATAGCTAGAGACGCACATCTGCAACAGTTTGTGTAGCTACACCAAACTAAGCTACAACGACGAGTTTGCAGCTTTATTTTTAGCTGTAGGCATGTTTTGGTGGTTAACCTGAATAACGGGTCGTTGATGGCAAATTGTGCCCTCCACTTTCTGCCGCTCCCCTCTGGTGTGACGGAGGCTCCTACTATCTTCGGCAATATTCCAGGTATTCTCGCTCGTGCAGTATCTCGTGCGGGAGACGATGAGAGGATGACATAATACTTAGAGTATTGGTTGATCCACTTGACTGGTTTCGAGAACGTTATGTCGAACTTGGTCCGGTGGTTATTGATTTGCACTACTGAGTAAGGCTGAGGTTCCACGGCGGATATTTCGACGCAAGAAGGAAAGGACTCTATGTTGTATGCTAATGTTGACTGCACAAGACCTGCCAGCAGACAAGGAAATAGAGTCAGAAACAAAAGCGACGACATCTTCGCGATGCAGCTGCGTGCGAAATTATATTGCGCATGCGCAAACTAAGAGAGCGCTTCGATCTATTTATACGATACGGTCTCACACGAGAATTTGAAATATTGAAAAGGGTGCGAGCGCTCGTGCTGGAATGGAAGAACCTGCAGAAGAGACAGTAGCGGGGCGTTCAGAGCTGGGAGACGCTGGAGAGGAGAGGGCCCACGAGATGTCTGCGACGGACGGGGAAGACAGCAGAGTGCCCGCTGCGCCTGACGTCACGTACGACGCCACGCTACTCGAGCAACATCAGAGCGAGACGACGGCTGGAGGGGAGGGTGGCGGGGAGAGGGGGGCACGGACTAGCGGGACGGCCAAAGAGAAAGCGGTCAGATTCAAGGAGGAGGTAACAGGTTTGGAAGAAGACCCGCCAATAGCCAGAGGGGAAGAGGATAAGAAAGAGAAGGAAGAGGAAGAGAAAGACGAGTGGATGGACATTTTGGGGACTGGAGACCTCAAGAAGAAGGTCAGATACTGCAAATGCAGAGCGCTAGATCAGTTGACTAGTACACTAGCAGTAAGCTTTTCAAGAGACAAACTTTGCAATTTAGCACAAAGAAAACATTCGCAGACTGCCTGTCCCACACAATACAAATATCCCCCATCCACAAAATTTCGCAGAATAAAACGTTTGCAGACTGTTCACAAATTTGAAAATTTCTCTTCCTTGAAAGTTTCGGACTAGAGCGAGTTGTGTGTTGAAACGCAGGTGGTGCGAGATGGGGGCGGGGTCGAGACACGCCCCACTCCGCTCTCTCGGGTGAGGATCAGGACGAAGGGGCAGCTGGACAACGGGGCCGTCGTAGACAGACACAGCTCCATCCCCTTCACTCTCGGAGATGGAGACGTCCTCCAAGGTATGTAGAGATTAATTTTTCAGAGCAAGGGTACAAATTTAAGGGGTGGGAGTTGATTGCCGGTGATTGTAGTTTGCTCGGCCAGTGATTGAGAGTAATTGCAGGACAATTTTAAGTAGTCCCCTTTCTCACCTTTGTATATATAAAAAATCCAGTGTGGGTATATAGGTGTAGTACATATATGTGTGTGGCGTGCTAAGATAGTCCATTGACTCTCTATTGTGTGTGTGTGTGTGTGTGCAGCGTGGGATCTGTCAGTATCACTGATGGAGGTGGGCGAGTTAGCACTGGTTAGAACCAGCCCCAGATTTGCATACGGAAGACAAGGAAGGTAAGCAAAATCTCGAACCCAATTTTTTACAACGCGTAACTGTTTTTCGCGTTTGTGTATATAGAACTCCTGATATTCCAGCTAATGCTAGCATAACGTATGAATTAGAGCTGTTGGATGTTCAGCCGCCTGTCGACTATGCCACTGTCACTGAACAGGAGCTTACCACACTTGTGTAAGAACGTTCCGGAATATTACGGTTGCATCATTACGTTTTGTACTGTGTGTGTGTGTGTGTGTGTTCAGAGATCGGAAGAGAATACGAGGAAACGAGTTGTTTCAGAGAAAAGACTACGAACTAGCGGTCAACTCTTACGATAAGTGAGCCGTGATTACGAAAAGGGCACCATAATCATTATCTGAAAACCGATTGTCTCTCTGTGTGATGCAGGGCCTTGAAACTAATTGACAGCTACACTGGAGAGGTAGAGCGATAAAATACGTACTTAGCCGTGGGGAAACTTTAATGTCTTGCACTACCACATCGCCCGGATACCAAACCCTTTTACAGCCTGTAGTTACATGATTAGTCTGAACTGTCTGTATTATGCTTACCTGCAACAAAAAGTGGTGGCTCCAAATCAAGTTTGCTTGGCCTAAGGGGGATAGATAATACAGAGACGTTGAATTGATTTTCCTTTCTGTGTGTCTGTGTTACCTAGCATGAGTCCGAAGAGCTGCCTCCTGCCATCTCAGACATGCACGTTCGCTGCCTCAACAACTTGGCCGCCGCCTACCTAAAGGTCTGGAACAATTATGACATCATTCACGACGTAATCATTAATACTTATGCTTGTGTTTCGTGTCAGGTTGAAAGATACAAAGAGTCTCAAGAAACATGCCAAAAGGTGCTTGAGAAAGAGCCTGAAAACGTTAAAGCGCTCTTTAGATATGGAAAGGTACATCACATTTTCAACTTTTGAGTGTTTTGGTTAATTAGAGGGTTTTACTCTTCCGTGACTGGTGTGCAGGTACTGGCTATACGGGGTGATTTGTCAGAGGCGGTCAAACATCTCCAGAAAGCTCTGGAACTTAACCCAGACGAGAGGGTCGGTGTAATTATTATAACACGCCACTTTCTCCTCTCATCATCACATCTTCCACCTGATCTCACAGGCTATTCAGGTGGAGCTGCAGAAGGCTCAGAAGAAGAAGGACAGGGTGGAGAAGGAGGAGAGGGAAATGTACAGACGAATGGTCAGCAACCCTCCCAAGTCAACAGGACGGGCAGAAAACCCCAGACACTCTTTATGGAAAAGGCTGGTATGTGATTTATAGTACACTACTATAAGTGAGCGCAGGGAATATTGGCAAGCGGGAGTGAGTCGATAACTGATATGAGCCTCCGGTGAAGTATATATATAGCTGTTTCATTGTGATAACATAGAGCATTTGTGCAGAGGTACATATGCTTGAAATTTCAAGAATCGGCCAATTTGGTTGGCTTGCTTCGACTTGCCAAGTATTATGTATCAATATTTTGTAGAGCGTAAGTCAGTGTTATCTTATTGATTTCCCCACAGATACAGGGGCCTGTTCCCTACCTTGCAGTAGCAGCCGTGGTAGGGATCGCAGGTATCGCCATAGCTTACTACTGGACCCAGACCTAGCACTCTGTCCACAGCCCAGCTCATTTCTGTAGCTGCTGTTTTAGGATCCCTCGCTTAATGAATCGCCCCTGTTATTATATATCTAAATTTGCCAAAATATTATGTGTGCCGGTATAACTTGTTGGTTTCAGTTTGAGCAATGACGTACGAGAAGATAAAAATAAGGGGCGGTGTGCTGCTAAATATTTTGTAGTAGTTCTGTCTGTGCGTCCAATAGTTGTAGAATAGTTTTTGTTACACTCTCTCTTGCTGTTTGGTGTCCTCTGTTGGAAGTACTGATGACTGCCACTTTCCTCTCACGTTCAACTTCTCCTAGCCCCAGACGCTCTCTGATCTATCGTATTATGCACAAAACGGAGAAATATATACACATCAACGTTTAACTAAGGGAGCTTATCTTTGAAAATTGACCTGCGATTTATATATAGGCTTAGTTCAGGGGCGCAATTGCTTTTAAAAAGAAGGGTGTTTGCTGACCCTGAAAATCTCAGCCATTACGTATGTTTTAGGGAGGTGTGTGTTTTCTGCTCATCTTCTGCTATTTATACGTATATACCTTGGCTGGGGATATGGCAGAGGGGACCTCTTGTTTGCTGCAGACCAGTAGCAGGGGTAGTCCAGTGAGAGATGGGGAGGAGAGGCAGCGAGCGAGCGCCTCTCCACTCTCCCTCATCACCTCCTCACTGCAACTGCTGTCCACTACATACACCTGCAGTAGAACACACTGTCATTACAACACTGTCGCTTTTTGAGATCCGAAGTTCGACAACCATATTATAGATGTCTCTGCAAAAGTTTTTTAACTGAGAAAATTTGAACGTCTAGAGTGATGAGATCTGATATACTTACGACAAGGTGCTTGCAGGCATAGTATCTGTCCCAATACATTCTAATCTGCTCACTGCCGCCCAGCTCTTGGAAATTGAGTGTCAGGTGATCCTGAACGTTCACCGTCTTGAACGCAAACCCTGCAGTGCATCGGGGGAAAAACTGTACTTCTTTGAGAGCAAGGCATCACAATATTATTAGCTATGTACAACAGCATTGAGCATTTTGACATCTCATGCACACACTGACCCATGGTTGGTGCAGGCTCTTCATCATGCGTAGTTAGTTCTCCTGCCACGGCTGACAGTAGAGTGGTCTTGCCTGCTCCCTGCAGGCCCAGGACGAGGATACTTATCTCTGTCCTCGCCCGAGGAGCAGGGCTGAAACAGCACTGACACGACCGCCGAATGCACTGCAAAAATGTGGGTGGAGCTGGCATGCAAAATACGAACACGCATGCGGCTACGTGGGCCTACGCACGTACAGTGTAGCATACGATCCTGCACACGGCACATAAAAAGCTGCAGCCAGTACATCTCCCCGTAGTCTTCTGCCTTCTTCTCTCCTCTTCCTTCACTTGCTCCATAGTAGTCTCATCGATGGATGCACTGCATGGTGATGGCGCGCGCGCTTCTTCTGTGTGACGTACAATGATGTCACAAGGATCCCGTGACACAATAATTTCGCATGCGCGATCGATCAGCGATCGACGGAGCGGAGAGAAGTCCTGTTTTGTGTCTGCTGCATAAAGCTGTGAAGGGATCGCGAAGGATTGTGGACTAAGAGGACTTGCTGGTCACTGCAAAACACCACAGGTGAGTGCGCCGATATGTGTCTCTTGTATCACGGTATGTGTGCGCTTGTTCTCATTATTACGAAACATGCACTCTCTGAATTGTGGCACTGAAAAGGCGCCATCCCGCCTTCTCTACAGCTGTGATGAGATATTGTGTTCAGCTTGCGCGCCTCCTGCATGCACGCACGACACGCGACGGAGAAGGCGAAGTGTAAAGGCGGCGCTATTTAGAGTAGACAGCATCCGTGCTCCTTGCTTTACTGTGACTTGTGGTGTGATGGCCGTGTCGCACAGGAAAGGCGAGATGTCGGTGGGCGGATTCAAAAAGCAGTACAACAAGTTCACTCAGGTGAGGACTTTCCCACGATGATTCTAAGTATCTATGATACATGTCATGTAAACTTTGCCACACCTGTGTAATTCTCTGCATGTGGCCACAGTATATGACTGAGAAGATGGGTAAAGATGAGGGGACTAGGATAGAAGAAGACTATAAAGACCTTGAGAGGGTAAATAGTCATTTTTAGTTTCAACCTCCCATGTAGCTGTCCTCTAATATGTCCATGTGTCCAAGGTACTGTCTATCCCCATTTCTTCATCCTCCTCCCTCTCTCGATCGCAGACACACCATGCACGTGTGTAGTGACTTCAGTCAGTGTAGTAGTGTAGTGGTAGTATCTGGACTTTATCCTGTTGGGGATCAGTATAGACCCTCAATACCAGGCTTCAGTCGCCCTCCACTCATTCCCTTTTCATGCCTCCATAGTATTTGCTGTGTGTGGTGGCTCTGAAGCCTTTAGCTCTTGACGTATCAGCACTTTCAACGTTCTGTAATACTTCTCACTCCCAGGTTTGCATTTTGAAATGACCCAAAGCTGATAAACTTTCTCTAAAAGAAATCTTATACTTCAAAATACGTGCATACATCTACACTTCTTAGTGGTATTGTCTAGGTGGCTCAATATTGACGTAGGTATATAGGTGTGGCTGTGTGTATGTATGTATACATAGCTATCACATCATGCTTCTAGTGTTAGTTCCAGTATATAGCCCATCTTGTGATGATTACGTTGCTTACTCACACATAGCCGCTCATAGTCCTCCCTAATATAGCACTGCGAGGTGCTAATGCAATTCACTAGGGAGTGGGGGGATAATTTACATGCAAGGAATTTCGTTAGTGTTTTGTTCTTTTTGGTAGAAAACGGATGCAACGGTGACTGCTGTGGAGAGTGTAGTAGAAAAAACGAAAGATTTTTTTACAACCAAACCCCAGTGAGTTGTGTAATACTTACGAGATTGACGACTTTGTTGTTAAGAACCCTTAGGCTCAATGGTTTGTACTTCAGTAGCACTGTGCCTGCACAGACACACACATGCATACTGCAGTCGTCCTCACCACCATCTCCCTTTCCTCCTCGTCCTGCAGCTGCTCGTCTCAAGATGTCTATGAGGAAGTCACAATACCCCCAGCCAGAGACGAACCTCGGCGATGTAATGATTAAAGGGGCCACCGAATTGGGCGAGGAGTCTGCATTTGGTGAGGACACGTGCACTCTAGCAGTACTTTGAAAAAGTGGGTACGGTGCTGGTAATGACGACAGAGTCGTGATGTCAGCGATGCATGTGGTTTACGTTGTAGTCATGTATATCAACATGTAACACTTGTATACATTCTTGTAATTGTTGTAGTTTCTGTATGTCCCCTAGGCAGCAGCACGTTAGTGATCGTGTGTATCCTTGTGTATGTAGAGTATGGGTGTTTGTTGTTGTTGTTGTGTGGGTGTGTGTGTGTGTTTATATTATGTAGATTGTGATTATGTAATGCGATGTGTGTACAGGTGAAGCACTAATGGAGGTAGGTGAGAAGATGAAACAAATGGGAGACGTCAAGGATGGCTTGGTAAGGAGCTGGGGTGGGAGAAGGAAAAGGAGGTGGGATGGAAAACACACACAAACACGATTGTGCAGCAGTAGGTAGAGTAAGCGAGTGGGTAGTCATGTACTTATAGGTAAATGTTCATTTTGTGCCCCCTTGCCCAATACTGTTGCATATGGTTGCATAATAGTAATATTGGCCATCCGCCACTGCAGGAGCTGAATGTGAAAGCCAACTTTCTCGACCCTCTGGCCCAACTCATGGGCAAGGACGTCAAGGAGATTATGGTACGAAATACCTGCAAAAATACGATGTACAAAGTTACGGTGAAATTTGAAATACTGCGAGACGTAGATTCTGTTTGCTTTTGCCCCTTTACCACATGTCACGGTCATTTCACAAGGAAAAGAAAGATTTTTTCAAACCTATTTTTATAGCATCATCGTAAGAAGATGTCCGGACGAAGGCTTGACTATGACGCCAAGAAAAGAAGGCAGGCTAAAGGTGGGCGTGTCACGTGATAATCATGTGATTAAATCCCAAGCCACACCCACAGGAAGTAACATCACCGACGACGAGCTCGCAATGGCTGCGGAGAAATTTGAAGAGTCAAAGGACCTTGCAGAGGAGGGCATGGCTAATCTCTTGGACAGTGACGTGAGTATATACACAAGCCGTATTCTCTCTCTAGATCACATGAGCATCATGTGACTGTCGTGTGACGTTCAGGTGGAGCAGGTTCACCAGCTGGATGCCTTTGTGGAGGCGGTGATGGAGTACCACAGGCAGTGTGCTGATGTGTTGGAGGCACTCCATTCCACTCTTCTTGATCATATCACTCAGGCCTCTCAGAGGTACTATATAGATATACTGTGGAACTTCTGATGAAGGACCCTTCCAAATAAAGCACACCTCTCTATAAGGGACACTGGTTCTGTCCCATACTAATACATTAGCGTATTACACTACACCTCAGAAATAAAGACACTTTCAATGTCAGCCCCATTGAACTCTGCACAATAATGCTGTGCTATATATATATGCCAATGAGGACAAAAGATAACGGGGTCTCCCTCTCGTCACAGACCGCCCCGAGAACGCAAGGTGAAGCCGATGATGACCTCTCGCTATGACTCTGACGATGAGGACAGTCCCAACCTTCCCCCGGCCTACAATCCTCCCGTTCCCTCCATCTCCTCCTCCACCACCAGGGGAGGAGCTGGCGGCGGTGCAAGGCCCTGCGCGAGGGCTCTGTTTGACTTTGAACCCGAGAACGAAGGGGAGCTGGGCTTCAACGAAGGGGACACAGTCAATCTCGTTTCAGAGGTAAACAATAAAGAAAGAAACTGGCCTTCAGGGAAATTTCGAAAAAATAGGGAATGGGGTAGCATGGGCTGAATGGCTCTTAAACTTTGCTTCTGTTGGTAAATATATATATAGCATGTCGTTTAGGAAACTACCAGGAAAGCCATGATTGCCTACTGACCGAATTTGTGATTAACCAGTAGTCTATTTTTTTAAACACAATTACTCAGCGAGTGTATTTTTCTCCCACCACTCTGTCTGTCTGTCTGTAGATTGATGAAAATTGGCTCGAGGGAGAAGTAAATGGAGTCACCGGTTTTTTCCCGAAGAACTATGTTGACATTGTAGTCCCACTGTGAATATACTCACTCGTCCGATAATGACATTGTCCTTCAAATGTACACCGCACGATATTTTTAGTACGTATGACGATATTGTGTATAATGGGTAGAAATTTTTGCACTGTGGTGTCCCAAGTTCCAAAGCTCGTACTCTCGGAAAAAGACACTGATGGCAAAACAAACGTTATTTTACAAAAACCGTTTTACATACTCCTGTACAATACACAACCAATAAAGAGAAAAACGCTAATATTTGCACTATAATTTGCCCTCCCCCGGCATCGCACAGTTCACACCAGAGATTCTTTCACTGCCTTTGCCAGCATAGAGTTGAAAACCATCTTCTCACAGTTGACCACGATTTTCGTGTCCTCCGCGCAGACTATCGTCAGGAGCACGGGGAGATTCCCCGTCGATGTCACCGCTGCATACCGCTGCATGTTTGACTTGGTTGTCGTGGCAACGGGAGCCATGTTGGCGACCTCCAGGACGGCTGGCTGGAGGGAGGCGGGGCTTACGGCCACCGAGAGCTTGCTAATGTTCTCGTGCATTCCAGTCAGTTTGTCTGAAGAGGAGGCAGGGACAGAACAAAAAACATGTGTTTGAACCTAGTGCACAAGATTGACTGTAGCTAGAGAATGCAGTGCGATCCTTCCCATGAGTGGTGGCAAGTGGCATATTAGGGTGGCCTAAACTTTTCGTGCTTTTAGCAAGCAAGTGGGGGGAAGGACGGGCCAGGCAGCCATCCTGGATACCTTGACCATAGCTGGAGTGTGCAGTGCAAATCTATCTTGCTCGCCCCTATAATAATGCCTGAACTAGTGGACCATGCACAGAGGGTTGTACAGCTGTATATAGTTGCAGTATTATACCTTTGAGTGCCATAAACTTGTCCTCGGAGACAGACATAGGTCTGAGTAGTTCTCCTACCAGTGGGTCTATCTGGACCGGATACCTCTTGCCTGGAGCCACACTGAGAGGCAGAGGAGAGAGAGAGAGAGAGAGAGAGAAACAGACAGAGAGAAGAAAATACAGAGAAAGAGCGAGGACGAAGAGGAGGGAGAGAAGAAGAAAAAGTAAAGAGAGATAAGAGGGGGGTGGAAAACGGCCCACCTAATCTCAAATTTGGCCGGCTGTAGAGTGTCGTTGAAATCGATCCCCACGGTAACCGTCTGGGAGGTCCCTGCCGTTAGGGCCTTGATATTGACGTCCGAGCTCATTCTCATTCCGGACTGGAGCTGTGGCGAGCCTGTCCTGATTCCGCTCAGCGTGGAGTCGCCGCAGTTCTGGAACGTGACGTCGATGGCCACCATCTTTGAAGAAGTGATGTGAGATCGCCGGCAAAAGTGGTACGTCACCGCCAGGCCATTACCTGCAAAATTACCGTCTATTTTGTCATGGGGTCCAACGCAAGACGAATGTCACATTCCACTACACACACCCACACATTGTACGTAATCTTAAGTAATGCATAGCAAGTATATATGAAATGACACGCCAAGACAACACTTTTTGAAAAAGAGCTGTTATGGGTGGGACTTAACACTGATGATTTTGTGGGCTCAGATTTGTGTGTACATGTGTTGTTACAGCGTGTGTGTTGGCTGGCTGAAGACAAAGGTACAATATTTATACAGATACAGGTTCTTCAATGGCGTGGATGTTGTGCTATTCACCTGTGATACGATTAAGTAAGTCATATGTTTTCTTTGGTGTGTGTACTGCAGATATAATCTATAAGGAGGAGAGGGAGAGAAATCAGAATATCATGTAAAGAGAAAAATGAAAGCACTCAGGAAGGAAAATGAGTAAAGCGAAGAGAAACGATAGAAAAATGAAGAGTAAATGTGAGCAGGGAGAAAAGAAAGAGAAAAAAAGGGTACGGAAAAGTAAAGATTTGGAGAGATATTCAGGAAAAAAATTTTTTAAAGTTGGCCAGACCTCCTGTGTGAATGGTTTGGTAGAAGGTGGGGCGGAGGAGGCGGAGGAGGAGGGGGAGGATGTGGCGAGAGCTGCCATCTGATTGGTCAATGGCTGAAGCAGGTTGGTCGAGGCCCCTGGGACTGCTGTTGCCGTGGAGATGGGGTATGAGTTTAGGGGGGCACTATTTGGAGTAGAGGCCGTCACAGAGTCCCCTATAGGAGATGAGAGAGATGAGAAAAAAGGGACAGTTAGGGACATTTAAAGTGTTCTTTATTCAGAGGTGTCTCTTGTTTGGAGGTCGAAAATGTATTGGTATGTATTGGAACAGAACAAACTGCGTGTTTGATTAAGAGGTGTCCTTTACTCAGAGGTCCTATATATTTCGGAGGAATCACCGTAACGCTGACACTGCCAACTCACATCCGTCAAAATCAAGTAGAGAAGGTTCCTCAGATCTTCTCGGGGAGGCAGCAGCTGTTGGTTTCAGTGCTGAGCTCTTAGCTGTCTTGCCTGCTGCCACCTGCACAGAACAACATCATAGTACCCAGCAAGAAGTCAGTTAATCTGCCGAGGTGTATATACATACATACATACATACAGTGAAACCGCTGAATAAGGGACACTTGGGGACATCTTCTTTTCACCCTTCATATGGAAGTAGCATAATACGCCAATGTATTGGTATGGGGCAGAACCAAGTGTCCCTTACAGAGATGCCAGATGTCTTACAGAGATGCCAGATGTCTTACAGAGATGTCAGATGTCAGATACAGAGATGTCAGACGTCTTACGGAAGGTCCTTTATCGGATGTCTCACTGTACCTTGGGTTTGGCGATAGCACTGCGTCGCGGAGTTTCCTCTTCTTCATCGCTGCTGGTTTCAGTCTCTGACTCCTCTTCACTGCTCTCCTCCTCTTCTTCTTCTTCGCTCTCTTCCTCACTTTCTTCAGAGTCACTCTTCACACACACACACACCACACACACACACAGTGAAAAATTGTCAGGGTTACATACGTACTGACCAGTTGTATTATTCATTGCATGTTTTGGGGTTTTATAGATACAAAATTATGGCAAAATACCTATTAAAAAAAAGAAGCTGCTCTAAGTCTGCGCACACTTACCACTTCTATCTTCTTGCCAAATCTCTTTTTCAACTTCTCGAGAGCATCTTCCTCATCACTGGACGTCTCTCCTTCCTCCTCCTCCTCCTCCTCACTCTCCTCCCCGGACTCACTCTCAGACCCACTCCCCTCCTCCGACCCTGACGAAACAGTCACCAAGAGGTTAAAGGCAAGAAGAGAAGGGGTTAATTTAAAAATCAGCGGCGACAGTGTTTTAATTAAAGCGTGTACCTTCATTATCGGAGCCAGAGACGTCGGAACCAGATATGGAGGAATAGAAATTGCTCGCTTCGGAATCTGTGAAATGAGAAATACACAGTTAACCCTTTTCCTCCTCCCCTCCCCTCTCCCCCTCCCCCTCCATGTCAGTTTCAGCTTTTTTGAGGCGATAGAACCAAGTGTCCCGTCTAGTGAGGCATCCTCTCTATTCAGAGGGTCCTTTCACACAAACGATGGGGCAGAACCAAGTGTCTTTATACAAAAGTGTCTTTTATTAAGAATGGTCATTTTCACAAAATTAATTAATGTGGCAGAATCGAAGCTACTGAGGTGTCTTTTATTCAGAAGGGCCATTTTAGGAGGTATGTACATATGTAGGGCAGAACAAACTTAAACTGTCTTTTTTATAACGGTGCTCTTTATTTGGAGTGCCCCTTTAGTTTGCAGCTGTCAACCTGAATCGCCGTGGAGGTTTTTCTTCTTCTCCTTGGTTTTCCCCCACCAGGAGTCGTCCTCCACGTTGCGGACGCTGGGGTCAGGGGGTTCGGCGGGGAAATCCGAGAGCGCCATGTAGCCCGTGGCTTCGCTGTTGACGGCGTGAGAGAGAGAACCCAGCTGCCAGTGAATGCGGTCTGGAGAGAGAGCAGGGGGAACATGGCCAGCCAGACAAAAAGTTTTCTTCTGTATTGCGTGATTTTATGTGTTTGAAAATTTGCCAAAAACTGGATACCTACTTATGCAGTTTATTCACATCACAAAATTGATACACTGATACAAGATTGTATAAAAGTAACCTTTGAATGCAGACTCCAACACAGGGGCTGGTTTTGGTGCCAACAAAATCTTCTTGGCATACTTCGACAGAGCAGTCTCCTCGCCCTGCAAAAATAGACCATTCAAAGAGGAAATGAAAACATTGCAAGTGATAAATTGACACAATCTCATTGGTAGGCTAACTTGCACAGGCTTTTCACATGTTACAAAAACCACTCTTTTATACGTACGTAGGTGGTGGAGGGATGTATACCTTTCGTGGGGAAAAACTTTAACGATTAATTCAAAAACAAGACATTCGCAGATTCTCTCCCGCTACACAAATGTCCTTGCCCACAAAAATAACGGTGAGCTCGCGAAAATTCCCCCATCAGAAATTTTTCCACTCGGAGGTGTGACGAGTGTTTGAGGGGAAGGAAAAAAGGGGGAGGAGGAATGGAACACTCACCCGTCTGTCTCTGGACACGGGGACGAGGGGGAAGGGGGAAACGGGGGGAGGGGGAGGGGAAGCGGCAGCCGTTCGGGCGAGGCACAAGGAAGGGGAATGGGGGGATTGGAAGGAAAGGGGAGTACGATCTGGCGATGGGGTGGAGCGAGGAGGGACACCGAGGATGGGGGAACGGGACAAATATACAGGGGGAAAAGGAGAGGTTGGAACACCCACTATTATTCTCTCATTCGGATTCCTACATCCCCCGGAGGGGGACACGGAACGTAAAAAACCCCATATCAGGGGGGGAACCGGGGGAGGAGGGGAATTGGATTAGGCGGACCGGGGAAGGGCGGATGGACCAGGGGGATCTAAACTATACAAGACGGATTTTTTTTGGCGTTTTCTTGAAATCCCCCTTTCCCACTCACTAATTGGGATCGGGGGAAGGAGCGAGGGAGGACGGGGAGCACTCGGAGGAACATAAGGGGGGGGGAAGGGAGTGGCGTGTGGGAAGGGAGCAAGGGGGAAGGACAAACAAGGGAAAGGGAGAGGGGGGGGGGGAGAGGGATGGCGGAAGCGAGGGGAAAGGGAACAGGGGAAGCGGGAAAAAGGGGGGGGAAAGGGGAAGGAGGGGAAGGAAACGGGGGGGGTGGGAGGAAGAAAGGAAAAGCAAGGAGAGGGAAAGGGAGGGGAAGGAAAGGAGGGAAACGGGATTGTCTCTTATGTCGTAGTTCTGGTCGTATTTGGCGAGAGACAAGACGTAGTCGCAGAGAAGTCGCGTCTGCTTTGGGTTGGAGAGCACCAGCTTTGCTGCTAGATTGACCGTCTGCAACTTGACTATGTCACTCTTTTGGGGGGAGGGAGAGGAGGGAGAAAGGTGGAGAGAGGGAGAAGGAGAAGAGAGAGGGGGGAGAGGGAGGAGGAAGGGAACGAAAGAGCGGATTAGGGAGAAGAAGAGGAGAAGAGAGAGGAGGAGGAAGAGGGGGGATGGGGGAGGGAAGAAGCAGAAATGACGTGGCAAGTGAGGGATGGTTGAAGAGTGGGTGTACCTCGTTCACAAAGTTCTTGGCGGCTTTTCTGAGGACGTCTGGACCCATTTTGGGGACGAGAGAGCAGTATTCCCCCACCAGCCACAGGATACTAGCCTTAGCCATCGGAACCTGCAACCACACAACACACACAAATACATCAACACCACTGCTAAATTGACTCACATTCAGATTGAATACACATTCACAACTTAAATACGCACATTACGAACTGAAACTCACAGTGACAGAATCCGCTAGTCTTGCGACCTGGTCTATAAGATCTTTATTCTGCTTCGGCTGCAATACAAACACAATTATCATACCACTGTTTAGTACGCACTCGCGCGTGAAAAACGCGCGTAAATTTCACCGACTCGCTGTCTAACTATTACGTAAAACATAGAAAACACTGCGGGAATCTCTTACGTGGAGTTGTAGAAGCTTCTTTATGACCACAACACTCTGTGCAACCACATTCTCTGAGAATCGATAAGACAGATATAAAAAAATTAACAACCCCCTGTACGCTGAGGAGTTAATGAAGAAATACGAGTGACAAGGGAGAGAGGGGAACGGAGAAGAGAGAGTATTAAATTACCACTCTTGTGGGAGAGGAGGGACATTAGCCCGTGGAGACAGGTCTCGGTAACCTCAGATATGCTGCACGCCACTCGGCCTATCGCCTCGATGGTCGCCGCGGCAAACTGCTTGTCGGGACTGGAGATATAGGTCTGCGTGTGCGTACGTGGGGGGGAGTGAGTGGTCACGTGACCAGGTCTATATTTAGAACACAGCATGCTAATGCCATTCTACCATATAAGGATGGCACATGAAAGATAAAGTACATGGAGACTCTATTTGCAAAACAATGGAGCCAGATATAGGTGAAAGGGTTGGAGCGAGATGGGGGAAATAAGGAAGGTAAATTATTGTTAGTGACATACCCTGAATTCCCTGAGAATGGTATGGATGCTGGATTCTCCAGCCACGTTGGCTATGATGTCCAGCTGGAACGGGAGAATGAGGTATGGGTGTCTGGGAATGGGACACGGTAGGGTGCATACATACCTTGAGTAGTCTGATGTTGGTGGGGTCACTAGAATGGATGTAGAAACTCTTGAGATACGGTTCAAACATAGCCTGGAGGGGAGAGGGAAACCAGAACATAGAAATGTAGCAATTCCGAAGGTAAAGGAGAGACAGAGCAGTAGGAAACTCTAGAGGAAGAAAATTTCGAGAGACATTCACTAGGTTAAGTCCAACGGTGAAGGTTCCCCCTGTCAATTTTGGTGGGTGGGGAGCGCTAACGGTGACACAAGCAACCTGTAAAGTTTTCTCGGCGCTATGTTCCAAAGTGACTCTCTCCGTTGAAAGTTTCTTACTATGATTATGGTGCTAACTCACGCAGCGATCGGCAGAAATGGTGGCAATGTTGCTCAACACGATGGCCTGCGTCTCAACATGTCCCTTCAACAGTCGAATGAGAGGCTTCACGATTATTCCAAACTCGTTCCGAGGAGCAACGTGGTGGTAGAGCTGGGCCACGCCCATCACCACCTGTAGTCATGTGACAGTCACATGATCACTACACACAGTCACATGATCAGCCAAGAGTCACATGATTAAACACAAGATCAGCACTTCTATTCGTATATACACTTCAACCAGTTTCAGAGATGGGCATTACTTTACCTACTGTAAGGCGGCAAGTTGCGAAATTTGTGTTTATTTCAGGGCTCATGCATGAACGTGAAGGATTAAACTTACAGCTGCGTTCCTGCTCTGAAGGAGGGGCTTGGCATTCTTCAGCAGAAGTCTGTGGTCTGGGTCCATTGTGTAGCCCTTCTTCTTCTTCGGCTTCTTCTTCTTCTTCTTCTTCTCCCCCTCTTCGTCCCCGCTCTCCCCACTCTCCTCCTCCTCACTCTCCTCCTCCTCCTCTTCTTCCTCTGACTCCACGTAGAATGGCGCGTCTTCCGCGACCTAGCGAAGAAGGGGTTGAAATCTCTCGTTACTACAACATTATTGGGTAGGACACTACAACCATAAGAATTTGTATGTGGCATTGTTAAAGAATGGCAGTTCGCTGGTGCAACTGAAATCGCAAAATTTATGTTGTTTTGCTGCTTCGTACATTAATATCCTATACATGATTACGAAAAATCATCACATTTCTCCTTCTCAAAAATTCCCCCTCCCCTCTCTCTTCTTGCTCTCCCCTCTTTCTCTCCGTTCACATATATACCTCTTCCTGATTAGGGTTGGCAAATTGGGTCCGTGCGTAGCGAGTGAGCATGTTGATGATCATGACTTGCCCCCATTCGTCTACGTCAACGAGGAGATTACATAACTTCCTGTAGTTCTTGTGAATCATGTCTATCCTGTCTGGACACACCGTCTCAAACGCCATGACGACGCTCCCGGCAACCAGCTGGAGTGACGACAATGATGGGCATTAAATAGAATGTGAAAGGTGTGCATTAAAAAGAGTGATTAAGAGTTTCGATGTGTGTGTATTGTCGTTGGTAGTGCGATGAACTGACTGTTGTTTGGTCTTTGAGTAGCTTTTCAATGACTTCCACGAGTTCATCTTTCAATTCCGGATCCAAACTGACACCAGAGGGAGGGGGTTAATTTGTTATGAGATGTTGCGCAATAGAGTTTCATGTATATACAGTACCTGAAGAGCTTGGGAATGGCATGGGCAGCTGTCTTGCGAACAAACGGCGACATATCAGTCACTGACTGCACGTGTACACAGGAGAAAGATAAACCCACACAGCAATACTTTAGACCACTGATGATATGTACATACATACAGCTAGCTGGCAAACAGTGAGCTCGAGTTGAAGATAATAACATTTCGCAAATGAGGTCAGCTTACATGATACGTGATATGCCAAAATTTCGCGAAATTCTTAGTTATAGCTGTATTATAATATTACAGTATATATCACATACTTCTTTGATGGCAAGCATCATGATGGGAGCTATGATGGGAACTCTTATACTGGACAGGACACGGAGGGCGCTGGCCCGAATGAGTTGGTTTGGGTCTTTGAGCCCCTTCTGGAAGGTGCTGATGGACAGGAGGGCGAGGTCCTGCTGCTCCTCGGCGTAGCGGACCAGGTAGACGTACACCAGCTTCTTGATCTGAGGGGAGGGGGAGGGAGTGAGGAAGAGAAAGGGATTAAGGGAGCAGTGGAACAATATTGCTTGAAAACAGTGAGTTTTCGACATACACGATGAGTTTTGATTAGCTCTATAAAGAGGGAGGGAGGGAGGGAGGGAGGGAGGGGTAAGGATTATACATCAGAAAGGAAAGGGAGTTCCTCTGAAATTCTATTACTACTTGGCCCCTGTGACCATTAGAGTGAATAGCTATACCAATACTATACTACTAGTAGCCACATGGTTGACAATATGACATTCTGGACCACCGGCATGTATATACAATGTCCCCCCATACAATGTACTACCACTCCATCCCGTCAGTAAAAACAGTATTGTGCTTGAGGTATCATGTGACTAATGGGCTCTATATTATATACTACCTGCCCTGGTCCCTATTGTATGTGTACATTGTGTGTGTATGTTGCGTATTGAGTTCTGTGAGAATGAGACTAGTTTGTGCCAGAACATAAGAAGACAGTTCAGCACTTGCAGCAATGTGTGGACTGGATAAGAAGGAGGGAGGAGAAGAGGGGGAGAAGAAAAGAAGGAGAGTAAGAGAGAGAGAAGGAGGAGGAGAAGGAGAGAGGGGAAGAGGGGGGAAGAAAAGAAGAGAGAGGAGAAGGAGAGGAAGAGGGGGGGGGAAGAAGAGGGAAATGAACTGTACATGTTTATAATACCTCTGAATCCTTAGACACCACATTCTTTACTACAGCTGGGAAGAGGTCTGCACAGTCTTTGCCCTTGGCAACCATCTGCAAAAACAGACACAATCCCACTTTCCTGGTTAGCATAATATAGCAAGATAAAATATTACACTCGAATTGTTGTTTACCTTTCACTTTAGCAAGAAGATGTATGATCAGTGTATAACTGTATACAAGCTAAATGGGCACTTTTCTTCCCCTCCCCCTTAAATCTATAGTTCTCTCTTCATTTCTATAGGCTTCACTGATCAGGAGTGCATAGGGTATAATACTCACTCCAATGATGAGCTTCATTGCTTCTCTCTTCTGTCCGTCTTTGCTCGAGTCCAGCATGCTCTTCAGGTCTTCGTGTCTACAATAACAAAGAGAGTGCACCTCGTGAATGAATTAGTGTTGCAGCAACATCCTTTCATTGTCGTGCAGAATGCACACTGCATGCTTCAAAGTGTTTCCAATTAGTGGCACGTGTAGTTCCACGAAAACCGGCTCGCTTCCTCCGTTCCCCTTCCCGCAAACCGAACACGCCCTCTCGTGCAGACGTTCTTTCGTTCAGTCATTCAACAGTGCAGCTACCAATCTCTGCAAATACACAAACAGTCCAGGCGGGGTACCGGGCTACCTTTTGTAATCGGCAGCAAACAGCGGAGGATTGATAACGGAGGCCGAGGCTCCGTTTCTCGAGCTCGTCTCCGGAGAATCGCTGCCGAACCCGGTCGGGGTGAAGTCGGCCGTCGGCCCCTGGTAGCCGCCCGTGGACATCTTCCCTGCCAAACCTTGAACGAAGGGAGGCTGAGCTGAATAGGAGCTCGCTGTGCACCGCAATACAAGAAAGAGGTGAAGGTACGAGGGCGCGCTTGTAAAAGAGCGCGTACGCGACTAACGGTCACGTGCCGTAATTAATTTTCGGTTACGCATGCGCGCACGAGCAACACAATGCCGAAACAGAAAGTCGTGTTCCTTTGCAAAGGAAGTCGAGGCGACGTATTGCCTCTCCTCAGCATTGCTCTGTAAGTCGAAAAACATCATCATCAGACTTTACTTCACTTCCTGTATTTATTGTGCAGTGAATTAGTGGAAGGCTGCGGCGTACACGTTGTGGTAGTGTGTGCTAAATCTTCACTGAATGACCAAATGAGACAGCTTCTGCAGCGGGAAACGTATAGACCGATAGAATTAAGACAACTGCCTGAGTTTGGCGTCCACAGAAGAGACAAAAATGTCAATACTGTGTTTTTATATATAGCTAAATCCATAGTGAAAACATAAGATTTTTACACACACACAGGAGGCTGAAGAGGCTACAGAGCATCAGACAGCCCTCAGAGCGGAAGTGGAAATAGCTCTGGAAGCCAGCAGAGGAGCCGACTTGATAATCTACAATCTATTCTCACTCGAGGGCCAGTTCATCTCTCGCGGTCTAGATGTCCCTAGCATTGCTGTGTCTCCACATCTGCAAATGAGGTTGATAACTCCATACATTCTTAGAATTATGGCTTATATTGTGCATTTATGTAGTCACTTCTACTATTGCTTGCCCGCATTTGTAATGATTAACTACCCATCTGTTTTAGGCCAGTTCCAGCTGGTTTTAAAACACAGCTCTCAAAATCTCATCCGTCTATCTACCAGAGGCTCATGAGCTGTAGCAAAGGTTGGTTTGGCAGAGACACTAAAGTATTGATAAAGCTAGTAGACAAGTGTAATGAAAATGTAGGTGCGGAGGTTGGTTTGCTGAAGTTGAGCACTGGATGTGGAGAATGTTTATCGATGACTATGGCTCCGTGTGTGAGGCTCTGGGTCTGCCTCTCCTCCCCTTCTCCCTGGACCAGAGAGGTGTCCTCCCTTTCCCCACACCTCTCCTCTATGGCCTCAGTCCTTCAGTGTTACCTCGCCAACCTTGGTGGCCTGATAGGTGAGTGAGTCAAAACATATTGTATTCCAATGATGTGACAGTATATACATCTTCAAGGAATTTTAAAATGTATGGGTCATAATGCTGGAAATCCAGTCATCCATAAGTACTGGGTCTTTGATCTTTGCGTCGAAATTCTAAGCTTATTTGGTTTTCCCTACCACTGACATTTTGACAGTGTAGTTCTCTGTGGTTTTTGGACTCTTCCGCCGCGTTACTACCCAGTGCCAGACTCCGGGGTAAAAGCTTTATTCCACTCCCTGCCTACCCCACCTCTCTACGTGGGGGTATGGATCCATGGAGTCATACCTCACTGACGTTGACTGGACTGCTTTCATTGCCACCCTCGATAGAGGTACGAGATTTTGACTTCAAGTGATCCTAGGTCATGTTCATTTTCTCAGATACTTTATGGTATATAGCTCTGTTTTTATGGCCTAGCTTGGAAAAACTGATACGTATAAGCTCCTATATGGGATAGCAATGAGCACATTTTCAACAGCCAACCCAAATCTGTTAACTGATGGTTTTGTATATACTTGCAAATCGTGCAGTTCTAAAGGGACATCATGGATTGTCTGCAGTGTTCCAGTGTACAGAGAACGGTCGAATTGTCCAGGCATACTCAGGACTCTCCCCAATACCTGACGGGATCCACCTGCTGACTGAAGTGCTGTCCCACGATTGGCTGTTTCCGAAGTGTCTCGCAGTCTTGCATCATGGTGGAACGGGAACAGTGGCTGCCGCCCTTACCTCCGGAAACCCCAGATCATTAGCCCCGTCATGTTCGATCAGAACATGTGGGCAGAGCATCTTGATTGGATGGGTGTGGCTTACCAAGTTTCATCTCCGGGGAAGATGACAGCTGAGAGATTATCGCAAGCACTGGAGTTTGTGAAAAATGGAACCGTTCAAAAGAGGGTTTTTGAGCTAAGGAAAGATGTGGCAAATGAGAATGGGTTGAAAACGACTGTCGATGTCATAATGAGAACGTTGAACAGAAAATAGATAACGAAAATGATCATGTTTGTGCTAAATCTGGAAGAGGTTTTGCTTTTGCATCTGTGGGCATGTTTTACGTGCCTCTCGGGCGCAAATTTGCGGCCGCATTTCTTGCAAGGCACGAGATCCTTCTCCCACTCCTGGTAGCAGTACTGGAAATAGTCCTCTGCTGTCGCTAGCAGAACTTCTCTGTTCCCGTATTGCTCCACGGCACGAGTTGCTCCAGTGGCCTCTTTGTGCTGCTGCTGTGGCGCCTTTGCTGTATGCATGATTGATTTCCTCGGCAGGGGCTTCCTCTCGTTAACAGGGAGTTTCCTGTTCTCTGTTTCGAACCTATTGAGACACTGTGGCTCGTGGATCGAAATGGATTTCGTCCCGTACTCTCTACCACATATGTAGCACACTACAGCAGGTGGTTGTCTGTGTAGATTAGCAACTTGAGCAACTTGGGAGTTTTGCGGTAGACGATGGTCACCAGTAGTCATTCCGGATCTGTTTGTGAGTGCAGGAAAAGTTATTTCTCCTCTGGTCACAGTTCTTGGAGAAGGTCTGCAGGTTTTCTTATGTAAAAAGAGCTCTCCACTTGCAATAAGTTCCCGGCAAGTTCCACATCTTGTGAGGGTACTTCCGCCGTCTATGATTGGTAGAGTGAGGCCCTTCTCGAGTAGCGTGCTGTGATCCAGTGATCTTGTTCGCGGTCGCGACTGCAGCAATTTCAACCGGATATTATGCTGCGGGAGAGTTCGAGAAACTTCTCCCGTTTGCACCTCAACTGCTCCAGCTACAGATGACTCTGGTACAGCTCCCACAGTAGTAGATTTTCTGCCTGAAGGGACTTTGCCTTCCCTGCGGGACTCTTCTACTGTATACATCTTTGGCACCCTGTTCCGACACTTTCTCACGTGCAACTGCAGCGAGTGTCGGCTGAATATCTCCCCGCAGAACTGGCAGGCCTCGCCGAACACTCTCACTCCTGCCACTTGTTCAAGCGAGGGAGAATCCAGGGTGGTCACTGCTACCGTCTCTTTCCTACCACATTCTTCCGACACATCTGCTGACTTCGGAGTCCCCTTCGCTTGTCTTCGAGGTCTCGTTCTGTTCCGGTTGGACGCGGAGCCGCGACAAGTTTTTGGATGGAGAACGATGGACGAAGAGCCGAACTCCAGCCCGCAACGGCCGCAGCGCGTCAGCGGTAGGAGACTCGTGTCTCACGGCCGCACCGAAGTCCATGTGGATTCGCGTGGACGGTACCGGTCGTAGTGTGGACCTCGAGGTCTTGCCAGAGTCCATTTCCTGCTGTTCACTGGACGAAGCCGACAGCGTGGGCTTGTTTCCATAGTTACTTGGAGTCGGGTTCGAGAAATATATTTTTGTTGGTCTTATTCCGTCCATTGCCTGCCTAGTGGAGAGAAGCCGATGGACGATTCGAGCAGGAAAACCCACACAGCTAGTCTTCGTTGCAGCTGCAGCAGCCAGTCCCACCCACTGTTTACTTTCTCCAATTGAAGCGCAACAAGTTGCACACGTGGCCCACTGACCTCAACCGTTCAGTGTTTTTCAGTCAGTATTCAGCCTCCTAGCCATGCCGGAGGGCCCCGAGTTGTGTATGAACAGCCGGTTCGTGAACAATGTCTGCAGAGGGAGGCTTTTCACTGGGAAAATCGTCAAATCCGCCGTCAGCAAGTGCCCGGACGTGGACTTTTCCAGCGAAGCTTACGTCATCTCGAGCGAGTCCCGCGGGAAAGAGATGGCGCTCACTCTGCAGTGCTCCGCGGAGCCGCTCAACCGACTCAGGCTTCTCTTTCGCTTTGGGATGTCCGGAAAGTTCAAATTCACTCCAATGAACCAAATCCCGAAGCACGCACACCTGCAGTTCTTTTCCCGACCCTCTGACGCGGACGCGGCTTCCGAGCAGAAGCTGGTTCTTAGCTTCGTGGACGTGCGAAGGTTCGGTTCGTGGCGCGTGATGCCGGAGGGATGGGGCGAGAACAGAGGCCCTGATCCCATGTTTGAGTACGAAGCCTTTCGCGCCAACGTTCTTGAGAATCTGGAAGATTCTGCCTTCAACAGACCAATATGTGAAGCAATGCTCAACCAGAAATTCTTCAACGGGATTGGCAACTATTTACGAGCTGAGATTCTGTACCGGTGAGCCTACTTAACCCTCTAGCCAACTTGAGCTTACTTCTGTATGCTGCAGAGCAAGTGTTGCGCCTTTTACCTGTGCCCGAAAGGTGCTGGAACCACTCGCCAAGCAAGAACACGAAGAAGACCTCCTTTCCCTCTGCCACACTGTCCCCAAAGAAGTCGTCGACCTCAAGCAAACGTAATCCCTTTTCTTTCCGTTGCCATTTCTAGACTATTTTCTCGTATATATAGGCTTGGTAAGTCGGAGACAGCAGTTGTTACTGAGGAAGACTACAGAGCATTCTGCCAGTGGCTGAAGTGTTACGAAAACCCAGCAATGAACACTGCAAAAGACCACAATGGAAGAACTATCTGGTTCAAGGTGACCTGGTACTGCTTCTGTAATCGACGCAATTTCTTACTGCACCGTATATCTTTAGGGAGAGGCTGGTTCAATGTGTCCTAAATGTAAGATGTAAGATAAAACTCGAGTTTTTATGCTTTTCCTTTTTCTGCCACATTTGAGGATAGCAAAACAGCTCAAGAGGCAGAGACATAGAAAACAGGGTGCTCCTGGGGTTAAAGTGTACAGCACTGAGTCAATCAAGACTGAAGGAGAAGAAAATGAGACTGAAGGTGTTGTATATAAAGGAGTCGGGCACTGTATACCACAAAACTATGACAGCAGATATAAAGGAAGAGGTTGGCAGTACACTGGTGGACATTTCAAAGAAGACTAGAAAACAGAGAGCAACAAAAGAACAGGCAAATACACTAGTAAAGTCATATGCAGCATTAATCTATACTCTATGATAAAGAAGCAAGTTGAACCAGCAGCAAAGAAAGCCAAGATCCCGACCAAAGGGGCCACAGCAAAGGCAAAGAAACCTATTACTGTACCCACAAGGAGAAGTGCGAGACTGAAGGTAAGGTACATATTTGGCTTTTATGGAACTTTGGTTCACTGTGTTTATCGCGATTTCCAGATGGTTCAACCTGTGAAGTACACATAGAAACTACTTTGTCATTTCTAACTCAAAGACACCGTACCACCGTCACTCTCACTAGAAGAGTGTTTGTATACCCACCGTTCCTTTGGGTGTATGTCTATCACCTTTGCCTTCCCCTCCGTAGTGAACTCACAGGTAACGTTGAGGTTGTCCACGCTGAACTTGTACAGTTCGTGGGAGAACTTTTCTCTGCGGTACACCGAGCGAGGGTCCTGTTTCAGGACCTCCACTATTGCCTCTCGTGCATCAGATACGGAACGAAACGTATGGAGCACATATGACGACAACTCTTTATTAGCAGGTTCCACCTCACTACTCGTTTTCTCTGCGTGGAGTTTGCAGTTATCTGAGGAAAAGTTGCCCGCTGTTGGGTGGCAGTGAAATAGGGAGAGTTGATCCTCAGCTTTTTTAGATATCTCAACATCGATACAGGACGTTTCCTGTGAGTCAACCCAGGGAGGAACCCTAACTAATGAGTCTTGTAATTGACACGGACAAGTTTTGCTCCCTGTAGTCTCTCGCAAGCTGTGCGAGTGCAGTGCAGGATTGTCGTATGCCGGGATGTAAGGCTTGATATCCAACACAGGAGTCCCGTCCACCAAATCCACGCCGGATATGTGGAGAGTATCGTTCACGACGCGATCGATTTTCACCAGACTTAGTCCAATGGGGCAAGGTCTGTGAGGACTGCGAGTGGCAAACACCCCCCTCTTCTCCCCTCCCATGCGAGGCGGCTTCACTTTTGCCTTGACTCTCTCCTGTTCATTGAGGTGGAACACAAACAGCACCCTGGGCAAAGGAAGAGAAAAGAACACGAGTCAACAATTTTGTCTTTGCAAGAGGCACCCAGGGCTTCTGGTCTGGGTACATTTATGAGGTGAGGCTTAAAGCTCACACCATGCTTCTGATTAGATACATCTGTAACATAGTCTCACCAAGCGTGAGAATAGTCCTCCAGTCCTTCCAGAGAGTGGGCTGGGTTGGTGAACCGCTCTGCCACACGTATGACGCCGCGGGCACCGCGGACGAGGCCCGGCTGGCGGGGCGTCCCGTTTTTCTCTCGGAAACAGGTTCGGACGGTACCGATGGCAGCCTCGCAGAGGCTCGACACGAGAGACGGCTGATTTTGGCAGACACGTGGGGTGACGTTCGACGGGCGGCTTTCTGTTTTCTCCTAAACTGCCGCCTATGCTCCGCTTGATTGATTGTAGGTCACTCTTCAGCATGTATTTTAGCTGCTCCACCTGCTTTCTCAGATTCTGCAGCTCTCTTCTCATCACCGCCACCGAGTTTTGTAACTGGAGAAGAAGTGCCATATCAGCTGCTAGTGCGCAATAATTAGAGGTGGTGCGCTTTTATTGGAAGGAAGAGCTACAGAGATGCGGAGGTCGTTGCGTGGTATCAAGAGGACGGCTGCTGAAGCCGGCACTGAGTTTAGCATTATCCTCCCGAATAAGTTAGATTCATGGGCCAAAGTCAGCGAGAATCTCCGCAAGATAGTTCAGGGTGAAGTGCGGGACGTGAAGGGTTTCGAGAGGGTGTACACGAGCATAGAATCGTACAGGCCGAAAATTTCCGAACCTAAATTCGCGGGTCTGCGCCGCCTTCTTAGAGACGGTCTGCACGTGAGCGAGCGTCACTTTCTGGACACCCTGCTGCCGTGGATAGCCTCAAAGGCCCTGGAAGTAGAGAGTCTGTTCCGTGACCAAAACTACCAGCTCCCAGTGAGATCACCTCACACTCCTTCATACCCTCCCCTCATCCTTTTTACCCATAAAACCTAAGTGTTTGTGTGATAATACAATGCCATTTCACAGCTCCTGGTGCAAGGTACTGAGGGAGAAGTGGTACTCACTCGCCTGCAGGTCTCCTGCCTCTTGGCTCTGGCGTTTTTCTGCACCTTCCCCCCTCCTTCCGACCGACACTTTCAGCACTTCTTGCTCACTCACTTCCTCCGCTCAAACTTCTCCCAGAGCCAGTGTAGCAAGCTGCTCTGCATCCTCGCCTACTTTGATCGCGTACGGCAAGCCGAGACAGAGAGGAGGCGAGAGTTTCTAGACCTCAAAATCTCCATCGAGCGACGTGGGATTGAGAAACAAGACCCGGAGGTACTCTGGGGGAAATGCAATCGCCCCCTGTCGCAGTTCTCCTGTGAAGAAGAGGGATTGATTGAAGACGCTCACGGTGATCTGCAGGTGGATTTCGCCAACAGATACATCGGAGGAGGTGTGCTTGAAATGGGAAATGTCCAGGTCAGTTTTTGAAAAAGCAAACTTCGTTCCACATACACACACTTCCTCTATTAAACGGCCACCTTTGTGAGGGTGTTTCTCTTCTATTCCCTTTTCCTCTCTCATTCTCCCGATGCTTGCACACACGTTACTTGCACAGGAAGAGATCAGATTCTCCATCAACCCCGAGTGCCTCGTCTCCATGCTCATCTGTGAGGTCATGTTGGACAACGAAGCCATCCTAATTAGAGGGGCAGAGCAATTTGCCGAGTACAGTGGCTACGGCTCTGGGTTCTTGTTCACGGGGCCTCACACTGACAAAAACCCCACAGACGAACGGAACATGAGATGTGTTAGTATAGTCGCTATAGATGCAGTGCCACAAGGGTATGCTGATCAGGACGAATACGACGCGGCCACACTGGTGAGGGAACTAGACAAGGCGTACTGTGGTTTCAGTTTCGTTATCGCCGGAGACGACAGGGGCAGTGGGGCTATGAGACCGGTTGCGACTGGAAATTGGGGATGTGGTGCATTCGGCGGAGACAGAGAGTTAAAAACGCTACAGCAATGGATGGCGGCTACAATGGCGGGCCGACCGATAAAATACTACAGTTTCAGAGACAGCAGATTTTCTGACGGACAGGCAAAAATTGTATCCCTCTTACACGAGAGGGAAGTCACAGTTGGCCAATTATACCATATCTTAGAGTCCTACTCCAAACTCACGGAAAGAAATGGAGTTTTTAACTTTGTGGCAGAGAAACTAGCAGCCAGTTGACCAATAATTATTATTATTCTAGGGGATTGACTATTACGATTGTGTCACAACTCCATAAAATTGTGTGCCCTATTTTTGATAAAGAAAGGAAAAAAATTGATGCCCAACAGTTCAATGTGAATCGTCCTGTCTAATAATAATACAGATTGAAAAGAAGAAAAGAAGAAACGGTGTTCTACAGCTAACTCTGAGTTCTCCATTTCCGGTGGAGTGTGTCCATCCATTCAGAAGCTCTCCTGGTGAGAGTGAGGTGAGGGTCGAGGGAGTTCAGACCAGGCTCCCCGTTCAGAGAGAGCCCTGCTAGACCCAGACACGTGTGGAGGGGGTCTTAGGAAGGGAGAGGTGGAGAAAGGACGAGGAGGAGGGTGAAAGAATAGACATCAGTTCTACCAACTTTTGGGTCATTACATCATGGTTTATTGTTTTCTATCGTCTACATATATTACCTATTCCTTTATAGCGTACTGTGTATATATTAAACTTCATTTTTTTCGTGAGTGACCTGCCTTGAACCAATATTAGACTTGGCCAACACTCACTGTATGATAGTGCCGCCGTATATACCTGGGTGACTCTCGGGCCATTTGGCAAACCCTCCGACCATTTTGCCCCGTGTAGAGAGCAGAAAACCTCTGTTCCATTCTTTGTTCACGTACTGAAACCAGCCCAGCAGCTGTAGGTACATATGAGTTGATCATTCGCCATTAATCCACTGCTATTGGAGTGGTGGTATATAATAATTAGGCATATAATTTATACTAGTTTAGCTCGACCGGGTATTAGGGACTCCTCTTACACGAGATTCAAAAAACTGCAAGCACCTCAAGAGAAGCTCCGATCCAGAAAGAGTAGCATGTGTCGGAGGGTTTGTTTGGTCGTCCCTGGAAACCGGTCACCTGACGTCGGAGACACCACCTGGCCAGCCCTCTCCTCTCCTCGGGAGAGAAGGCTGAGTCCAGTCTCCCCATCAGAGACAGTGATGCCACCGCACAGAACGTCGAACCTCCTGAAAAAAGAAATGGAAAACAGGTTCTCAATACGTCCGCATACAGTGTGTTTTTCGTAAAGTTTAAGAACCTAAAAGAGAGCTGAGAGTGTAAAAGTTCCTGTGTACATACATGTAGTTGAAGATCACACTTTATGTGAATGCTGTATATACTGTAACCGCATGCTTGCAGAATATACTCAGAGTAGACGTTGTTATTCTTCTGCATTTACCATGTGACTCCAGATGAGGCATCTGCCCAATTCCGTAGTCATAACCCTGAGAAGAAAGAAACACAGACAGAGCTCGATGGAGGACAACCGGTGTGGATGGCTATATAACCTGACTCCTCCGGATGAACTGCACTGCCTTCTCGACGTCAATCCCACTCCAATCGTCCAATATGTGGCACACACACGACGCAGAGTAGACAAATCTCATGTCGTTCTCTCCACAGAACGGCATCGACTGGAAACTGAAAGCAGAAGAAAAAAAGGATTCAATTTGGTGGGTTGCCGCACTCGCCAGTAATACAAGATAGGTGGATTGAGAGAGAGAGAGAGAGAGAGAGAGAGTGAGAGTGAGAGAGACCTGCCATCTTCTCGTTGCAGGTTGCGAAGACTCCTGGAGATGGCAGATCTGTTGATCCGAGAGAGGTCGTCTCCCAGCATTATCAGAACTGCCAGAGCAGTGTACGTCATGGCTACATGGGCAGTGTCACACGGGACGGGCATGGAGTGCTGGAACCACAGACAAGACAGCGAGGGAGAGACGATGGGAAAATCTAAGCCACTAAACTGCACGTAGTTTCAGTAGAGGCAAGGGGAGCAACCCATATAATACTCAAATTATAAAAACCAGCACCTGTTGGACAAAACAGGGAGGAGAGCTAACCTTTGTCGAGTCAAATGGAACACCGAGGTAGCCACCACCACGAAATCCGCAGCAGGCGTCGGGACCTGCTATGTGCTGTGGCAGCACCTGTTGACAGGAACCACATTAAAAGAGAAACCCCCTCTAAAGTCTGTACAGAGAGAGACTGATTCATTATGAGAAACTTTTCTTGCTCTAGAGGGTCCTTAGAGAGGTCCAATTCTATTTTGCACTGAAGAAGACAGCTGTATAGTTGCCGAAACACTACAGATTACCACATACCTGTTGGGAGTAGATCCACTCAATGATCTGTTCTCTCTCGTACGGTCTGAGTGCAGTGTCCAAGGAGTTGAGTATGTCTAGTCCACATACACTGAAGAATAGGATGGTCATCCTGCAAAGGTAGCCAGCAGAGAGTATGACATCGAACAACAGCGAAAAGGGTAAATTTGAGAGCTAGTTTTTTTTCGCTCTAAAATGTCAGAGTGACATCAAACCACTTGCCTGTTGACATCCAAAGACCTGGCACTGTATGGCAGCACACTCAGCGACCTCTGAAGAAACTTAATCTGTTTCTTTACTTCCAGCTTCACCTCTTCCTTCTCCTCTTCCTCCATGCCTGTCAGTATTCATACACTGGGCGAACGGGGTGAGTGAGTTAGCAAATGAGCGAATGAGAGAGTGAGATGTGAGGAAGAGGGAGAGAGAAGGACTAGATATTTAGATATACGGACAGGCTAGAGCTACAGGCACTGTGGCTACGCCAGGTGTGAGGTCAGAGAGAAGATTAGGTGGTCCTCCCGCCAAAATGCTCCCTCGCCCCCGGCACTGGGCCTGGAGCGATAGGTCGCACTCCTTACGGTCCCTTGACACGCATCTCATCACTCCTCACACCTCAAAAAAAGGCACAGAGCGAGTGGGAAAAACTTACCAGGTCTTGGACTTTGTAGGCATGAGGTACATGTGGCGGTCGGTTCGCCACGCTTTTGTGCGCATGCGTATTCAGGGGAGCAATTACGAGGGGGGCGTGGCTGGCTTTCCAGCATGGACGAGAAGACGAGAAGGGAAGAGTTTCCTCAGCTAAAAGGTGCGCCTGCAGCATTTTAGAAGCTTGTGAGACATTATAGGGGTGATTTTACACAAACCTTGCCCGTGTCGAGTCACATGCAAGCGTAGAGGAGTGCATTTTAGCTCATTTCCTTCTTGACTATGTAGGAGTGACGTATTTGGACCACGCTGGAGCCGCTCTCTACGCCAAGAGCCAAGTGGAGGCCCACACGGCCGGTCTTACCGCCAATCTCTATGGCAACCCGCACAGCCAGTCTCCCAGCAGTCAGAGCAGTACGGCAGCAGTGGACCACGTCCGGGACCTCGTCCTCCTGTTCTTTGGAACTGACTCGGACCACTACGACGTGCGTCTTCACTTCCGGCTGCACGGCAGCTCTGAAACTGCTCAGCGAGTGTTTCCCTTGGTGTGCCCTCCCCCCTCCCCCACCTCCCAACAACTCACTCTCTAAAGAGGTTCCTTTACCGTACGTGGGAAGAGGAGTAGATACCGATATTTCACAGAGTGCACCTCTTTCGAGAGCAGAGAAAAGTGAAGATGCTACTAAACGTCTTCCAACAGCAGAAGTGAAGGTGATATCCCTCTTTCTGAAAGCTGGCAGTGAGGCAGAAAGCTCTGAGGTCAATAGAGCAACAAGTGAAAGGAAACGAGTGCTGATAGTGTGTCTGGTGGGTCTAAAATGAGGCTAGTGTCAGTGTTTTCTACACGCGTGACTTGAAGGTTGCAGGGGGTGATGTGTGTGGAGCGAGGAGGGTAGGGGAGGGCAGTGTGTTTTGCTACCTTGAGGACAACCACACTTCTGTGATTGGGATGCGAGAGGTTGCTGCACAGTTTGGCGCTTCGGTGGTCTGCACAACTGCACAGGATATTGTGGGACGGTCCCAGTTAGAGAATACTGCTGAATCTGGGCAGCCCACTCTGAATCTGGGGCAATACACTCCGAATTTGGGTCAACCTTATCTGAATCCGGAACAGCACACTTTGCAACCCACCCTGAATTTGGGCCGACTCTTTCTGAATCTAGGACCGCACACTCTGAATCCGGGACGACCCAATCTGAAACTGGGCCAGAGGATATCATCACCTCGCACCCCAATAATACTGGTTCAAACTCTCAACGCGAATGCTTGTCAGACTGCGACAAAATCTTCAATCTGTTCGTCTATCCTGCACAGTCAAACTTCTGTGGTCAAAAGTACCCTCTTGACTGGTGTACCGAAATCCCCAGCGGCCAACTGACCATCGCAGGATTGTGTCCACCCTACTCTCCTAGGTTCAAGCCCAGTTCGTGGAAGATATGTCTCGATGCTGCGTCGTTAGTTGCAACGAATACTCTGGATTTGACGCAGCACCCGGCCGATTTTGTCACTGTCTCCTTCTACAAGGTGAATATAAGATAGACCTTGTATATACTAGTCTGGTAGCTTGGTAATTTAAAACACGCAATCTGATTGGTTGATGGGTGGACGCTAATTCAACTCTAAATCTCGCACATGTTCAATAATTGTGAGATGCGTGAATGCCACAGCTCAGGGCCCCCACAGCTCTCTAATTAATACACATAGTTTCCCGGAATCGCCATCTACACTTATACCATCTTCATATCCTCCTCCCCAATCTTCAAAATCCCTTAAATTTTTACCTTAACTTGGAATACACTGGAAGGGAATGGAGAGCAACGGCCAGTGTGTGTGTCTGGTAGCGCAGTAGTGACTGGGGTAATTACTAGTCACCAACCTGGTACTGGAAAAAAGTTGTGTTTCTCAGTTCCCCTCTGAATACGTATCTATATACAAGATTGTGAAAGTGAAAAAAAGTTGTGTTTCTGTGTTCCCCTCTGAATACGTATCTATATACAAGATTGTGAAAGTGAAAAAAAGTTGTGTTTCTGTGTTCCCCTCTGAATACGTATCTATATACAAGATTGTGAAAGTGAAAAAAAGTTGTGTTTCTCTGTTCCCCTCTGAATACGTATCTATATACAAGATTGTGAAAGTGATAATTATATGTCCTTTGGTATCGTTCCCACAAGGTGTTTGGTTTCCCGACTGGACTAGGGGCACTGTTGGTACGTAGGGATAGTGCCCCGCTGCTGTTCAAGAGGTACTACGGAGGAGGGACTGTGTTTGGAACAGTCAGTCGATCCGGTCTACACCTTCCTCGCTCTGACCTGCACGAACGGTTAGTAGCACGTCGCCCCGACTTTGAATTTTCGTTCTCTATTTAAGTGAAACTACACAGTGTAACCCCTCTAATCTTGGCACCAATGGGACAGAAGAATGTGTCCGTATTAGTGAGATATCCTTATTTCAGGGGTTAAAACTGTTCTTGGGGGAAAGATAGGGTGTCCTCATTTCCGAGGTTTTCTTAGAGAGAGGTCCACCCAATTTACTATGTTCCCCATTGTCCTCCAGACTTGAAGATGGCACCATTCCATTCCTGGAGATCCTGGCTCTGGAGCATGGGTTTCAGACCCTCTCCAAGTTGGCTGGACCGATGACAGGGATTGCCGATCGCACATTCACTCTGGCCAAGTGAGGGTTATTTGTACTCTCTCTGGTTTTCAAAATCAACCCCCTGGGTCACCCCATTTTCCATGAGGGTGGATTGCACAACTTCCCTAATACACAAAGTACATTTACAGTCAGCTGCCAAGGGCTTTTTACACTACTCTCTATATTATAGCTCCAGATTCTCCAGGTATTTATGGTTCTCTGCCCATTTGGCCCATCACAGCCACCCCTGGGGGGTGGGGGTGCACTCTCAAGCAATAGTTGAAGTAATCAGGATGATGAGTTGGCCTCTTCATGTGTACGAAATATTTTAACAACCCCACCTGCCTTCTGTCCGTGACACCCTATTTCTTCTCTCCTCTCTCTCTCTCTCTCTCTCTTTCCTCAAATAGGTATGTCCACGATAAGCTATCTGTGATGAAACACTATAATGGAGCTCCTCTATGCATCATCTACTGCCACGAAAATTTCACGGACCCCTCAAAGCAGGGGGGCATTGTGAATTTCAATCTCCTGCGGCCCGACGGAAAGTTTGTAGGCTACAGCGAGGTAATAGCATGCAGAACACGAAGTGTGTAATCAACCCCTCATATGTATTGAACTGTATCTACATTGTCACTACGTGTATGCTATCTCACTATTGCTAGCTAGTCTTTTTCATGACTACGAAAGTTCCAATCTGGGGTCAATACAGTTTTTGCCGCATTAGGCATCCCGCTTGCCTCGAGCGATAGAGTATGCGTAAGCCTTTGACTGGCAATAAGCCGGCGGTTTGTCAATCGGGAAAAACTGGTCCTGTCCGACCAGTGTAGAGGACCATAGGTCTTCAAAGCTGGTTTGACGAGTCACGACCCATGTCGTTAGGATCACAGGGTCGCCGGTGGGAAGGTGGAGCATTTGCCCGGACCACGATATCACTGCGCAGGCGTCCAGCTGTGAATTCTCCCAGTCGAGAGTCCATCCGAGGGTGTTACCTCTGGGGTCTTTGAACCCAGCGACTGTAAACGTGCCCTGCGCCACGCCGTGGAAGTTTTCGTGTTGCCCCGCAAAGAATCCGGTGTTGGCGTCGTAATCGGTGATTGTGAGGATCGAGCAGTATTCGTTGATCCACACCTGTCCATGGGCAAAGACAGGACCGTCAGCTGTAGGTGTGGAAAAACAATGCAGAGCATTTAGTTTGGTGACGTAACAGGAAAAAAAGTGGTTGCAAGCTATTCAGAGTTGCACGAGGAAGGTGAGGTTGAACATATCAACAGTGTGTGGCCAGTTTTCCTGCTCAAACAGCTAAATTTAGTAGCAATTACGTAATGATACACACGTTTTACAACAATCAGATAGATCCTTGTTTCTACCACAAAAAAACACTTTTCCACTTACTTAGTCCACACGCCGGAACGCTCTGCAAGGAAGCAATACATGATTATCATGCCATAGAAAGTTATATATCTCTAACCGGGGTACCGTGGCCAACGGAGAGTAGTGTGGCAAAGACTGCGATTGTGGTCCCTGCAAGACGATACATGGCGATTGAGCTATTTCCCTCGTTGTCAAGTCTCGGAAAGCTTTTCCTCTTTTATAGTACCCTGGGCCCGAGGGGCATTATCCATCCCTTGCTGCTGTGTTATCAGCCAAAAATCCACTCAGTGATAATAGCGAGAGATCCTTTGTGTAGTAGTAGCGTGTATGTACTGTACAGCACTACACGCATACCTGATGGCGAGACGGAATCGATTTCGCAATGTGTCTCCGTGACCTGCTCTGCGTCGCTTGCCAAAAACGTGTTGCATTCTTTCAGCTGACCTTCTACTTCAAATGAGATGTGAACCATTTTGAGATGGAGTACTTTTTGTAGTGTGGGGCTAAAAGCCTAAAAGACAGAGCTGGCACAGAGCATGAAAACTACATCGACTATAATGTAGTAGTAGCTTTGATTCCTAAGTAATTGGCATGAAATTATAGTTCTTAGCATACCAGCCATAGGTAGATAGATAGTCAATTTGGGAAGCAACGCTTTCATAGTGAGTGGAATGATCTGTATACTAGAGTACATTATATAGTGCTCTCTATGAGTATGTATGTGAACTATGGTATTGCTACAGGTTTCAAATTTGGCGAGTGTCCACGACATTCACCTGAGGACTGGCTGTTTCTGTAACACAGGAGCCTGCATGAACTACCTTCACCTCGACACCTCCCTCATTCTCAACCACTTGGAGGTACGTGATCCAGGGGTGTCCCGATTGGTTGTCCTGATCCAGGGGGTGTCCAAATTAGTTGTCCTGATCCAGGGGTGTCCCGATTAGTTGTCCTGATCCAGGGGGTGTCCCGATTAGTTGTCCTGATCCAGGGGGTGTCCTGATTAGTTGTCTTGATCCAAGGGTGTCCCGATTAGTTGTCCTGATCCAGGGGGTGTCCCGATTAGTTGTCCTGATCCAGGGGTGTCCCGATTAGTTGTCCTGATCCAGGGGTGTCCCGATTAGTTGTCTTGATCCAGGGGGTGTCCCGATTAGCTGCCCTGATCCAGGGGGTGTCCCGATTAGTTGTCCTGATCCAGGGGTGCCCCGATTAGTTGTCCTGATCCAAGGGGTGTCCCGATTAGTTGTCCTGATCCAGGGGGTGTCCTTATTAACGTTATCCTGATTAGCTGACATACTAGGCATAAAGATTACATGCTAGTTACATTAACATACGTACAAATGCCCTTTTCTACGTAAACACCTAACAATGGTCAACATTTATACGTACAACATAATTATGTATTGAATGTGTGGAGCTGGCAGCTGAATGCCCTTACAATGTATCATGTGACCACTGTGGTGTCATGTGACTACTATGGCGACAGGTATTTGGTCGTGACAGGTACTAGTTCCGGTCGCACACACAGTTATGGAAGAACAACTCAGCACTTATATAATATAGTCAAACATTCATAATTAAGGAATGCATTGTGTGTGTGCTCTATACACCAACCAAGAGGAGAGATTGCCATTGTATAGAGTTACTGTTTACACATAGGTAGTCCCCCCCTCTCTCTCGTCTCTTCTTACTCGCTCCCCTCTCACTCGCTCCCCTCTCCCTCCTCCCCTCTCCCTCCTCCCCTCTCCCTCCTCCTTCTCTCTCCCTCCTCCTTCTTTTAATTCTCTCACTCCCAACTTCTTTCCCGCCTCCTTCTCCCTCCTTCTCCCCCACCTACATACACTCTATCCAGGCTGGTCATATATGTGGTGACAGCATGGATATTATCAATGGAAAACCAACTGGTTCGGTCCGTGTATCATTCGGCTATATGTCGACTTTAAAAGACGCAAAAACGTTCGTCTCTTTCGTGGAGAGTAACTTCCAACACTCAACCGAAACCAGTTCCGACGACCTCATCGATAGACCTAGCACTAATTTCATTGGACGAAAGACTGATGATGTCATCGTTAAGGAATGCGGTGATGTAGGAGATGGAAGAGGATTGGAAGTTGAGACAGTTGAAAAGAGGGGGAGAGAAGGAAGATGGATAAAAGTCGGAGATAAAGTGGCAATAGTTTCTTCTAACACCACCATAGGTGAGCTAAGAAGACAAGATTCTGAGAGAAGGAAGAGAGACAAGAGAGACAAGAGAGAGGAGTTGTGGGAGATGAGAAAACATTTAATTTCTTTCTCTCTCACTCCCTCTGTGTACAGGTACTGCCTGTAAGACGTATAAACTGGACAGTATAAGGCTCTACCCAGTCAAGAGCTGCGGATCACTCGAAGTATGGAAATACCCCATTGTATATACGTGGCTATGTGTCTCTAATTAGATATGAATGCAGCATAACAAACAAGATCACTCTCATGTGCATCGTAGCAGGAACCTTGCGAGGGAGTTTAATTTGTGGGAATCCTGCATAATTACTCATCGTATACTTCTTCTTGTTCACTTGTTTGTGTCATTGCCTGCAAATTCTTCTGGTGGCGTGTGTATGAAGTATGAAGTAAAGTTTGCCTTTGATTGTGAAGTTTTTGAACGTACTTAGAGAGGGTTTCCACTTTAGCTGTTGTTTTTTTCGGGGCGGATATTTTTTGAATGCTCACAATCCGTAAGTTTAACCCCTACTATACACTATGTTGATGGGTGAAAATTTTTGGAGAAACGTAAAATTACGCGAAAATTTTATTCTCCAGGTTTCGGAGTGGCTAATTGGTGGGTGTGGCTTGTTGTACGACCGAGAGTGGGTGGTCCTGTCGGAGCACCGGGCGTGTCTGAGCCAGAAACAGGAGCCTCGTCTCAGTCTCGTTCTCCCATTCCTCACTCCCCATTCCCAACATCTGGAACTCCGGTTCCAAGGTCTCCATACATTTTTCGTGATGATGTCTTTTCAGTTTTGAGAGAATACCATAGAATGTGGACGTGTATGAAGCTCTCGAGAGGGGCGTATTTTTCAGATAAATTTCGCAGCTTACACAAATTTTGTGGGTGGGGACTATTTGTATGGTGGACCATAGGACATAATGTCTCTTTTTAAACAGACAAGAACAAGCTTTCCCCCATTCTGCACAGCTAAATGCTCCAAACCAGTGTTAGTTTCACTGTATGTATGTACGTTCCCTAGGCAAGGCTAGTTTGAAGGTGTCCCTTGCAAGGGGCGGTACAGAGGAAGGCTCGAACCAGACGAGAAGACAGGGAAGAGATTTTTCGCTGAGTTCTGGTGGAGCAGTGTGTCAGATGAGAGTCTGTGGAGACAAGTGTGTTCTTTCTTTCTTCCTCTTCCTCTTTTCCTTCTTTCTTTCTCTTTCCTCTTTTGCACAATTCTCTCCCTCTCCCCCTCTCTTCTTCTTTTTCTTCTTCTCCTCTCTCTCCTGTCTCATTTTTCATGCAGTGCTCTCACTCCCCTCCCCTCCCTCCCTCTATATATCAGAGTAACAGGGACAGATTGTGGAGAAGCAGCTGCCAGTTGGCTCACAGAGGCCCTCTCCCGTGACTGTCGTCTTGTGAGGCAGACTCACCAGCGAACTGCAAAGACGCCATCTTCAGGTAATTCACCGGGACCATGCAACTATTATATAGTCCAGTAGAACTTTGCTATAGTCTGTCGTGTTGAGATCTCACATTGCGTATCGTAATGCTTTTTCAATGTAAAACACTGAAATTTAGCATTTGTTTGCTAATGTACTTGTAGTGTAACAGGACATTAATACACTGCCTTATAGTAGCAAGACCATTACAAAGCTTACTTGAATCCGGAAACCCTTGAAAAGTTTACCACTACCAATAATTTGTAAATTGGTCATTGCCCACAGCAAGTGGCAGTGGGGAAGCCCCTCTCCTGTCACTGGCTAACGAGGCACAGTATCTGCTGGTGACCAGAGCAAGTGCGGAGTATCTTCTGTCAGAGATTTCCAAAAGACACACGAAACAGGTTTGCCAAACCAGAAAAGCCAGACTGACGATCTCAATGCATGGTTCACATAGTATAATATATACACTGTGCATTGATAGTTAACAAATCAATTGTTTGTTCGGCAAATGTCCAACTCCTTACCCCTGCATTCATCAACATCGTGTCTGGGCTGAGGAAGAGGCAGGGACATTGCTTCTAGGCCGTGGTATCAAATTGTTACTGTTGTTGTCCATAGCTGTCCATAGAAGCACTTGGGGAGGATGTGTCGCTCCAGCTGTGGAGCTTCAATTAGGTTTATTATCATGCCAGTGGGCTCGTCCGTGACTGGGCACATTGTGCGCACACTACCTCTTGTGTCGAGACAGAGAGAATAATGCCCTTGTCTGTTTTGGCTTTCTACAGCGCCTTGGGCTGTCCGTGAGAGATCAATAACTGAATCTGTTCAGTCAAAAATCTCTCTGAATGTGATGTGTTATGCTAGAAAGCACGTATGTAATGAACCATGAAATTTTAATCCCTCAAAAAAGTTCCCGCTCTAGCGAGGGTGGTATTCGATATTATTTGTCTCGTATTGATACAGTTGCTGTCGCTGGATGATCTGGTGTCCCGGTTCCGTCCCAACCTGGTGGTCTCCGGGAATGGAATGGAGCCGTACGAAGAGGACGAATGGAGCGAGGTCACCATTGGAGGTCAAAGATTCAAGGTAACCAAAACCTATGCGAACTTCATACCTGGATGAATGTTGATCCTGTCATACATTGTGTACACGTGAATAATAGAAACACCTCTCAATGAAGGACACAGTTTAAGGTCTCGATCGTTCACTTTTCTATCACTCTATGTAGTACATTTTCAACCTCTAAAGAGTCTGAACGTGTCAATTATTCAAAAGTTCAACTGAATAGGCAGATCATGTGTGGCCCCTGTGCAGGTGACGGGTCGCTGCAGCAGATGCAGGACCATCTGCGTGGACCAGACGACCGGCTCCCGGAGCAGCGAACCTCTCCAGACTCTCCTCCGGCTCCGGGGATCCAGGGTGGGTGGAGCCTCGTTGCCACGACGCAAACACCACTGATACCCCTGACAACATTCCCTAGCTTACAACCTGGTTTCCAAGCTCGCGCATAAGCCTCAGAAATTTGTCCATGCTTTACTTTTCCACTTAGTTTCAACAGTATAACTAGCTAGTGTTGGTGAAGTGTTTCTCTTAGTGCATGCGCATGGCATTCCTGTTGCATTCTTCCTCGGCAAGCTCTAAGACATTCGTAAGAACATTCATAAGAACAAAAGCAGTTCTTGAAATAATATTATAGTATATATTCCCCCAATGAATGAGTGAGTAGCTACTAAATATGGTGAGCCTCTCCCCCTCTAGACAGAGAGGCTTGGCTGGTTGTGATAGCAGAGTTCACTAGGGGACACTTACTCTAAACCTGTTTTCACTATATTATATACCATGTGGTAGTTGATATTGATTAGTAGTATATCCCTGCAGTGGGTTGAATATGTACATGAAGGGAGAGAGGTTTCTGTACATTCCTAACCCACTGAGTTTGCCCACTCACAGGCCACATTTGGGGTCTACCTTACCGCTCAGGCATTTCCTCCAGATTTTGATGATCAATGTATTTCAGTCCCGCAGACATTGAGCACCACCACCTTGTGGTGATGTCGCTCCTGCATACTTTCATTTTCGCGTCTGCTGCATTCATTTCACAAAAAACACTCACCTTCGCTTTTATTTTGTGAGGAATTGTTTGTGTAATTTTCATGTGTTTGCTTCTTATTTACTACTTCAATTTCGTTTTCACGTGTGTTTTATAATGCTGCACTGCACTTCACCATAAAACATAAATCATCATTGCCGTATATATACAAGATAATCGTACACATTACAATATTTCGTAAAAAGGCACTGAAATTAAAAGATCTACATTTACAACAGCACGACTACAATAATGACGCAACGAACGAGCGTTTCAAAACGTCACAGAAATATAGCTAGTCTCATAGTAGCGTCTACCATGTATTTGTATATACACTGCACTCTTTGGTCAAGACGGGCAGGTAACTGCTGCAAACAAACAGGAATAGAAAGAGGAGAGAGAGAGAGAGGGAGGGAGAGGAGGGTTTGCATCAATATTTTGAACTGAGCTTTATAAAAATGAGGATAATATCCCTCTGACATGATATAAAAGTGCACAAAACCGGGCGTTTTTCACATCGTTGTTGCCCTCTAAAATTTGCCAAGCAAAAATGTACATGGTTATTGTATGCAACCAAATCGGCACTAATTCAGTTCCACCAGTTATCCCAAAACATGCTATATATAGACCTCTATGAGAAGAAGAAAGTATGGTATGTACTGCTACGAGAAGACACTTACTGCTATGAGAGGAAGAAAGGATGTATAAAGAATCCTAGGACGACTAGAGCGCCCACCACAACCAACAGAACAGAGCCAAAGAAGGCAAACACAATGTCTCCAGCCTCCAGACCGTAGTTGATGGGGTTGGGGTTGGAGGCAAATCGACTGTCCGATGTGCGATCTCGGGCAACGGAAAGGCTCACTTCACCTGTCGTGCGTGTGTGTGTGTGTGTGTGCGGGTGGAAATGGTACAACATTAATACACACATTTGTTGCATTTTTATATGGTGGAATACAGTCCAACATGTCTCAATGGTCAACGCAAGATACGTACCATGTCAGACCCCACAAGAAATAAACGCTCTCCCTCTTTAGCCGTCTCTTCCATCTTTCGCCTCTTCTAACTCCCCTCAACCCTTATCCCTACCTTTCTACCTCCCCTGCTTCTCTTCTCTTCTCCCCCTCTCCATTATTTTCTCCCTCTCTACTTCCTCATCTCAGAGTTTACTCACTCACCTGCCCAGCTGTTGAGATACACAGGTCGCAGAGTGGGGTCGCGGTTCTCGTTCCCAATGGAGCTAGCCGGTCCGATATTCTGATTGAACATGTCTACCAGGGACACATTGAGGGTCAGTCGCAGTGCCGTCTTTCCTCTGAACCCAGTCACGTAGGCATTTCCACTGAGGCCGTTCCTGAAGCAGGTGTCGAATGTTGTGCTGCTGATGTTGCCCAGGTTGTATAGGGTGACCAGCACTCTGGTGATGGGGAGAGGGGGAGAGAGGAGAGGGAGAAGAAAGAGTCAATAAGGTAATGGTGATTTATGATTTAGACACTTTGTATAAATAATATATGCATCACGGGGTTAAAACACAAGGCACGTGTGATTCATGATGCATCTTTTTAATTCTCTTGTATTATTATACTGAGGTATGTATATACCATTGTCGTATATAAGGATTAAAAGCTCACACTTGCTTAAAACGAAAGAGAAAAAGAACGGAGGGCTATAAGGGGCTTCTACAAATTTCATCTCGACATTTCGGCAAAAATAAACGATAATCTAAAAAAGACTTACGATTCTCTGTATTCTGCAACTTCGTACGTCTCGACATTAGACACGCAGAACTGGAGATAGTCATTAATGCCGGCCAGGCAGCCGGTCTGAGTTTTGACGACCTCCTCAATGATCTGCATGATCTGCGCCTTTCGCGCCACGTCCATCCACGACAGCGCCGGGAACTGCAAGAAGATTGTCCAAAACTGGTCGGACTCGGATTCAGCAGGGAGTGGAGCCCTTGCAGTGTCCGCCACGACATTCATGTCAGAGTCGATGTACCCACCACACTACAGGAACAGACACACAAGAGAGATGCAACGGCATTTGAACAGACTAAAAGGCTAACTTGACACGGGGCTAAATTGCTAAAGAACTGGTTTTTCGCACAGGTGGTTGTTCCTAGAGATGGTCCACTCTCGAATTGTTTCAATATCTTACCCAGAAGTGTTCCTGGCGAATCATGACTGCTTCAGGCTGGCAAAACCGCTGGATGTTGCCAGACCTGTCGACTTGATCGAACGGCAGGGCAGCAAATTCGGCGTCTGAATAACTGAGCGTTCCACAGTCGGCCGGGGCATCTAGACAATAGCCCAGTGCGGATAGCACTGACACCAGCAGCAAAGTGCTTATCCTTCTCATTGTTACTGTGGTGAGAGACGGAGGAAGAGGGAGAAGGGGGGGGGATAAAATAACCAAGAGAGGAAGAAGAAAAAGAGAAAGGGCGGGAGGAAAAGTTGAGGTGAGATAAACTTGATCTTCAAATCTCTTTGTAGGTGCGGCAATAATAATACGCTGATAATTCCTCTATATCGCAATTTGCAGACAACACTTACGTAGCTATACAGGAAGTCTAAAGGTTCACTTGTGACACTTACAAACTCCAAATATGCAGCGTTAGGAATGCATTCGACTCCAAATCAGAGCACGCTAGAGGGTTTACATCACCGTGATGTAATCCTATCAATTTCTCGTGGCTAATGAGAGAGCCACACCCACCCACACACAGGGCTTCACTTGCGACAACAGAAATCCAAGCAAATCCAAAGAGCAGGGCTGATCTAGTTTTATGTAGTTCTCACTTGACGCGACTCATCAGGATATGGTAAGGTAGTTTGAACCCAAAAAGATACCTCTCCGGTTCAGTTAGACAAGGTTCGGTATAGTCGAACCACCCCGAAATCATGTAAAGTAAACTCTACACACCCTACTAGCTCTCCAATGATGTGGTTCGAGAAGGTTCGAGGAGGTTCGATGCGCTTAAACCATCCCGAACTAGTGCACATCGCCCCTGCACTCATTTTTAAACCTTTATGCACCACAAACAACCCCATTTGGTAAAGGCCACCTCCCGCTTTTACCGCATCCCACTGCAGTAGCAAACTTAGGGCTGGTCTGTGTAGGCATCAGCCAAGCAGGTCTTTACCTTAGTTTTACGCCACGAAAAACAACGTCTGCACTATACCCGGTTTGTTGGTGGGTTTGCACAAGGGGGAAAGACAAACAGTGGAGGACACAAAAACACACTGCTGCTGCAGAGAGCAGTGCGTGCAACGGTCACACTGCAGGGCTTTTTTGGAAATGGGTTTAGCTCTCTTTGTGCCTCTTGGGCATATGACAACAGCCGCTAATCTGTGAACAATGAATGGCACTTTGGCCAAGTACCGCAACTCTCTGTCGGCCACTCCCTCCCTGCAGGACGGCAGGTCCGAGAGCTAGCGCAGCGCGGCTCAGCAATGACTTCCCGCTCGCCCAGCCGCACAGACAAAGGAGCTTCCGCCCGAGAGGGCTACGCGCGAACATCTCTCCATAGAGACGCTAGCTAGCTCTCCGCAAACAGGGACCAAACGCCCACTATGACAAACAACACACTCACTCACCTGCGTGTCTGGAGTTCTGGAGGGAGAGGACGAGATGGGTCTCCTTCAGGAGCCGCGTCCGAGTGAGGCGTGCGTTGCAGAAGTCGGGCTAGGGAGGGGAGCCTCGCGACCGCTGGGCAGCAAGGAAGAGAATGGGGTGGGGAAGCGGCCGGGAAAAAAAACGAAAGTGCAGCAATCGGGCGCGGGCGGAGCGGAAATTCACGTGATGTCCGTGTAAATCAGGGCTCAAATCAAGTGCTTACGCATTTTGATAATTTGACGCTTCCCTAACACGATCTGATACGGAGGTATGCAACGAATGTCACAACGCAATATTTCGTCATCAGACCCACTACGTACGAATCGAATGTGCGCATGCACGAAACAACACAAAGACCCTTTGTTAGTTGCAGCGCGGCATCACGTTTTTGACGAACGTAAACACCGAACCCACGTGTTTTTTTCGGGATCCGCACTGCGAAAGATGCCGTTTGAATCAAGGACCATACGTTGGACGCTCGTTTGGTTCGCTGCAGCGCTTTCTGCAGCTGCAGCTCCGTGCGTGTGTCCGGAGGAGTGCACCTGCGACCTGCGGGAAGGAAGCATAGACTGCTCCAACAGAGGTCTGCGGACCATTCCGGTCACCCTCAACTGTGCGTGGCCTAATGTCACCAAAATGCAAGTGCATAAATAGTATATACGACAAACCGGCTGCGGTAGAGCGCGCATGCGCATTTGTGACCAGCCCCACCCACCTTTTACTCTGCAGAAATTTGAAGCAGAACCAGATCACTCACGTGCCTGGCTATGCCTTCTCTCAGGTTACTCAGTTGGAAAGACTGTAAGTCAATCAAAATCCTAATAACAAATGTCAGATGTACTGTGTTTCGGATTCCTAGGTATCTCTATGACAACCTTATCGAGTCGATCGACCAGAACGCTTTCCACAGTCTCATCCAACTTCGATACCTGTGAGTTTGGAGCAAGCGAAATTTTGCAAACACACCCGTCTTTAGGTAGGTTTCAAGTCCATTAGGCACAATTTTGTTTGTTTGTCAGATATCTGGATGAGAATAGACTGAGAAGTCTACCAGATGAGGTCTTTTATCCCGTCAGAAATCTCTACAGCCTGTGAGAATACACGCAATATCTACACACTCTCTGTATTATCGATGAGTTCAACTGGACACAACATGATAATATAGACTCTCTATTAAAATGGGCATCATCTGTTCAAATAGATGATCTTTTTACTCCTCAGATTGCTGTACTCGAACCAGATATCACATCTTCCTGTCAATGTCTTTTCTACTCTCGGGAATCTTTTCCGATTGTAAGCATTACAAGCAAGACCTTATTTGTGCACGGACTCAATAAGTGATCCAGCCGAAAAATTAATCCATGCACTTCTTGCTTGCGAACCTCACAGGTCTTGGCAAATCTATCAACAATCCTAGGAGTTATAATATTATGCTGGAGGTGCATAGGCTGGCTCTTTACGGCCTTCCCTGTAAAAAAATCCAAAGAGAATGCAGTAATGCACTCTTTATCCTCTCCTAGCTATAATATATAGCTTCTCTTGGAAGTTGAAAGAGATTGTGAATGAACGGCCATTTGTTCTCATACTGCAGAGCTCTGCACGACAATGCCCTCACAATTTTGGATGCAAGGTCTTTCCATGGACTAATCAACCTAGAAGAACTGTTAGTGAGTTACACACTGACTTTGTTTTAAAAAAACTATTGCAAGTTGGTATATAGCAACCAGAGAGAGGATTGTGGATTGCTTGTCCCTTGTATAAATGGTGGACACTGCCCCAAAAATTCACAGGTGCTCTTAAACTTTCTTCCTCGAAAGTCTCCCACTATATATAGAGTATAATGTGTGTGATAGCTATATACAAGCATCATTGTTGGTGATTATATTGCAGGTACTTGTCTCATAACCAGATTCTCGGTCTGAGCAACTCGCCTTTCACGTTTCTGGCCGATCTCAAGCAACTGTGAGTATAAATACAACACCCGGGATATATATATATAATCAGTGTACAGAGCAATATACTGTGTATGATAGAGTGTATGTGAGTACTGGCTATCAAACAGAAAGAGAAAGCAAGAGCTGAGGAGAAAGAGGACTTAAAAGGAGGAAACATGTAGGTGGTGGCACAAGCTTTTCTAAACACATACATCCAGTTTCAAGTCACATAGTCATACTTGGGAAATCGCGAACAGTCTTAACACTTTCATGGGAATGTTTTCTAGGAGTCGGTGGTATAGAAAGACGAGAGACATTTTCAATGTTTGATGGCAAACAATATCTCCGGTTTTCAATCCGGACACCAATGAGACTGTTCAGGTGTCTTGACCTCTCAGTGCTGTGCTTTGGGAAAGAAGAAGTGTCCTTCATTAGACTGGTGTCCTCTTTAAGTTGGAGAAGGGGTTTGCCATGAAGCCGTGTAGGGAATCATATTAAGCTTCCCCAGTTTGTGCATAATTACCTATTACCACTTCACTCTGCTCTTGAATCACACCTACGTAGCCTGGTGCGTTTCTGCACACTGCTTTATAACCCCAGATCCTAAACCAGCTTCATACACATGACAATTGAATGTTCTCACATCAAGTGTAAATAACATCAACACAAGTAGCTTTCAGCCACATATATGGGCATTTAGAGGCTAAAGGTTTTATGTCAGCATTCAATAGACAAGCTAGCAACTATATATGTACTTTTATGCACTGTTGGATATTGATCGTTGAAAAGCTGCTTTGCAGAAGTTTATCCATGTTCGGACAGAGCGATGTACATTAGCCTATTGAGGGAGAATGCCATATAAGGGAATGCTTCTCGACATAAAGATGTAGTTGGCAGGTGTACGTCGCTTATGGGTGTTTACCTGCACTATGAGCGGTGTTGTAATTTGGCAAGTATAGTGATGACATCATGATGTGTACTAATTTTAGTATCGAGGACTTGGCACTTACGTACTTGGCAGAGCCGTAGTTTTAATGCCCAAATATGGAAATCTCTGTCACATCGGTTTGTATACGTAATATCACGGAGTGGAAGACGTTTGAGAGAGAAATATGTAGGAGAAAAGAATTTCACAGCAAAATATTTCTAACAACTGCACAAAATGGATAATACGTAGCTCGAACCTTCATATTTTCTCGCTCGAAAGTTTCGTTGAGTGTTTGATTGTATATGTTAGGCGTTGAAAGTAATTTCATAAGTGCAGAAGCCATTTTGTGAATAAAGTCTCCCAAACTTGTATGTGGTTAGTTGTAAGGTTTCCCTTTCATCTTGTAGGTTTCTGAATGATAACAACCTGACGCGGTTGACACGATTTGATTTCATCGGAGCCAATCGTCTGACACTGCTGTGAGTCAATCAGTCTTCATGTGTTCAGTATGGGACAAAACTACGTAACTAGTCAACAGCACTCAGCCTGTAGCTCTGTACATAACACCACTACATTATAGTCACACAGCGAGTCTTTATTTGTACATACGTACCTCCAATTGAACCCTCTTTAACACTTTGCCCCACCCTCCCATAAATAAGGACACCTCTCTAAATTATAAGGACGGCTTTTCTTGATTCACACTTCACTAATGCGGACACTTCTTCTGTGTCAATGGACGAGATGCCATACTTTGGTATGGGCATGCAACTGTTAATTTGCGGGATAATGTTGCTCAAATTTTAGTGGGCGCCAAGTGCAATTTTGTCCAAAAAATTTGTGGGGGCCATAATTGTCAAGTGTGGTGGTCCTCAAAATTATAGTGGCGTCATTGTACTGAATTATACTTGAATTTCTGTCTCAAGTACATGTGTACATAGGGACATGATAGGGGCGCTAGATAGTTGACCAAGGGTAAGGGTAAACCATGTCTTGGGTAGTAATCCCACACCCCCTACACAACACGGAACAAAACAGCCCTTGTGTAGTGCCAGTAACAGATAATGTATATACACCGCATTCATAGCCAGCCACAACTCCTTATTAGGAGCAATGGGGCCTTCCTGCCACAAGTCTGCGCATTCCACTACATGGGCCACCAGCGTAACCTTATTTGGTCATCCCGGCTGGTGTCCTGTTGCCAAGGTGTTGTCAGACACTGACCAATGAGATTGCAGCTCTTGCATACCAGCGGTTGCCTATATAAACTAAAAGCCAGCAGTTCCTGCCACTCCACAGTCAGCCGTCAGTGCAGCAACAGTCGTTTTTCGAAGACAGACCGCATTTCTTTATCTTTCAACCCAATCCACTCTAAGACAGAGGAACGAGAATGTGTGACGACGATGTTGCAGCGTTGGTGGTCGACAACGGTTCCGGGATGTGCAAGGCCGGATTCGCCGGCGACGACGCACCCCGTGCCGTTTTCCCGTCCATCGTGGGGCGTCCCCGCCACCAGGGAGTGATGGTCGGGATGGGTCAGAAGGACTCGTACGTGGGAGACGAGGCCCAGAGCAAGAGAGGTATCCTCACTCTGAAGTACCCGATCGAGCACGGCATTGTCACCAACTGGGACGACATGGAGAAGGTGAGAGAGAACACTAGCTAGGTGGGTGTAAATTCTGCATGAAGTCCAAGGAAACGGCAAAAGAGAGCTCTTGAGCAAGAATGTGCCTAAAGGAATTGAATGAAAGTACCAAAATCTAAGCAAATTTGATTGTGTTAGCTTGCAATAGTGGCCATTTAGCTTGCGATAATATTTAGCTTGCGGTGACTTAGGCCTAAAGTCTGGTGAAGCCCAGCAGTGTTATTGCAGTGAACAATTCAACAACAGAATTAGCTGCGTTGCTAGGGAGGTGAACACTGGCTGTGGTTGCTGGGCAGCTGTATCCCAAGAGCTTCTCCTTAGCTGTTGCTAGGCAGCCTTGTCTGGGCTCCCAGGGCTCCTCAGAGCTGAGCCAAACCAAAATTTACTCACCGGAAGTTCTAATTTCCTGTTTACCTAACCACAATTTCCATCATTTCCTGCTAGTAACTCACTCCCTGCCCCTCCTCCCCCATGGCCCCTTCCTACCCTTTAGATCTGGCACCACACCTTCTACAACGAGCTGCGTGTGGCCCCCGAGGAGCACCCGGTTCTGCTGACCGAGGCCCCCCTCAACCCCAAGGCCAACAGGGAGAAGATGACGCAGATCATGTTCGAGACCTTCAACACCCCCGCCATGTACGTCGCCATCCAGGCCGTGCTCTCCCTGTACGCCTCCGGACGTACCACCGGTATCGTGTTCGACTCTGGCGACGGTGTTTCCCACACCGTGCCCATCTACGAGGGTTACGCTCTTCCCCACGCCATCCTTCGTCTGGACCTGGCCGGTCGCGACCTGACCGACTACCTGATGAAGATCCTCACCGAGCGCGGCTACTCGTTCACCACCACCGCCGAGCGCGAGATCGTCCGCGACATCAAGGAGAAGCTGTGCTACGTGGCGCTGGACTTCGAGCAGGAGATGCAGACCGCAGCCTCCAGCTCCAGCCTGGAGAAGAGCTACGAGCTCCCCGACGGACAGGTCATCACCATCGGGAACGAGCGGTTCAGGTGCCCCGAGGCCCTCTTCCAGCCCAGCTTCCTCGGAATGGAGTCGGCCGGCATCCACGAGACGTGTTACAACTCCATCATGAAGTGCGACGTTGACATCCGTAAGGACCTGTACGCCAACACGGTCCTCTCCGGAGGCTCCACCATGTTCCCCGGCGTCGCCGACAGAATGCAGAAGGAGATCACCGCCCTGGCTCCGCCCACCATGAAGATCAAGATCATCGCTCCTCCCGAGAGGAAGTACTCTGTATGGATCGGCGGCTCCATCCTGGCCTCCCTCTCCACCTTCCAGCAGATGTGGATCTCCAAGCAAGAGTACGACGAATCAGGCCCATCCATCGTCCACCGCAAGTGCTTCTAGACCCCCAAAAGCAAAAACTCTTTCGACTCCGAGTGTGCGTGTCTGTCGCGACTGTTGTTTCTTCATTCGTGGCATTCTGTGCACTCTGTGTTCATCCGTATTAGGAAGTCTAGCTGTGTTTAGCTTATTGTGTTTCGATTTCAATTTTTCCATGCGTACTATTTACAAATACAACTGGCTACGATTTTAGTTGTGTGTCCCAGTCATGATGTGTTATATACAACGTGGTCATTGATATTATGTCCTTAGGAGTATGCTAGCTGCTTTTTATGAAATTGTGTAAGTCATTTCATGAAAAAATTTCTTAGCCAAACACGTCACAAAAAAGCCAGCGTACACAATAAAGTGGGTTATGTCGGCGAGAAAAGGCAGTATGAGGCACTGTATGTATGCATTGAGGTTGTAGTGGAAGAACGCCAGCCAAGTAATTGAACACTGATTTCCTCATATGGTCAAATGGAGCTCAGCAGACGGAGCTTGTGAAGGAATGTGCAGTAAAGCCTCAGACCCACGCATCTGTTCGCATATGGCCCTCTGACCAATTAGCCTGTCTTATGTCGCCTGCCAATTGGCCCGTCGGCTTGGCAACCACGACTCGCCGTACTTGGACGTGCGTCGTCGTCTGCGGCGGCCACTGGTATTCTCTGCCACGAGATCATCTCGGGCAGCTGCTAGCTGACACACTTGGGTTGGCGTGGCGATGGCGGACCCCTATAATCAATATGGGGTGTGGCGAAAGTGTCTAAAACCTGTGGGGTCATTCTTAGAGGGAAAAGTGAGGGGGGTAGGCAGGAGTTTTCAAAAACGGAGTCGGAAATAAGGGTCAATACTGTCAATAATGTGTTGATGCTTTCAAACCCGACTATCAGAGGTCGAGTTCGAGGAAAAATACATTGCTGTATATTTCGAACCCCGTGCGATACCACGGGGGTCATGAGAAAAGAGCAGGGATCACAATAAGTGAACTGTGTGTCTTCTATGGTTATGTATATACAGGGATTTGAGTTCCAACAAGATATCGCTAATTGACGACGATACTTTTCTACTTCATGGAGACATCGAGATCCTGTGAGTTTGGGGAATTCAAAGAGGAGAGAGAGAAAGAGGAGAGAAAGGAGTGGAATTGATAACAAACAGAGGGTATAAAGTATTAGTCTGAAGTTTCCAAGTTTGAAAAAGTGGTTGATAGAATGGTCAACTAAACCATCAGTTGAGTTGGCAGTGATTGATACTTGTGTACTTGTTCAAATGCAGATTGTTGCAGAACAATTTGGTGTCTCGTGTCACAAGACTGACGTTTGCCGGTATCCTACAACTTCAGTTCATGTAAGGTAGCACTTTCCCACGCCTTCATGATAGCGATTAAAATGTGTGTGATCTGATGTTCTCATGTCTTCATTGTCTGCAGAAACCTTCAAAACAATCGCATCACTCACATATCTGACGGCTCCTTCTTCAGGAATCGCCAAATTCTAGAAATGTGAACTTTTTGCATCGTGTCCTGTAGTACAGATGCTATGTCTACCTCCACTCCCATTTCCTCCTCCCTCTTTCTCCTTCCCCTCTCCCATCCTCTCTACCTTCTGCCCCCTCTCTCTGCTCTTTCCCCTTCCCCTCTCCCACCCTCTCTACCTTCTGCCCCCTCTCTCTGCTCTTTCTCCTTCACCTCTCCCATCCTCTCTACCTTCTGCCCCCTCTCTCTGCTCTTTCTCCTTCCCCTCTCCCATCCTCTCTACCTTCTGCCCCCTCTCACTGCTCTTTCTCCTTCCCCTCTCCCATCCTCTCTCACTATATACCCACCCATTTCTCCTCTTCCCTCTCTCTTCCCCTCCCTTCCCCATGTCTCTCTCTCTAGCATTCTCTCAGAGAATCTGCTCGAGGTACTCAACCCCAACATGCTGGCTGGACTTCAATCTCTCCAGAGACTGTAAGACAAAACATATATACAGCGATTCAATTCTATACACCCAGAGTAACGTGTTTTTCAGGTTTGTGGCAAGAAATCGTTTGACATTCCTACAGAATAACCAGTTTCTTCACGCTCCTCTACTTCTTGTTGTGTGAGTTGCATACATTGGCGAACAGAGAATTGGCGAGTTTTCCAAAATGAAACTTTGATCCATCAATCTTCAGTTACGTTGATCAAAAGAAGAATTACGTGGTGGATTATCGATATTGATACCACCATTCACAACCATTTATCAGTTTCACTAAGCATCAGAATCGTAGTTAGCTGTCTTCCTCTACAGGGATTTCAGTAGGAACAACATTTCTTGTATTGAGACCGACACGTTCAATGGGGCTCCTTTTATGGTCTACATGTAAGCAACCGTTGCTATGGTGATATCACCCTCACGGCTGTTCAATATTACTTTCCAGTAATTTGGGACAGAATGAATTGTCGTATCTACCAGAAAACGTGTTTCAATACACGCCTAACCTGTATTACCTGTAAGTCAGCTACTTTTTCACGGGTGCTCCATGTGCATTGAATGGCCCTCTCCAAATACAGGTTGCTCAATGGAAACAATTTGGAAACAATTGGCGTTCGAGTATTCAGAGACCTTCAGAGGCTCATTCAACTGTAATTGTTTCCTCTTTAACCCTTTGTAAACAAGGATATTAAGTTAACCCTTTTGATGCTCTGTGTCTGTAGGTCCCTCTATGAGAATGCCATCTTTTCTATGGTAGAGGGGGCACTATATGGAACCACTTCTCTCTTCTATCTGTGAGTGTCAGCCCGTTAAAAATCCACATAAATACCATCCAGCTTGCAAATGTGAATTTTAACGAAAAATATCTCAAGCATAGGTGAGCTACTGCAAATGTGTAATATCAGTGAAGTTGGCGTAAAATGAACTTCTTAATGGTATACGTGGCAAAATTGCTTTCTCTGATCGTCTTCGTTAAGACCCATTTCCGTTGCCCCCTTTTCATCTTCTTCCCTCTCTCCTCTCTCTCTCTCTCGGTCAAGACAATGGAACTTTGACCCATCCGACATTTCATCGGGGAACAGTCTGATCTGCGACTGTTCGGCTCTCTGGCTCCATCGCTACATTCAGGAGAAAGGAAGACGTATTGAGACAACGGTCTACTGCGCCGGACCGCCTGACCTGAATGGAACGGACATTACAGCTCTCTCTGAAGAACACTTTGGATGTGGTCAGTATCACAATGATGTCATACTTTGTATCGAGTTAGAACGTTCTGGAAGGTTCTGGAAGTTTCTGGAAGTTTCTGGAAGTTTCTGGAAGTTTCACGTTTTGTGAATAATATAAAGTTTGGCAAGAAGTGTTTCACGGGTTATATACATACAGACTGAAACTGAAGCAGTTGGAAGAACTGTATTTCTGATGCTTCACAGAAGCAAATTTTTAATTTGTTTTCGCGGCAATTTTCCACTTTTCTGCAAAACGGCAATTGTCTGATTCCAATGCAGATGACTTGTCGGAGGACTCGCTCCAGATGCGAGTGGAACCGTCATGTGACAGTCTTGTGGTCAGGAGAGGAGGGTGCCTGAGAGTCACGTGCACTTCGACCCCCAGCGGCCGCACCTCCTGGACGAGACTCGGGAGGAGCTCGACAGCGTACGTATGTCAGCATCTGCCCTTTTATGGTGGTGCTTCTCTTACTCATATACCTTTCTCCGTTCTGATCTAAAACGAGTAAACGTACGCATCATTGATGAGCAAACACGAGTGCAAAATATAGATTACTATGTTATGTGGTGTTGCCGTAAAAACTACCAATTTGACGATTTCGTGGCTACAGTGTTTCGTTCACTACGCCGCCTTTTCTCTATCTTTGCCCTCTATCTTGCATTGTGACGTGTGCTCTATAGTATCCCTCTGTGCCCCAGAGTGGCAGCTCACACCTGTCGCAGCTACTCTTCGTGCGTTGCTCAGAGTGGGGAGAGCGAGCTGGTCATCGGCGATGCCTCAGACCAAGACGTCGGTAACTACATCTGCACTGCCACTCTCAAGAACGTCACTACAGCAGTCACCTGCCACGTATCTCTTGGAGGTACGTAAAACACCATACAGTGGGAAACAATTGAGGGAGAAAAACAGCTAAATTTTTTTTCCAGTCCATCAAAGTTTTATCTGTGGACGGGAATGCTTAAAAATTTTATCCCTGGCAACAATTTTGTGGTGAAAACCTTCGTGGATGACCACCAAACCGCAAAATTTGTGCATTTTCTCCTTCAGAAGTTTCCCGTTGTGGTGCTGACTTTTCCCCATTATGCAAATATTTTCCCTTCAATAACCCAATAATGACAGAGCCACCATCGGTGGATCTGGGACCCAGAGACCAGTACCTGGGCTGGCCTGGGGACACTGCTTACTTCCGTGTCCGGGTCTCAGGTCAGCCACACCCCTCTGTGGAATGGCATCACGAGTCACCACACGGTACACGGAGCCGATAAAGGAGGACAAACGGTACGAAAATTGTTGATCATGTGAGGTTCACACTGCCTCTGTTAATCACAAGAGTTGTTGATCATGTGAGGGTCACATGACCACTCATGTGAGAGTCACATGACCTGCTGTTTTCTGACTGTTTTCAGTCACATGATATCGTACTTTGGGAGTTTGGTAATTCTCGACACGACGCTGGAAGATGGCGGAGAGTATCGTGCAGTCGTTAGCAACGGAGCTGGCTCTGTCACCGTGGCTGCATTCCTGGAATTCTTCTTCCGTTAGTGAGAAATTATTGTTACACCGATATTGTATTTTGATGGGTACGTAATTGCACAATTTAACGCAATATTACATTCTACGAGTACCGTAAAATGTAAAATCTTGGTGTGCATGTGACATGCATGTGACAGTGTGGCATATAGAATGGACACTGAGGCAATGCAACATACTGTAAACCACCACCACTATATACACCTATTGGTTCTCCCAACATGCAGCCACGCCATGCAGACAGTATTGTCAGAATGGAGGAACTTGCTACCAGGCTCACTACTGCTACTGTCAATCTGGGTTCTTTGGCAGATACTGTGAATCGGGCGAAGGTATAATTATACAGTAAATGAGACCCAAACACCAATGCAAGACCACACCGTGAGTGGGGAATAAAATATTTGATCACCGTGTAATTCAACCCCGTTGAGGTGTAAAACATCCATGGAAATAACTCCCTCCCTTATTCCTCTCCCCCCTCTCCTTTCTCTCTCCGTCCTACCACCCTCCCCTTCTCTGTTCACCCCTCTCTCTCCTCCCTTCCTTCCTCCCTCTCTCTCCTCCCTTCCTTCCTCCCTCTCTCTTCTCCCTCTCTTTCAGACTATCTCCCACCAGTTTCCCCACCAAACAGTGGTTCAGGCTCAGGAGGCTATTCGGGATATTATGACGACAATGAATCGGGCGATGATCAATATTCTGATACGGAGTCTGGAGATTCTGAATATGGGTCAGGATACTCTGTTGACAACTCAGTAAACTCGGAGGGATGACTTCGTAAACTATGAGGAAGATTCTGAGGGTGAGTCAGTAAATTCTGAGGGTGACTCAGTAATCTCAAGTGGAAGTGGAGAACCGCCAATACTTAGCCCAAGTTATGGAGATGATAATGAAACAAACTTTAACACAGAAAATGGTAAGTGTGGACACTCCATAGCTGTACATATACTGATAGTGAAAGCATACATTCATTACACATGCTACAGGTGAAACCGACCGAAAAAGAAGACAAAGCAACGATGTCGCTGCTGCGGAGAAGTCGTTTCCATGGATATTGGCGGGAGAGCGTCGCCAGCTGACGCAGAAGCCAGAAAGACGGTGGCACAATGGGCACCAACAGTTGACTGTCAACGGACAGCTTGAAATGAACGAAGCTGCAGAGAGTCCTGAGAAAGTGAAAACCAGACTTGGTAAAGAATTGAAGATGAAGGCGACTTATGATGAGAATGGATTTGGAGAAAGAAGAGACTTTGACGAACCCACAGAAGGCTTGAACAGGAAGGCAAAGAATGGCAGGAAGATGAAGAGGTTGAGAATCGAGGCTGAATTAACGGACAAAGGCAATAGAAGAGTTCATTGCAGAGGAAGACGCCAGGGAATTGGAAGATGCTCTTTTTCCTGACACTGGGCTTGTGGAGGGAGGAGAGGGAGGAGAGGGAGGAGAGGGAGGGGAGAGAGGAGAGGGAGGAGAGAGAGGGGAGGGAGGAGAGGGAGGAGAAGGAGGGATGAAAAATTGGGAAGAGAGGTGGAAGAAGCAAACTGGATGGTGGGAAGACGTTGAGAGTGAAGACTTCGCCAGAGACATTTCCGAAACAGGAGAACTCTATCCAGAGTCAGAATGGAATGAAGACCAGAGAAATATGTTTCTAGAACTGGGACTGGCCGTAGAATGGAATGGGGACCATCACCCAGTGGAACGGAATGGAGATAGAGAGCATGACACCAGGGACGGAGACTCTGTCCCTGTGTTTATGGGGCTGAGACTGTTACCAGCTGACGACCGCATCCAGTCAAAGAAAAGTCAGGAACCCGACATTCACAAAGACTAGATTGCTGTTTACATAGAGCTGTGGCTGTTATAATTTTGCAAGGAAAGCCATCGTCTACAGTGCGCGATTTAAAAAAAAGTTTTTAATCAAAATTAATGTCAACTGTCACATTGCCCATACAGTTTAATGCTAACCATAAGTATCGATCGGACACCTGCAAAATGTCATTCATAGTTAACTACACCAGCCAGGCGTCCTTTAAAGAGTTGTCCCCTTTATGTCTGTAGGTTTCATCGTATATACACTGCTCTATATGGACTGATCCCTGATCACACTCGCTTTGTCAAACAAAGTTCTCTAGTTTATAAGGACAAAAACAATTGTGAAAATTTATAGAAAATAGCTCTGTGTACATAGTTATTATAATACAGCCTATGATGAGTGGAAGATTGTCAGAAATTGAAACTACACAAATTAGCGAACCCGGTGCAAACAAACAGACGATACAACAAACGCTCAAAGTGGGACCAACCAACGAACGTAGTACGTGGTGCTAGGGCAGCGTTCTACTACGTATGGAGCCGTCCGCTCCGCTGGAGAACAAAATGCCTCCTGGTTTCACGCAGAGGTCGGTGACCCCTCCGTCGTGGCGGAAGAGACGAGATTTCGCGTGTTGGTTGACGTAGACTGCCAGTTCGTCCATTGACGTCAGGTCCAGGACCTAGGGAAGGGGGTGGTGGGGAGAGGAAGGAGAGAGAGAGAGGTGGGTTGGAGCAAAGCCTGGTTCATCTCAGTTACCTACACAAATATGTGAGTTCTTTCTAGCATGCAGGGATCTTGAAAACGAATGCAGTTTTAAGATCATGCTTTGTGCTCACTTGCAAAAAATGCCACACCAGATATTTGTTAACAATGTTGTATTAATTGGTATTAATTCCGTATTAAATTATTTGGTAGCAATACCGTATTAGACTGGTAGTTCTACAAACACAAATGCAAGACACTTTATTTGACGAGACAGGCGCGAACCTTAATTTCCCCCTCGCTGGAGCCAGTCACCAGGTACCCCTCCAGGTCACTCACCGCCATACACGTGATGGCAGCCGTGTGGACAGGGAGACACTGGATGAGGGCGTTCTGCCGGACGTCGAAGATGCACACGTCGCCTCTCTTGCCACCACTGAACATCCGCTGTTTGAGCTGGGAGTAAGCCAGCACAGCGGTTCCTCCCGCCTCGTGACATACGTATTCTGACGGAGTGATATTAGTGAATTCACTCACAGCGTTGAGGATTACAGTACCTTTTACGATGTTCCTTTTGTTTGGAAGAAGAGTGTCCCATATGATTACGTTCCTGTGAGTGTTGTATAATTATATCATTTTGAAAAATATATCACGTTTGAGTTATGCGTAATTTCAGGTTCAACTGACTTGTTGTCGTGGGAATCGCCGCCGGCAACGATGAGACTGGAGGAGCCGAGGAACAGGAAGTCACTGAGTTGTCTCATTCCCGAGTCCAGAACCTGCACCGGACACAGACACACACACCACGGATAATGTCTTCAGTGTTACTCTTCCTCTTTAGCGTCACCCACAGCAGGATATATATATTTTTTGTTCTATTTTTCTGTGTGCGTGCCTATCTTGATAAGTAGTTTCGAATGTACACTACTGCGTTTGAAAGTTAAAATTTTTTTTCTCGTATCATGACGACCGCATGTGGTCTTCACATCCCGCTCTATCTCTCCCTCTCTTTTCTTCTATCTTTCACCTTGTATGGTGTCTTGGTGGAGGTGTGGATGCCTTGCCAGAGATGCAACTTCCCCGAGGTGTCTGCCACTCCGTACTTGTTCCCCTGAGGGGTGAACCGTATCTCCGTGATGCTGGGCGTCCCCGGCGACCGTTGCTGGGAGACCACCCTCTGGGTTCCAAATTCCCACATCCGCACGGAGCCGTCAATCGACCCAGTGAGATCTGAGGAAGAGATAATAATACACCACAGTTGCGCAATTACACGTGCCACTCCGTGTTTTAGTAGAAATATTATGTACATACGTATGTAGTTCAACACTATGAATATCTGTATCTTAGAATTCACAGTGGGACACATTTTCTTTAAAAAAAGTGTTTTGTTGTCCTAATAGAGTCCCAACAAAAATCGACTACTCTACTACATAAGGATAGAGTATAATAGGAAGGTGTGCTTACAATAGGCCATCGATGGATGAGGAACTATCTTTTTCACACCAATCACATTTCGTCTCAGCAGCTGCATGTAAAGGCGGACAAAACACTGTCAAAGTCACATGACGATCATGTGAGTGTCACATGACTCACAATGCTGGAGTGTGTCCCGGTCTGGCTGTGGAGTCCACCGGACGACGAGTATCTCTTCAACGCCGTGTTGGCCTCTGTCGATGAGGTGGGGTAGGGGGCAGGTTGGACCAGGATGAAGTCACCTGCTCCTGTGAAGGCCACACTGTGACTGGGATGGAGGTGCGGAGGGGAACAAGAGAGAGCGAGAGAGGGAAAGAAAGGGTTTAAGAGAGAGAAGAGGAAAAAGGAAGTGAAGAGGCCAATGGAGGAGAGAAGGGGAAAGTGTGACAATTATAAACAGTACTAAAGCCATAATGTTTGCTACCTTCTCTTAGGTACGGTACCCGGTCCCACGGACATAGTATCGCTCATTTCGTCTCCATACGGAACGGAATCGAGACCGGCAACGTCTGGAATCTCGATCTCGATGATCTCGCGGGGAAGAGCCACGGCCATTATGGTGGGGTTCCACTGAGCTGCCTGGTGTGGGGAGGGGGAGAAATAATTTTGATCCTACACGCAGAATGGCGAAAAATTTATTCTGAACAAAATTTTCCTGCTATATTATACAGTATATACGTAGCACCTCTTCTAATGGCCGCTCTATCTTGTTCAACGCCTCATATTTTCAAAGTCCCATTGCGGCATCCCATATTTAGAAGCTCCACGGTACACTAGTGGCTTACTGGATGAATGCAGAAGGACCATATGACACTGTCAGGAGCCTTGAACAAGCTCCGGGAGCTCGGCCCGACGTGGGCACCACTCTCCCCGGTCCCTCCTTTACTGGAAAATATGTGGTGGATGAAGATCTCCCGGCACTCCTCCCTGTGAACCAGAAACTCCCACAGCTGCCTCGCCTCCTTGGCAGCCGCCCGCTGGCCGAGAAACGGAGAATTTTCCGGCTCCAGGATGAACTTGTGTCGCATGACCGCCGGGCCGACGCCCACAAACAAGGCCCCCGTGTCCTCATCGTCTCTCGTGAAGAGCTCCTCCGGCAGCATCTCGAGGGCATCGAGTCGACGGGCAAAGATCGATTCCCACTCGTCTAGAACTTTGAGAGTTGAATAGAGCAGGGGCGAGGCCGTGACCAGCTCTGTGTGTGAAGGGGCGAAAATGTTACTTACAAATTTTTGAACCTGTGCTATAAAGAGAAATTTAGGAGAGAAAAATTTTTTGTTTTCAGGATCCTGGTATATACCTAAATTTCAGAGAGTAAAAACTTTCGCAGATGACCAAAATTTAGAAAGTTTTCCCCTCAAAATTTGGTAGGTGAAGGTGTACGTACGTACGTACCAAGGACCTCCAAACCAGCCGTGGTGAGGATCTTTCGCACGCCCTCCTGAACCAGCTTGGTGATACACAGGTTCATGAGGCACCACGGAAAAGAGTCGGGATTCTTTGGGTCTCTTATATCGTCCTCCTTCGGTGGAAAAAAAATTGGGAAATTGCTTCTTAAAAAAGGCAATGTACACACAGATTGAGCGAAAAAGAACAGAATAAGCAGTATGAAAAAGAAAAAGAAAGTAGGAGAAAAAGAAAAAAGTACGAAAAAGAAAAGAAAAACGTTTTACCTTTGAGACTGAGCCAAGGCGGAAGGAGGGGCCTTCTTCCATGTAGGGATCTCCCATAAAATACTCCTCCTCCTCCTCCTCCTCCTCGTCCTCCTTGAACTCAGGGGCGATTGTCGATGCATTGGACAATGTCCTGTGAGTGGTGAATGTAATGGCCTGATTTGACTCACTCCTGTCGTCAGTCTGCAGTAAAAACAAAAAGAGAAACATCTTTACCAAAGTGCAGAGAGAAGTAGTGCAGCTGATAACTTTTGGAGATATAATACAGCGTGTGAGTTGAAAGCTATGAAACCTAAAAGCTGGACAACATTGAAGTTCCACTCACAGGACTGTCCAAGAATAGCTGTAACAGAGTCCTCTTAGGAGCCACAAAGAGACCGTGTCCAGCTGCCTCTCCCGACTTTAACACCACCTTCTGCAGCATCTTCTTCATCGTGTCAACTTTCTTCATGAACACACTTCTCTCTCCCCCTACGCCTCCCTTCTGCTGTTTCTCCTCGCTCCTCTTCACGTCGACTCCGCCGCCAAACGCCAGATACCAGAACTCCTGCGACGGGCAGTTCTTCAACAGGAGGAGTAGATCGCCAATGGAGTGCCTCGACCACGCCACAGACAGGAGACCTACGTACATCGCAATGCAGCACTCGGCCAGTATGAGACTCATTGGAGTTGGGTCTTTCCCCTCATCCGATTGAAGAGCTTTCGGCCATCTCGAAACCCCAGGCCACTTTGAGGCCTTGGTGTTGGGGGTGGTGGGAAGCTCGAACGCTTCACTCGAGGCAAACGAAGAACTTCTACCAGATTTATGGTCGGGTGGAGACAGGAGGAAATCGGACGCGATCTCAGTTATGTTAATCGGAGTGAGGCAGACTGTGATCGAGTTCGATATCGCGCAGCACAGCTCGAAGACCTTCGAGACGTGGGGTAGGGGTGTGCTGGATATCGGAGGACAGGTGTGATTGGCCAACACCTCGATGACGGAGGCCGACATGAGTCGCAAGTGAAGCGCTAGGTTTGTGAGGTGTTTCGCCGGGAGAGAACAGGAGGTGAGGATGGGGAGTTGGGAGGGGTCCACGGCGCAGGTTGGGAAATTGCCGCCCAGCGGTGGGGCCACGAGAGAAGTTGATCCCGTCTCCCCATCGACGTTGGTTTCGGTCCTCGTGAGTTGCGTACTCCACGGAAGAAGTGTGTTCATGAGATGCATCAGCTCCAGTTTGATAGTGATGAGACTCGGAGTGGTCCCCGCATGCAGAGAGGTGTAGTTCATCAATGTCGTCAGCAGGTCGTAGCCAGCAGGGACGTAGTCTTCAGAGGATTCCTCCAAATCGTCACGACCGCTATCGAACCCGCAGATCTCTTTCACGATCCCCATTTCTCGTCTCAGCCAGACCACCAGCATCCCTCGAAGCTTCAAAACGGTCTTCTCGAATGCGTTTTCCCTGCAGTGGGACGCCAGTTGCTTCTCCTCTTGGCTCTTTGCGAGGGGCAGTAGCGGCAAGGCCGCCCTCCCTCCTTTCTCCCACAGGAAATCGCAACACGGGGGAAGGTGAATGGTGATCAGTTCTTCGGTGAGGATACTGAGACAGGCATTGTATTGCAGCTGTTCGGCCAGACTCAGAACAAAGAGCCCCTGGGAAGAAAGGGTAGTGAGCGTTGGATACGAGGAGATCCCATCACTTTCTTCGCTGCCCTCCAGAACAGCAGATTCAGATGGGGGAGAGAAGGCTCCTTGTCCGTCGAAGTGTGGCGGAGAGAGAGAGGGGCTTCTCTTTGATTCAAACTGAGAGGAGACTGGCTGGCTCCAGTCAATGTCGTCACCACCTTCTCCCTCGTTCTGGGGGCCTGTCAGCATGTGGGCCGTGATGGGTTTTGACCAGTCGATTTCACCATCTTCTTCATTTCCTGTTCTTCCAATCGGCGCTGCTGGTTGCGACCAGTCCATGTCGTCAATAGTCTCGTTTCTCAGGGTGACCGGTTTGGACCAATCCTCCTCCTCCTCCTCTTCCTCCTCTTCGGCCACACTGTCTGTGCGGATACCTTTTGACTTGGGGGCATAATCAAACTCTCGCAGTGTTCCACTTTGAATCATACCTGTCAGAGAGGCTGTGGGGTCTATCTTCTTCCTCTTCTTCCCCATCTTCGCCTCTTCTGCCCGGAGCCCGCCCTTGGTAGGATCACTTCGGCTCCGTTCGTCTTGATTCAAATCTGCGCCGAGACTCGACGATTTTGGAAGTTTTGCCAGAACGTCGAGTGCTAGTAAGGGGCACCCGTGGTTCAAGTGGTGGTAGGCAGTACCGAAGAGAAGGTTGCGTTCCAAAGCTGTGAGTGGCTCGTCCCCCACGCTGCTGATGGGTTGACTCCGGGAAGAGTAGCGATCGTGGTGAACGGACATCGAAGGAAGCAAGGAATGGGATTTCTTCCTCAGCGAGCGATAGTCGTGTTGATTGCGTCGGATGAGGAGAGGCTGCGAGCGAAGAAAGAAGTAGAAATTGAAGATTGCCGGGTCAAGTGGTTTAAAAGGGCCCTCTGTGTCTCCATCTGTCGCATACTCCGACCGAAGCAGGGTTTCCAGCGCGGCGGAGTAATCCTGGAGTAACCAACAGGCAATACTCCGTAGAAAAGGATCGGAATTTGGCCTAGCCACGTATCCCTGCTTTCGCTCTCTATCCATCCTCCCACCGGTCGGTGCGGCTGCGTCACTAATACCGAGAATGGTTTTCTTTAGGATCTTTTCGTACACGGGGCCACCGTCTCCTTCGTAGAGTCGCGTTATGACGAGTGCCAGCTGCAAGTCGCCCATTCGACTGATGCACACCTCGCAGGCGTCCCAGACCTTTCCGCCGAGGAGAAAGAATGCTGCCGCATGTTCGAACCGCTGTTTGCTTAGCAGCGCGAACGCGTTCTTGAGGGCTGCCCTTTTCCATCGCTCTGTCGTGAAATCCTCAGCAAAAAATTTAGTCATCCGTGAATCACCCACAGTCCTAATAAGAGAAAAAAAGAATAGGTGAAGTTTCACACGAGTTTAAACGAATCGTGACATTGAAAGCGAAAGGGGGCTACCTGAAAAGGCCTTTCAGGAGTGATTTCTTCTTCATTGCTAGGTAGAGGAGACTTGAGTCGAGTGGGTCTTGCTTTGCCATGAACTGCGTCTTAGCAAGCTGCAGGAAAAAAGAGAAGCATACAGCGCATTACCCATGTGGAACATTGGTGAACTTGAGAGTTTGGCTAACATTGTGGAGCATACATTACCCAAGTGTTTTATAGCTTGACACACGAGAGTGGAAAATTATCTCACGGAAGGTTTGAACATTGTACGTACCCTCTCCATTAGTCTCCTGAGGGTGTCGAGACTCCTCAACCACCAACCGACTCCAGCATTACGGAGCTCGGACCACCTCAGATCGTCTCTCTGAACGCAGGGTAGCGCAGCGAGCAGCTCCATCTCTGCGTCGGAGTGAAATGCCCAGATGAAATCTGCGGGGGAGAGCCGGCCTGGGCGAACGCCGGACGGGAGTGATTCGGAGAGCGAGAGGTAGTTTTTCAGTGCCAAGAGGTAGCGGATTCCGCAATCGTCCATTGCTTCTCCTCCCCCAACTCCCTGAGCGAGGGAGGTCGAAGCGTACCCTGCACCCGCAGTGAACCCAAGGACAGGGGCCACAGGGTCGCTCATTGATGTAGGAGCACTCCCGCCGGCTACCGATGATGCCAGTTGGCGATCGAAGGCCATTCTGGTGTTGGCGACTGTCTCTGCAATCGCCATGAGCCTCACTTGCTCGAGATCACTAAGATCAGCCAGCTGAGCACACTGCAGAATCCTAGTAAGCTTGGCCGACATTTCGGGAGTCAAGTCACTTGTCGCCGGGTTGATATCAGAGAAATCCAACTCCTTCTCGCCATCCTCATTGAAACTGAAACTGAAATCCTCTTCTTTGGGTGTTGCTGTGAGGGTGAACAAATCATCTTCGTCCAGCCCTTCAGTAGATTCCTCGACCCCTCTCTCTGTCAGGTCCCGACGCGTCGATTCCTGTTCCCCGGTGCTAGCAGAACTGGTACCAAATATTCCGAGCTTGGAAAGCGAGAGACTGGGGATCGTCTCGACTTCGATCTTGGAACCGAGATGGTGGCTCCGTCGCAGCTGACCGTCCGACGAAACTGAGAGCATTCTCTTGCGCTTAGAACTGCCGCCGTTGTCGTGATCTTTGCTGCCGTAAGCGAAACTCGACTCTCCCTCGTCTTCACTCGACGTTTGACGGCTCTCGTAGAGAAGGAGATACTTGACAAGATTCACGAGGATAGCCCGGACGGCGTGCAACTTTCCCGAGTTCATCAACTCCAGCAAGATTTTCGGGTGGTACTGCGGCAGCGGAGTGTTCCTCGCGTGCGCGAAATCGAGAAGATTGATGATGTCCGAATCGGACAGCTTCCCCGAGCCCTCCAGGTTCTCCCTCTGTCGGAAGACGCGACTCGGGGTTTTGGAGACGGCTCTTTTCCCCGTCTGCGATGGAGTGAAGGCTTCGAGCTTGCTCCCGCGAACCATGCAGGAGTAGATGTGTATTTCGGTCCCGATGCTGATCAGGAGGCTGTTGCTGCCGGTGTAGGCAAACTGAGAAATGGAGAGACCTGGGTAGCGTTTTGCACACGGGAACTGCAGCAGACAGACCCACGATACCTTTGAGCTGTCCGTGACGAGCAGGTTTGCGGAACCTTTCTTGGACAGAAACACGTTTGGCCGGTTGGCGACCAGTTTGGTGAAATCTCCCTCGACTTGTGGTAGCGCCATTCCGAAAATGGATATGATTGACTCGAAACAGGTTGCCAGAAGGTATGCTCCATTCTCCATTGGGAGCCACTCGAGATGGACAGTGTCCACCTGCGCTCGAGCCTTTTGGGTCCCGAGAGATTCCTCCAACACCACTGAGTAGAAGTGTCTCCTCACACAGCCACTTCAACCCTCCAGTCGACTCGCACTCCCAAATTGTCACCGCCGAGTACCGCCCGAGGGGATTAACCGACGGTCGCCGTGGAGATTGGGGGGAATTGGGGGCGTGGGTGAGGAGGTGAGCGAGAGCCAGGCGACCAGCGTAGGCATTGGCGATGGTACATGGGATCTCTGAATCCTTCGGGAGTTCACTAAGAGCAGGGCTTTCTCTCAGATCTAGTCCTTGGCCTCCTCTGTGGGTGAAATCATCTCCAGTTGAAGAAACGGGCGATCCAACGTAAACTTCATTCAGCTCAAACTCCAAATAATCGAGAGCTCTCGTTTTCGTCTCCAGACCAGTTTCGAGACTGTTGGTGGGGTTGGCGACATTCCTGGCTGCCATGGTGATGCTATCAACGACACTCCTGGCCGTAAGTTGCCAGCAACGAAGCGTCGCGTCGGAGCAAGCGGTGGTGAAGAGAAATGGAGCGGACAGTGTTGGAAGCTGGAGCTGAAGCGAGCTGGAGATATCACAAGCTGGCGAAGAATGCTCCACATGGACTTTATGGGGGAGGGGAAAGGCGCAACATAAGACCTTCTCTACCTGAGCTTTGTAAGCCAAATCTCCGACCCCAACGGAAAATTGTCTGTCGATCGTGTCTGGATTTGACAATCCTCTTGTTCTCAGCGATTCAGAAGCAGGTCTGTGTGTGGAAATGATAACTCTCCAAACGTGGAGGTAGCTTTGTTTGATGGTAGCCGAGGCTTTGGAGCTATTTGTAGGCTTTGGTGTCAGGCTCTGAGACGAACGGTTCTCGATCAGTGCTATGACCACGTCTTTGCTGAACCTCGCGTTGAGTGATTTCTTGATGTCGTGAGACGTCACCAGCGAGCACAGCCGAAAAGCTTGCAGCGAAACGATGTCCTCGAATTGTGAAATGTCACGTTCGATAACACTCATACTGCGGATGCCATCCTTCCCGAAATGAGAAGTGATTAGAATGTCGGGCTGTGAGGCATCGAACGATGAATTCAGCTCCCCTTTTTCGAGAGACTTGCAGGTGCAGTACAGCGACGTTTGGAAGAGTCTCAATTCTTTGCCGACATTTGCGACCAAGAGCCCGGACGAAGGTGACCTAGCTAAGATCCCCTCCTTGGCAGAGCTGCCGACTGAAATTGGAGGGACCCACGTCACGAAATGAAACGAGAGGGGATCGGGGGAGGACATGCGAGAGAGCTCGTGTAGGCCGCTCTTGTGTGCCAAAGGGCCTGGGAGATGAGCGTTCCAAATAATGAGCTCGTTGTTCACGTGTCGTTTCCCATTTTCTCTCTCTTTCTCAGCAATTTCGTCATTCTCGACGGAAACTGTCATGAGGACAGGGAGCCACGGGTGTCGATGGACGGCTCTCACCTCCAAATGATGCCCGCCTGTCCCTCCCCAGTGAATAAGCCCCGCAATAGAAGTGTAGTAGTTGCTCTGCACAGTCAGCTCCACGGACCACGCGTGGATGGACCCGTTTTGGTGATTCGAAATCAGAATCAGACTCGAATCGGCCTTTGTTTTCGGGACGTCTTCCTTGTTTCTCATGGCGTCCATCATCGCCCCGGTAACGGTTCCTCCACTCGGTAACCTTATTTGGGGTACGGGGATGCTAATATCGGCCAGACTCCCCGTGAGTGCCATCTCCCTTGTGTGAACGACGTCGGGCTCCTTGATTAGGTACTGGAGGAGACTGCTGTGAAGGGACTGCGCCAGGTGAGGCGGAAAGATGTGCGGGAGACAAGAACTGAAGCTGATGTGGCAGAGTCTGGAGGTGGAGTGAGAGGCGTCTAGGCCCTCGACTGTCCACACCATGAGCGATCCGGTGCCCGGATGAATACACAGCAAGAGATCAGGTGAATTACACCACTCGTCCATCAGACCGGCAAAGAGCTTTTTTGCGAGGCTTGCTCGTGTCGAAGACGAATCGGGTTGTTTCAACGGGCTACCTCCTTCCCCTGTCACCATTCCAGAATTTCGAGGCCCGGTTCTGAGGTAGTTTTCCAGAGAAATGACGTGGGGGAGTCGCGGAGTGTTCTGTTCTGGGGAGGGGATGGTGTCCTCGATGCACACCCAGCTTTGCAACATCTCTTCGTTTATGCTAGACGCGAAACTCGCGAGGGAGCTGTGACGCGAGAGCGGGAGAAACGACGCTTTCTGTGTCTTCTGCGCTTTACTAGTGAACGTGGTCTCTTTATTCTGAAGCCAGTGGACAAGAAAAGGCATGCCTTCGATAGGGGCCATGGATTTGAAAGGAATGTCGGCGATTGGATCAATGGAAGCCGCGATGAAAAACCGCAAGTGAGTCGAGGGATCCTGGGACAAGCGGTGACTCCATATCCGGCAGATGTTGTCCCTGCAGTACGTCAAAAGGACGTTGGGAACACACCCTCTAAACATGAAAGAGAAACAAATGTATCATCACTCATCCAAACATGCCCACGTCAGCATAATGCTCTATACAATACACGGACCATGTATTAACATTTTAACAACATACGCAAATTACACAAGCGAGGTTGTGATTACGTATGTACTTTGGCATGAAGGAGCTCGTTTTTCTCCACGCCATTCCAGTTACTTTCATTGGGTGTGCCACGTAGACAAAGGAATACATGTGCGGCGTCCCCAGTCCTCCTCCACCTGTACACGATGTTTCAATGTACATGGAAACATGTTCATGTGTACATGAAAACATGTTAATGTGTATACATAAAACATGATGCAACGAAAGATTAGCTACAAGTACAACATGGGTTTTACATGGAAATCAAATGTATAGCATGTACAGGCAAACGTAATTTTCTTTGCAGCGAATTGTTTTCACTCGAATAGGTCTAGAAAATACACACAAAATGTTGTCATGCATGAGTTTCAACTAATTTGATTTCAATCACAGCTACGCTACTGACATCATTCATCGAGTACATACCTATACACCGAAAGAAAAATCCTATTCATCAGCTACTGAAGATTCCTGTCAGTACATATGTATTATATACACAACACATGTACATACCAATCTTGGACTGGTACCAAATCTTGACAAAGTGATCGTCTTGGCTAGCAGAGGCAAACATTGCACCATCCGGTGAGAAACTGAGATACACGGCTGGTTGAGCCAGCGAACATCGCCAGCTCTCACCCCACACCCCCTGACACCCCTCCCCAGAAGAGTTTGGGTCGGGAGGGAGAAGAGACGTGACGCTCTCCTCGGCAGAGTACGACCACAGAGACAGAGCGTCTCCGCCGACGAGCAGCTGCTTCCCTTCTTTGTTCCACGAGAGAGAGAGCACGGAATAGTCCACCGGGATTGTGTGAGACAGTATCCAGTGACCTGGAAACTGTGGTTTTAAAACACAAATTTCATCGCGCACTGACTCTTCAATTGGCAAACTTGTAAAACGACTTGTCAATTGGCACACTTTAAAATTGATGTGCTTACCAGCATACCAATGATGAATGAATTGTATGTGTCGACATGTGGAATTTCGTACTCAGTATAGGGGCCTATAGATATTACTTACTGTGTGTATATATGTACAAACCTCATTGTTGTTTTGTACTTGGTTATCTTCAAGGGGTTCCGGGTAGAAAAATACGACATCAGACCCCCAGGACACGGCAATTTTCCCCACCAACTCGGCAGTGTCAACACAGTTGATGGGAGTCTCTCCATAGCCCAAGTCAGAGCCCAGTAGCGTCTGTACGTGCTTCAGACGTCCGTCCAATATCACTATGTCTCTACCAGACGCATACACCTGCAAATGTGATTATCATACGCATTACGGGGTGTTCTTAGAGAGTGGGTACCACTGTATACTGTGTGTGAGAAGTAACTTTATGCACACTGCAGCCTTGATCAAGTTGCACTACACTACAAAAAAATTTGGTGCTTCAAGTGTTAATAAAGTTCAATTTCTACTCGATTGCTTCACATTGCAAACTTGCACCATACATGCTGTAGAACGTACAGGTCTTGATAGGGGAGAAATATTTTGCGATTTGGTGGCTTTCCAAAGTGCTGGCACTTAACTCACGCTCGGTTATGTAAGAAAGACACAGGTTCAAAGCATCTTTTGGTATATACACAATAGGAGAGTAATGTACACGTATTATGTATATAAGCATGTACTCAGGGGGTGGAGCTCCATGCACATGCAGCAGAGCGTGTGTGGTGGGAGAGGTAGAGGTGCGTCTCTATAGAGGCTTACGATGAAAGGGTGTTCGTTGTAGTAGCCCGTGGCGAGTGAGCAGGGTCCCGAGTTGACGGCTCCAGGCAATATCTGGCTACAATCCATGGCCAACACACGCGGATCTTACGCTGCTTTGCTTTCCAAGGTGCCGGCCACGGAGGTAGCGTTGCTAGATGCTGCTGAGGAGGGAATAGCAGCTCACGGCGACGTGCTGTCAGGGCTTAGAGCAGGTCAACACCATCACGAGTTGTGTGCGCAAGCTGACCTTTGTTTCAGTTTTAAATTTCTTTGCGATCAATTCGTTAATTTAGAAGCGCACACGTGTAGTGTTCGCGAACTTCGAACCCGAAAAAAAGCGATGCAGGTTCTACCGAAGCGACGTTCTGCAGCTATTTTCCAGCCCATGCAGACAACTAGAGCCAGACCTTGGATCGCCAAAATTGCAGGAGCGTTTTTGTCAGCGTCAACGAGCTCGCAATCGCGTCAGACTGCAGCAGAAACCGACTCGTCGTCTCGTAGGACCAGTGAACTTGGAATACAGATGATCTCCAAGTCGCTGCACGAGCAGATATTCGGCAGCGAGCCCCGCGTGTCCGAGGAAGCCGTCAAGAAGAGCAAACGCCACCTCATGTCGCACGGAATAAACGTGGACGCTGGCGGAACGAAGCCGCTGCGTGACGTTGACGTAGAGCTTCCTCCGCTAACGGGCTGCAACGTAAACGATCACTTTGTAAACATAGCCAAGCAGCAGATCGAACCGTACCTATCACTGGCCCAGGAACTGGCAAAGACAAATCTACCACAAATGCCAAAAAAGTGGCAATTTTCTACTGGGTGGACCAAATACAACGGAAACAAAGCCACAGCGGTCCCCTACCCCGACGAAACCGCTCTGGTCTTGGACGTGGAGGTGTGTGTGAGAGACAGCGAGAGACCCGTGCTGGCCACGGCAGTGTCGGGGTCCCACTGGTATTCCTGGGTCAGCAAGCGTCTTGCGTCACACGAGGACTACAGCGTGGAGGTACAGGAAGACGGGACGACAGCAAGAAGCCTTATCCCACTAGAGCCGGAAGCCGACGAGTGTGAAATGGTGGGAGAGGAGAAGAGCCAGTGGAAGCAGAGGGTTGTGGTGGGGCACAATGTTGGCTACGATCGAGCGAGAATCAAGGAACAGTACCTGTTGAAAGTGAGTCTCAAAATCCTATCCAGCCTCAAGGATTAAAGCTTTTGCCTGTGATTTGTTTGTGTGTCGGTAGGGTCCAAAGACGAAATTTCTGGACACTCTGAGTTTGCACGTTTGCATTGCAGGACAGACCGCAGCTCAGAAATTGGTGTGGAAAAAGGTGAGCCCGAGCGTGTGCCCTTACTTCACCTTTTTCAAGCCTGTACACAGTATCGTTCAACAGAGTTCGTTTGTTATTTAAACAGCACACCTCAGTGCAAAGCTGGCACTTACACAAGAACATGCAGTGCTAGCCAAAAGTGGAGATGTTTCATGCCCAAAACAACCACACCCCGCAATTCATTCAGTATTATTATTGCAGACGTATATACCTGTTTTATGATTTTAGAGGTCTGCGGTCTTCTGATCTCTATTAATACTGCAGCACAATGGGAACAGTCAGGTGGCTAGTGGTCAAGGCAGTGAGGGATGGTTGTCCGTCAGCAGTCCCAATGGTCTTGCCGACGTCCACTGGCTCCACGTGGGATCACACAACGGGACGTCCCGGATTGACAAGGAGAAGAGAAATGTCTTTGTCAAGGGGCGAATTCAGGACGTCCGGAAACAATTCCAGGTCGGCCCGGTTAATAAAGTGCAGAATTATTCACCAAAATTCCCAATCTGAAAAAAATTTCTGTTTTGTTTGCATTTTGTTATTGGCTCAAGAGTTTGATGAGGTACTGTGCAAATGACGTCGTCTCCACCCACGAGGTGCTCGGGGTACTCCTACCCCAGTTCCTCCAGCGCTGCCCTCACCCCGTCACTCTGGCCGGGATGCTGGAAATGGGCGGAGCTTACATGCCTGTCGATGCCAGCTGGAACAAATATATCGGTCAGTCCTTGCAGAAACCCTCTCTTGGTTAACTATGGATAAAGACTAATAATTATTCAGAGAAACTCTATCTTTTTAGTCCCGGTGAAGTGAATTTTGCCTCTTGATGTGTATATACTTAAACTTTTGTGAACGCCACCCATGCAAAAATTTTCAATCCACTATCACCTCAACAATATTATTGGTCTCATTCAGCCGACTGCGAGTATGTTTATGAGGAGATGGGAGGAGAGATAAAGGCCAAGCTCATGGCTCTTGCTGACGATGCCTGCACCTACATGCACGGGAAAAGGTATCTCTAAATATCTAAATTTTGATACCTGCAATACCGTAAGTGAGTTCTTTTTTAGCTTTGTAACTGCGGAAAATTGATGGGTAAAAGTTTTTTTAATGTGTAGCCCGTTTTGCAATCCAGCAACTTACTATGTGGATCACATTACCCAAACACAAAAATTGCCAAATATTTTAATGCTATCTTTCGCAAAGATACCTGGAGAGCCCGTGGCTGTGTAACCTGGACTGGTCGACAAAAAAGTTCCGCGGAAAGTCTAAAAAGTCGGACATGAAGAAATTGCTGGACCAACTGGAGAGATATTACGAGCTGCGGGATGAAGAGTTTAGGTTGGGAGGAGCGGAGAGAGAGGACGGAGAAGGGAGAGAACTGGAGGAAGGAGAGGGCAAAGAAGAAGGTGGCAGTGTGGGTAAAAGTGATTTCTTCATCAGTGGAGACGGTCCAGCCAAGAGAGCCGTCCATATGCCAGGATATCCTGAGTAAGAACACGGTTTTTGGTGGAGTACGCAGCAAATGCCACTATTAAAGGTTAAACATGCTCAAGTGCTTGCATGTATGCATTTTGGGATGCCCCATTTAATTTCAATCTTTAACCACTGGGTGTTTTAGTGTGAGAAGGTTTTAAGCATCGTTGTTACTCATCAGGTGGTACCGAAGTCTGTGCATGAGACGCAGCGACGAGCAGTGGTGTCCCGGTGCCGTTCTGGTCAGCGCACAGACTCGGGTCGCTCCCTACCTCCTCCGCATGAAATGGAAGGGGTTTCCCCTTCATTACCACAACAGTCTTGGCTGGGGGTACATCGTTCCACAGAACATCCGTCCCGGAGAGGTTCTGGAATGGGACGAGGAAGATAATGTAGGGTCAGTCCCGATTCATAAAAAAATTCCCATTTTAAAAACTATGTTCTTTTTTTTATCAGTGTTCAAATAGCTGGGAATTCAGATAAAAATCTCAGTCATAGCCCGCTTGATGATGGAGAAGGAGAGGGTGCTCTATTTGGAATAGAAGCGGAGGTGAATGTGTTTGCAAAGTCAAAGAGACAGGTTCATCACTCCGAGAAGGAAGAAGAAAAGGAGGCCGAGGGAGAGGGGGAAGGGGAAGGTGGAACAAAGAGACGGGAAAATATCGAGACGCCATTTGGAACGACAGACGATGTCGTGCATTTGAGGAACGGGAAAACATACTATTTCTTCAAGTTGCCTCACAAGGTGTGCTAGCCGCAGTCATCAATAATACTGAAGAGACCTGGTTGGTTTTGCAAATTTAATGTTCCAAAGTTTCTTTGCAAAACCATTGTGCATGGGGGTCGTTTGCGCAGCATAAATGTTTTTCTGCAAAACTATACAGTTTTCCCTGAAGTCGGTCGGTGTATGTGTGTGTTTGTATACGTTAGGACGGAAGTGAGCTGAATGTGGGAAACCCTCTGGCCAAGAGCTTCCTCCACCAGATGGAGACCGGGACACTCACCTCGGCCGCCGGGCGACTGGGTCAGAGGATCCTGACCCTCAACTCCGCCATCTCCTTCTGGAGGAGTGCTCGACAGAGAATCCTGTGAGGCCCACTCCCACTCTCTCTCTCTCTCTCTCTCCTCTGTTCCCTATGTGCCATCTCCCTAACACGTTGACTCACACACTCTCTCTCTCTTCCCTGTTTGCTGACTCTTCTCATGAACACACACACTCTCTCTCTCTCTCTCTCTCTCTCTCTCTCTCCCAAACATCCAGAGAGCAGTTTGTAGTTTGGGAGGAGAAAGACAACTCGTCAGAAAACAGTGACAGGTTAAAAAAGTAGCACATAAACATACAACGTACAAGAATCGGTCTATTTGGCCGCCAAAATGTTGAACTGTTTCGGCTAATTATGCTAGACGTCACACTTCTTAAACGAACTGATTCCTCATTAATTCCTTACCTAATGTAGACAACCGTAGTGTTTTGCTAGTTATATATATACCTCCTTTCACTCCATAATATCATCTCTAGTGTTGCAAGAGGAGTGATACTGCCACAGTTGGTGGTGGCCGGGACCGTCACTAGGAGAGCCGTCGAACCGACTTGGCTCACCGCTAGCAACGCCAAGGAAACCAGGGTCGGGTCCGAACTAAAGGTCATGGTTCGTGCGCCGGACGGCTATCATTTCGTGGGTGCAGATGTCGACAGTCAGGAGCTGTGGATAGCAGCTGTTCTCGGGGACACACGCTTTGCCGGCATGCATGGTATGATCAAAACAGCTCCTTAGCCTTTATGTTAGGTAATTGTGACAGATGTGCAAAGTAGAAATGGTATGATAAAAACCTGTGGGGTAAATTGCTAGGTCCGCATCGTGTTGACATTTTTGGTGTGAATTCGATACTGTGAGCCTGAGAGTGTGTGTAATGTGTGGTTGAATAAGAAATTGACGCGAAACATGATACCGTGCTCTGGAAATTGATCTTTCAAAACCGGCCCTCGCTAACAATGCGTGACATGATGATGAATCTTTTGTGGCGCCTTTCACCTGAGTATGTTCACGGCCAGCTGCGTGACATAATTATAGCTGCAAAATGTTGGGTGATCAGACCTACATAATCAGTGACATTGTTATGTCTATGTCGAATGCCATTCGAGGGCGGTTTATATCTCCACACACCATTCAGTATAATTATACACAGTTTGCACAGTTGAGCGCCAAAGTTGTGATCAACAACACCTTTAGCTATCCCAAATTGTCATCCATGAATGACATTGAGCCCCAAAAAAACTTTCAGAAAGAATAAAGAGCTACGTAGGAATGCATGAGCTGGGCAGAATAGCATGTATATAATAATATGCATGTGTAGAAAATACCATGTGATGCCAAGAGGATAAAAAAAAAAAAATGTGGAGCTCTGGACAGCTGTTTCTGGCTTGTTGGCCCTCATCAGCAGAGCATACCACAACTTCTCTCTCTGGCATCACGAGTTTATAAAGGCTGCCATGAGTGCATATGCACGTAAGTATGAAGAGTTACACACCAGCACCCTACGGTCTGATAGTGGTCTGATAGTGGTCTGATAGTGGTGGTCTGATAGTGGTCTATGTGTTTCCATGTCTGTTTCTGACTCGTTGCAGGCTGTACTGCGGTTGGCTGGATGACGCTGCAGGGTAGTAAATCAGAGGGAACCGATGTCCACAGCAACACCGCCTCGACCATTGGCATTTCTCGAGACCAGGCCAAGGTTCCCGCACAGCTATAATAGCCTCCTAATGGGGGAACTAGTTTCACTTGGAAAATTTTAGCATTCAACTTTTTTTTTCTTTTCTTCCTCCCGTCTGGGCAATAAATTTACACACAGAGCTACACCTATAATTAGAGAGTAATTCTCCCTCCCGTCTGGGCAATAAATTTACACACAGAGCTACACCTATAATTAGAGAGTAATTCTTCCTCCCGTCTGGGCAATAAATTTACACACAGAGCTACACCTATAATTAGAGAGTAATTCTTCCTCCCGTCTGGGCAATTTGCAAGTGAAATTTCAATGTGAGGGCACTCAGACTGCGTATAGTAAATACTTTTTGATTCCAGGTGTTGAACTATGGGAGGATATATGGGGCCGGAAGACCCTTTATTGAGCTGCTATTGAAGCAATTTAACCCTTCTCTCACTGGGACAGAGGTGGCGGATAAATCTCGAACACTTCTGGAGGCCACGAAAGGAAGAAGACAGTAAGAACATATATGTATGTATGTCAAGCCAGGACACAAAGAACGAGCGATATTAATTTAACACACGTGATCTGCTCTACAACGCGCGCAACTTGATAATGGTTGGTTCGATATGCACATTCAATGCACACCATTACCTCAATGACACACTAGTAAGTGCACGCTCCTGTTGTTCAGTTACAAGCTGACGGAGGAAGTGAGGGAGATGGCAGGATTGAATACACCATTACTTCAATCACATTATTATTAAGTAGTACGTGTTTCTCCTGTCGTTCAGTTACAAGCTGACGGAGGAAGGGACGGAGATGGTGGAGCACTGTGGGGTGAGAGTTGGAGAAGAGAGGCTGGTACCAGTGGATGCCGTGAGGGGTATGAGATGGGTCTCCAGATACACTACTGGGAGAGTGTGGAGGGGAGGAAGGTGAGTTGAGATTTTAATAATGTCACATTCCCTTTTAAATCATCTCCCATTCCTCTCTCTCCTTTTTCTACTCCACTGGAACATGTGCAAGCATGGGCAGAAACAGTGGAACCTTCTCTAAAGATACCGCCTGAAATGAGGACAGCTATTTTTTTTTAACAACACCTTTTCCTTTTCCAAGAGCAGTAATTTAACCTCGACTTTATACACTATTCTAGCCCTTTTCTCGTCTCAGTGAAAGTGACTTATTCAACAAATTGGAGCAGATAGCCACGTCTGATCGACCCACCACGCCAGTGCTGGGCTGCACCATATCCAGAGCACTTGAGACTCAGTTTACAAAAAACAGTGTGAGCTTCTTGCTGTCGTATCTATACTCTCATCACACAATCTGCATAAGCTTATAGAGCCCTGTATTTGTACACCATTACGCGAGTTAGAGTGTTTCTATCTGGTGATCTGGTGATGTGGTGTATGCTGTCCAGAGCTCCGCATCTTTTTTCTCTTGGCATCACATGGTCTATTGTTACATGCTAAGAGTAATGCATGTCCCCATTATGCCTAGTGTTGTACTCAGAGTCAATCACTCAACAAAAGAATATCTGGCATGGCGAAATTTGGTCCCCAAAGAGCACTATGATCGTGGTGTGTTTGTCTGATTCAATGCCATGCATTATGAGCCCCGCCTGACTGAGTGCTATTATATGAAGTTTTTGAATAATAGCAGTTTTTGTGAACTCAAATTTCAAGATGTAGACAAAACCTACACTGCATAATGAGTGGGTGGGGGATTAGGGGCTCCTGAAAGTTGGTGCACTGATGTACCACAACAAGAGTTCATCAAAACAATAATTACAAGTTTGTAAACAACAACAAACAGCCTCAGGCAACTCTTTATTCCACATCGTCTCTCTGTCTTGTCGCAGGCAGTATTTCCCGAGCAAAGTCAACTGGGTGGTGCAGGGGTCAGCGGTGGACTATTTGCATCTGACGCTGGTGGCCACCAAATGGCTGGTCGCTACGTATGACATCGAGGCCAGATACTGCATCAGTATTCACGATGAGGTAATGGGGAACAACAGCGATTGGTCAAAATGGTGCCCTGTACGGCAGTGTTTATTTTCTTGTCAATGGTGAAACCAGGTTCGGTACCTCGTGAAGAGTGAGGATCGCTACCGGTTCGCGCTGGCCCTCCAGTACGCCAACCTCCTCACCCGGGCCATGTTCTCTCACTCTCTCGGTCTTCAAGACCTCCCCATGTCGGTCGCCTTCTTCTCCGCCGTAGACGTCGACTCCTGCCTGCGCAAGGAGCCCTCCATGGACTGTAAAACTCCCTCCAACCCTCTCGGTCTCGAAAAAGGGCACAACATTCCTCCAGGTATAGGATTGTGGTGGTATATATACCCATCGTGCTGTTGAAATGGGATTATGTTTTATACGATTGTGGCTTGTTTGTGTGCCAACGGGTGCTGTGTTACTGATTGTGCATCTCGTCATTTTAGGTGAGGCTCTGGACATTCATGAGATATTGGAAAAGACAGGCGGATCTCTTGTGAAATGATGATTCGATAATGTGATTGTGGACATCATAAGCGCATGCGCTTACCGACCTTCGACCCCTCGCTATGCGTGCGCCCGCGAGCAAACTGAGCGGCGCCTATACATTTCTGTGGACTTCTAGAATGAGGATGGGTTAGAATGAAGTTTCTATGAGGCCGCAGGGTCTGCCGCCGAACTGTCGCTACTGCCGTTTGTTTTTTCCATGCACGCGTCGAAGGCCTTCCGCGTCTTCTTGCACGCCTTGAAGCTCTGATTGTTCTCGTCCAGACACGTCCAGTGAGCCGTGAAGACTTCGTTGCAGCTGCCCTTTACGGCGCGGAAAAACTCGAGGGCGCAGCAGGTGACCTCCCTGCCCTCCGCGAGGCACTTGCGAGGGTCTTTGCTGGCGGTTCGGCACTCCATGAACGTCTCGTTGGGTCCCTCGCAGTACTTGCCGTAGTGGTGGGCGGCTCCCATCAGGACTGCAGACGTTACGTTCACCTCCTCTGCGTCCAGGTCCTTGGCTGTGAGGCCGCCCGACATCTGGGACGTAGAGGTCGCCATCTTTCTCTCTCGATCGATCCTCCTCCTCTCGATCTCGTGCGCGCGCGAGGCGTAGCTACTAGCGCATGCGCGCGCGACTCTACTTTTTGGCACACAAATTGGTAAATTTTCCGAGCGAAAAAACCGTAGTAGGTAAAAGAGCTTAGAAATCGAAGATGAAAAGAGTTTTATTGCTGATAGTCGCCGTAGCGTACGTTGGAGCTGCATCAGCTGCGATTCGTGATCGGGACTCACCGCCAGTCTACACAAACACCTGGGCTGTGGAAGTAGAGGGAGGCGAGACGGAGGCCGAGGCTCTGGCTGCAAAATTGGGCTTCAATTACATCGGACAGGTGAGCCTGGGAATCCTGCCAAGAGCTCCCACACCGACCGCGTGCAGAGCAATTAGAAATTAGCAAGTAGGAAACTAAACTAGCACACAGCGCCAATCTCAAGATAATAAGATTTACGCTGGTTGACGTATCTGGTTTGCAGGTAGGAGACCTGAAGGACATGTACGAGTTTGTTCTGCCGGAGGCCAAGTTCAATAGGCAGCGGAGAAGCACTGCTGTCCCCTACCAGCAAGTGACAGAGGCACTGAAACAAGAAGTCAATGTGAGAGTCATTGCTTTTTCAGGCATGCAGAGATCAGTGTATATAATAGCCTGGTATTTAATTAACTATAAGCTCAATACAATTTTGGATGTTGGATAGGGTAGGTAGTGTTAGCTGTGATATTCATCACCCTGTGTATGCAGTAGTTCAACTTGTGTATGAAGCAAAAATCCAGTAAATATATATGCTATTAGCCACTATTATTCATCTGCAGGTGAGGTTTGTGGAGCAGCAAGTATTGAGAACAATGGTAAAGAAGGGCTATGAAGTACCCACTGATCCAAACTGGCCCAAGCAATGGTTTCTTGTGAGTTATATGGAGCACTTACCGTTAGGTTTGGAATACAAAATGGAAGAAAGGCAGAAGAATGTGAAGGGTGTTGCACAATTATGAGGATATGATTGGCATTGAAAAACCGGGGAGAGAGATAGCAGGCCTGTATAATCAGATTTACTACCTGTGAAAAACATGTAATCTACTATAGTACTCCCCCTCTTATCTCTCCATTAGCTCAACAGTGAGACTGGAGTGCTGCAGGAGTTTGGAGACTCAACGCGAGACCTGAATGTGGAGCCGGCCTGGATCCAGGGCCTCACTGGGTGCAACGTGGTTTGTTGGCTATAGTCGATGATGGTTAGTTGTCAGTCGCACTTCATAATATCTTTCTCTTAATCATGATTCAAACCTCTGAAATGACACGATTCCTGAAATCGTGTTAATCTGATGCACGATTCCAAACTTCTGAAGTCACATTGCTATATGACTCCAGGGGTGTAGACTAACTCAACACTTGGTGACCAGCACTTTTTTCACAGAAATCTGTCATTGCTCTGGGCCTATCCTCTCACAAAGCAATCCTTAACACATGTTATATACCCATGTGTAGCACTAAAGGAAGAGCTAATAGAACAACAGTGTTTTTGTCAAAGGTGTGAAGAAAGGATCAGCACATTGAGATGTGTAGCTGCTCGACATATTATTGAGAATCAGTAGAGGAGAACATCTGAATGAGAAAACTTCACGACTTACGATTTAGCTGTCTGTGTGAAATTGTATTGCAGGACCAGCAATGAGTGAAAATTATACACCAAGCATGTATGGATGTCGCAGCTATTAACTGTAGCAGCCCGGTCAGACTTGAGCTATAGAGTGGAAAAGGTTTTCTCTCTTTAAAGTTTTCGTAGACAGAAAACTGCCTTTACATTTGCTTTCGAGGGACGCAGGCTAGCACAGTTCACACGGTGCCTTGTTTGCATACTGCTACAGAGGAGGCTACGTAATGAGCAACAGCCAGCATGCAGTGATTTGTTTTTGTTCTAAATACACAGGAGTGGAGTTCACACATCCAGACCTATCCACCAACTATGTAAGTCCCACGGTCACAGGCTGTTTTCAGTATACAGTACAGTAAGTATGAAAATTGTACATCTGAATGCTAATGTATAAATCTTCCATGTAGGTGAAACTGGGCATGCATGCTAAACCAAATTCACTCTCTAGGGATGGGATTTCATTCTGTCCATTTTACTATAACTCTGCAGCTAGCTGATCTGGACTATAATGCCATCAACAGGACTGACACTGCGTTCCCTGGTCTCTATAACGGCACGAGATCCTCTCACGGTACTGCCTGTGCCGGTATCGTTGCTATGGAGAAAAGCAACGACGTCTGTGGTGTGGGCGTGGCCTACAATTCCAAAATCATAGGTAAATAACGTGGTTTTATTTACTCACATTGCACAACGTCTAATTATCAGAAATTCCACTTTGCTTATTATCAGGAGGTTTAGTGTATGATAATAATTATTTCTGGTGCTCCGTATTTCTGTTTTCAGGTATTCTACTTCTGCTGAAGGTCAGACTGACATAGCCGAGTCCAGGGCCCTGGATTATAAGGACGACATCATAGCTATTTATAGTAACAGTTGGGGGCCACTAGATGATGGATTTTCAGTGGGAAGGCCGGGGATTTTGGCTGAGATGACTTTCAGACGGGCAGCACTGGCGGTGAGATATACTTGCTACTGCATGTTGCCCCAATTTCAATAGAAGTACAATTTTTAGACTACTGCAGTTACTTATGGGCAATAAACTACACACCTAAGTGTCTCACAAGATGCTCTGCAAGGGACTATGGTTGCCAAGAACTTACAAACTACAACCAGAGATAGCCAGAAAGATTGTGAACTGTGTATATAGTTCATCAGCCATGGATGGCTTGTTGGGGCCTCTATCCACTTAATTATTAGATGCTTGTGTACCAGTATGTATATAGCTATAAAACTTTTTTGCTGCACTACATGCACTCGGTTATCCGGATATTCACTCTTTTCAAGTTCTAGCTACCTACGTAGATTATTTTAACTGTTTGTACTATAGGGAAGAGGTGGAAAAGGTTCAATATATGTGTGGGCAGCGGGCAACGGTGGACGCTTTGACATTGACAGCTGTGCTGCAGATGGCTACGTTCAGAGTATCTACACCATTGCCATTGGCTCAGTTGCAAGTGACGGAGAACCGGCCTACTACGACGAGAGGTGCTCTGCAAAGATTGCTTCTATGTTTGTCTCCAACTCTTTCTCCAACATCAGTGTGGTGAGTTACAACATTAACTCTTTTGCAAAACTCTTGCGGCTGGCTGGATGTATGTACAGTGGGAAAAGCATCTAAGAAAGATAATTTTCCGTTAAATCGTTAGCTTTCTCCCAGATCCCTCAAAAGTCGGCCTGATTAAGAGTTTTCTGCTCATACGTTTGTATCTTCTTTTGCAAGGCTACTACAAATACATATGGAGAGTGTCAGATTGACTTTGATGGAACCAGTGCTGCTACTCCAGTGGCCTCCGGAACTATTGCGCTCACTCTGGAGGCAAAGTAAGAACAAATTGTACACAAAACTTCGTGATTACTATAGTGCTGTTAATTCCAATACAGTCCTGATCTGACGTGGAGGGATGTCCAGTATTTGATTGTCTACACATCTAACAGTGACATACTGACTGTGGACGACTTGGCCACCAATGGAGCTGGTCTCAACTTCAGCCACCACTTTGGATTTGGAGCCATTGATGCCGAGGCCATGGTGACCAGAGCCAGACACTGGACCAATGTTCCACAACAGCTGAAAGCCACCATCCCCCTTAGTGACACCACGTGAGACACACACACACAACACTGCACACATTACAACCTCACACTTTTGGAAAAGGGAGAAATGACACAGAAAACTTCTCCAAAATGCCTCTCTGGTATTGCACAAGCAAAGTAGATCCCCGCCACACAGATAAACTTGCAGATGGCTCAAAACCTCTCAAACCCTCCAGCCATACTACTAAATGTGTAAATTTCGCATTCGTTCTTTTCGCACAGAACCGTTGGGCCATCATCAGATGAAGTGATTTCCATCCCGTATTCTGCTGAAAGTGTGGGGTTTCTTGAGCATGTGGTGGTGCAGCTATCAACTTCATTTCAAGGCGTCGACACGGAGGAATACTTACTAAACAGACGTATACTGATAATCTCTATTACGACTACTACCACTACTACTACGATGTGATGCCAAACAGAGGAGATATACAACTCGAGTTGACATCACCGCAGGGCACTACATCAATCTTACTACCATATCGTACGTTGACTTCATGGCCTGGGGAGTACACGGATTGGCCGTTCATGTCCGTTCATTTTTGGGGCGAAGACCCGTCCGGGGATTGGACACTCACCATTAGTAACCGTGGCAACTCAGGTGTTGTCGAAGTTAGTGATGTCCGGTTTATATTCTACGGAACGGCAGAAACACCGGAAGTGATATCACGTATACTCGGGAGTGTCACTCGGCATGTGGCCGGGGGTGTGCAGCTCCTGGTGCAGAGTTCTGTGACTCGTGTCGTCGGCTCCGCGATGCAGCCACTCGCCAATGTGTGGATGAGTGCCCCGAGGGGCTGGCCATGAGAAGTGGCTACTGCTACAACGCGACAGAGCCAGAGGCTGAGTGTAAGCCATTTGTGCTACCAACAGAACCTCCTACAGAGACACCAACTGCCTCACCCACTGGCTCATCTACTGCCATTGGCCTCTGTACAAGCAGGACACTGCTTGCACTCCTGGTTGTAGCATCATTTCTCATGATGGGATAGTCTTTTACAAGAGACCACCGTTTTTTTTTTTATAGTGTGTCTATTTATCCAAGAGGAAGTATTTATATATCTATCTAAACTACCCTGCATCATTTTTGAGTTTTGGTGATCCTTGATACTATATAATATACCCTTCACACTTTTATGCAATTACGCATGCGCACACATCGCCGAGCCACTACCATTTTCCGGCGTGCGAGTCGGTGGAGATGGAGGTGGGAAGGTTTTTCTTCCTAACGTTCGCAGTTTCTGCAGTGTGCGTCGCTGGAGCTGCAGTCGCAGGTCGCCACGGCACGGTTCCTGTCTACACGAACTCTTGGGCCGTGGAAGTGGAGGGCGGCGGTAGCGATGCGGACGCTCTGGCTGCAAAATATGGCTTCATCAACAAGGGACCGGTTAGTCTTGCCTGTAACTTTCCACCACGCGGATGCTGCCCGAAGTTGCCTAATCCAGCAAATACGTAATTCATACACTAAGGACGCTATTTTTTCAGGTAGGAAACCTAAAGAACATTTATGAGTTTGTTCTACCAGTGGCCAAGTTCAATCGGCAGACCAGGACAACTACTCCATACCAGGAAGTGACAGAGACACTAAAACAAGAAGTCAATGTGAGCACTGATATAACACTAACTAATGGGGGATGGTTCTATTGGTTCTTTTCTCTCTGTAGGTGAGGTTTGTGGAGCAACAAACATCGAGAGTCATGGAGAAGAAAGGCTATAAAGAGCCCAATGATCCGGACTGGTCAAAACAGTGGTATCTTGTGAGTTTATAATTATACAAGCGAGTACTGTTTGTTACTACTTTGTGATATGTAGCTAGGTAGCTATGGCCACTGGGAGTTATACACTACAATTGTCAATTGCAACTGCTCTCTCTCTCTAAGGTCAACAGTGAGACTGGAGTACTGCAGGAGTTAGGAGACTCAACACGAGACCTGAATGTGGAGCCGGCCTGGCTCCAGGGCCTCACTGGGTGCAACGTGGTTGTGGGTGTAGTCGATGATGGTTAGTGGCCACAGTCTGATATAGCTATATAGTCGCTCTGAACTGACTCTGGAAGTCCTATGAGTGTGTGGGGGACGGGGCTTACTTTACTAACACAGGTTTTGAATGTCTGTTGCTGTGAGTAAGTGTATACATATCCCACACCTTCAACTGTGTAGGTTTAAACGGGAGTACACCTTTAACGTGCAATCAATTCTGCAGACTCTGTTTTGTAAGAGGGCATCTTCTCAAACTAACCCAGGAGTGATGGGCCAGTCTCTGAAAACCTACCAAGTTTCTACCATGTCCCATTACCTTACAAGGCTACTAGGAAACTCTAATCTGATGTGTATATAGCTACGTATACCTCCACGCTGCCGTACTTGATGTATAGATGCTGCCGCATAACAACCTGTTGAACTCACTATGGAATCTGGCCTTGTAGGGTTCAATGTATTGTGAGTACATTAGGGACTGAAAGTGTAGAGGCATGGGTATTGTTGTGTTATGCCAGCAATAGTCATGTTGCTGCCTCTCCTGTATATACAACTCTTGGTGGGAGAGGAAAAGCCCACGCAGTTTCAAGGAAATTAACAGTGGTTCACTTTACGTAGCAATACAGACTGTCACATGGAACATAACTCATACTTACATCAAAAAGCGTTGCGTTACTTGCTTCAGTGACATAATTATTATTGCGAGAAGCAATAGGCTCATTTTTAGTTTTCCAAGTAAGGTGTCATCATGCACTCTTATAAATGCAGGTATTTGTACATTGTTTCTCAGATGGATTACAGACCACTCAAGATAGGGCTAAAACCTCTACAACGCAGTTTGTTTAGCTAAGCCAACTCTCTGCCCATCCAAATCTCAGCAATGCACACCCATGAATGAATGGCATGCTACAGTAACATAGTCCATGTTGAATTGTTGATTTGATTGATGATACCATAGCAAGGGTCTCCATGACATTTTGCTAAGAAAGATTTTGTTGGCATACCAATACTCAAATTTCAGTTGAGTGTGTATACTTTCACAGGAGTTGAGTTCACACATCCAGACCTGTCCACCAACTATGTAAGTCCCAGTGAATTTAGCACAAGTCAATAGCTACCCAGGTATTGTAATAATATCACTACTGTAGCTATACCTACTCCCTTACAGGTTGCTGATCTGGACTACAATGCGATCAATGACACGAACAATGCATTCCCTGGTTTCACTGAGGGCGAGAGAGACTCTCACGGAACTGGCTGTGCTGGAATTATCGCCATGGAGAAAAACAATGATGTCTGTGGTGTGGGCGTGGCTTACAATTCCAGAATAACAGGTATCACCTACTGTTTTTAAACCATGGATTGCACTTACAACTCCACCAATCTTTCAGGGATTCTGCTCCTAGGAAGTGGTCAGACTGACATAGCTGAATCCAGGGCCTTGTCTCACAAAGATGACCTCATAGCTATTTATAGCAACAGTTGGGGGCCACCTGATAATGGATATTCAGTGGAAAGGCCGAGCACCCTGGCTGAAAGGACTTTTGAGCAGGGAGCTCAATCGGTAAGACCCTCATACCATACCATAACCACACACCAACAGTTACCATAAGGAATGACAAACAGACAAACGTGGTGACCCCCACTCTGCGGTTTTACTCTTTTATATATTGTTTTGGCAGTATTTGAATTATCCACAGGAATAAGGAACCCTTTAGCTTCAGCTGGTCTTATTATCACCTGCAGGGAAGAGGTGGCAAAGGTTCTATTTATGTATGGGCAGCAGGCAACGGAGGTGATGTTGATGACTCATGTGCAGCAGACGGATATGTTCAGAGCATCTACACCATTGCCATTGGAGCTCTTCAGAGCGATGGAGAGCCTGCTACCTACGATGAGAGATGCTCTGCAAAGATTGCATCAACATTTGTTACCCACACTGATGTTTTCAGTACCGTAAGCTACAACCACATTTTCTGGCAAATTTTTTTAGTGTGGTGTTCTCTAGACTACTGCATTCACTGATGGAGAATGTCGGTCAGATTTTAATGGGACCAGTGCAGCAACTCCAGAAGCATCTGGAACCATTGCCCTGACTCTGGAGGCAAAGTCAGATCTTATGCAGCTGTAAAACTAAGCTTACCCAGGGGAATGGGGAATCATGGGTGGAGCCAGCAGTGATCCGATTTGACTCTCACACACACCTAACTTACTACCGCACCCAAAACACTGTAGTTCCCAAAATACTTTCGATAGTTGTATTTACCTCACTAGCAGAAACTCCAAATAAAAGGACATGCAAAAAAGAGATGTGTCCTATATTCAGAGGTTCATAACTAAAGTAATGGGAATAGCAATGCATCTGATTCAGAGATGGCCTTTACTTGCGAGTGTCCATTACAAGAGGTTCAACTGTATACACAGTCCTGATCTGACGTGGAGAGATGTCCAGTATCTGATAGTCTACACCTCTAACATTGACATACTGACTGTGGACGACTTGGCCACCAATGGAGCTGGTCTCAAATTCAGTCATATCTGTGGGTTTGGAGCCATTGATGCCGAGGCCATGGTGACCAGAGCCAGACACTGGACCAATGTTCCTGAGCAGCTGAAAGTCACCACCCCCCTCAGTGACACCACGTAAGACACACAATCATGCACAAAACAACAAAATGTAAACGCAATACTTCACAAAATTTTCAGATTGCTCTCAAGCTAAATAAACTGCAAAACCTGTAGCTTTATGAACTTTACTCTGATAGAGCATATCAGTTGGCTCATGGTTTACTTTCCCTCACAGAGCTGTTGAACCAGGGTCGAATGAAACAATTGTCTTCCAATATTCTGGAAGTGTTGGTTTTCTGGAGCACGTTGTGGTCCAAGTATCAACTACATTCAGGGATGTCGACACACAGGACTACTTAGATAGAGACGTTTACCAAAATCTTTATGACGACTCTACAACATGATTTCTCACTATAACAACAATGTTGAACCAAACAGAGGAGATATACAACTTGAGTTGACATCACCGCAGGGCACTACATCTATCATATTACCTTATCGTTTCCTTGACTCATGGCCTGGGGAGTACACCAATTGGCCATTCACGTCCGTTCATTTTTGGGGCGAAGACCCGTCCGGGGATTGGACACTCACCATTAGTACCGTGGCAACTCAGGTGTGGTCGAAGTTAGTGATGTCCAGTTTATATTCTACGGAACGGCAGAAACACCGGAAGTGATATCACGTATACCTCGGGAGTGTCACTCGGCATGTGGCCGGGGGTGTGCAGCTCCTGGTGCAGAGTTCTGTGACTCGTGTCGTCGGCTCCGCGATGCAGCCACTCGCCAGTGTGTGGATGAGTGCCCCGAGGGGCTGGCCATGAGAAGTGGCTACTGCTACAACGCGACAGAGCCTGAGCCTGAGTGTAAGCCACTTGTACTGCCAAAAGATACTTCAGATGCCCTTGGTCTGAGTAGTCTTGAACTACTGCTTGTTCTCCTTGCTGCTACCATGGCACTATTTTAATGGGAGACTTTCCAAAGAGAATTCTTTAACTAGTGACTGAGGTAATTCCCTGTACTTCCTATAATAGCGTACTTGATACCTTCCATAGTGTACCCATTTTTGTGGGATATAGATTTTGAATTATCATTGTGTTTTAGAGCACTGCCAAACACAGTACAAACCCCTATAGTTAGTATACTTCGGTGTACAGCATGTGTAGTGCGCATGCGCAGTACAAACCCGCCGCGATGGAGGCCGTGCTGCTGCTGCGAGACGAGCTGGAGTCGCTGAGGCAGAGTCACAGAGACGAGACTCAGCAGTTGAGGACAGAGATCGAGTGCCTGAAGCGGGAACTCGCCTCCCTGCACACGTACATCACGGACCTTCCCCCGGTCTCCTTCACCGTCGATCGCTACGACGTCCTGAAGCGTAGCGGAGACTCGCACACTAGCCGTCCGTTCTTATGCATCCCCGCGGCTACAAGATGTGCATCAAAGTGTGGCCCGGCGGGGTCCTGGACGGGAAAAGCACCCACGTCTCCGTCGCGTGTCACATCGTGCGCGGGGATCACGACGCGGAGCTAAAGTGGCCGTTCTGCGGGAATGTTCACCTCCGGCTGGCAAACCAGCGGAGCGACGCGGACGGACACTGCGACCATTTCATTCGCTACACGCACCGCACGCCCGCGGCACATCTCGGGCCGAGTCTTCGCGCGGCGTCGCTTGAGCTCGAGAGACGGCGGCGCAGTCAGGGCCGAAGCACTGGAGACGGGCCAAGGTAATCATCTCACGCGGTTTATTGCTCATTCTCAACTCAGCAACAAGGCTGCAGGGACGCAGTATCTACTGAGCGACAAGCTGCAATTCATTGTCACTAAAATAGAAGTTAGGTAACTATTATGAATTATAAGCAGCATTATACTTGCTACCAAAGTTTATTCAAATTTAATACCCTGGGCTAGTGGAAGTTCCTTACTGTAGTTGATGGTGCTGGGCAAAGAGAGAGAGAGAGAAAGAGTGCAAAAATTACAAAGCTAATCACATTTTGTGTATATACACTAACTATTATGCACTGCCAGGAAACTCAGGCCAGTTACTCAGTAATGAGTTGGCATAGACAACAGCTCTCAAAAACAATTAAACATTGCTTGTGCTAAATTTGGTTGCACTTATGTTTGCCTAGACTGACAAATAGACGGCGTACCATGTTGATCTTCTCATATACTGTTTCCAGGCATCGCTCCCTGATTCACGCCCTCCCCCTGTAGCCTTCTCCCCTCCTGTAATAATGTCACAATTATACTCATTCAACTGCTGCATGGTATAGCAGGTAAGGCCTAAAAACAAGGCTACAGTGAACGCTCGGAAAAGAAAGACACCACTATAATATAGGGGACACTATAGTTCTGCTTCAAAATACTAAATAAGCGACATTGCAGGACACTTTCATTGTCCCAGAGAGGTCCCTTATTCAGAGGGTTCACTCTATATTTATACACTCCTCCATCAATAATCAACATGATGTGGTGGCACCAGGCCAATGGGCATCTCCAATAGATTTCCCAGAATGGCAATACTCACTAGAAACTTTGGCTAGAAACTGGTGCCAGTTACATCCAAATAATGACGTGTGTACCAGGTTCTATAGAACGGACCACTTGACTTGGCCTGGAACAGACTCTCCACGTAATTAGCAGTGCTTAACTAGCACTTGACTAGAAAGAATTGCACGTGTGGATTATGGACGCCAAGTCCAAAGGTGTGCCATTTGTTTCATAGAGTTTTCAAATGGTCAAAGATGAGAGAATTTTGGTACAAGGGATGAACGTAGGGATATTGGCACAGAGAAATCGTTTGTTAATAGCTGTTTACTAAACCCCTTCGCTATATGGACACAGGCGTGATTGGTTCACTCGAGTATGGAGCATAAAGCCAGTCGGCAATGAAGGGTGTGGCGTGGTTGAAAGAAAGTCAATGCTGAATTCTACCACGATTTAATGAACTGCTAATGGAAATACCCCTTACATCTCGAATAGCGCTTGTTTTGTGTGCCAAATTTGACCAGGTATATAAGCAACCACCATATATAGAAAATATTTCAGCACCGAGTCGACTTCAGTTTGTTTTATCATAAACAACTACCTTGGCGACGATGTAAACTAGCGAGACTCACCAAAAGCACCGCCGATCTCGGCCCCACTGGTAGGAATATTGACGTTGACGATGCCGCAGTCTGATCCGGCAGGGCCCAGCCAGCGGAACACGTTCTCCAGACTGGCTGTGAAGATGGAGGAGGTGAGGCCTTGCTCCACCTCGTTGTTCCAGGCTATGGCCTCGTCTATACCTCCCTATGTAGCAGGAAAATAGGAGGACACAATAATAAATTAGTCTCACTCCAACCTTACTGTCCGACATTGAAAAGAGAGTTTTTCTACTGTTGGATTTGTATCAAACCAAGAGTGAAAGAACCAGCTCTTAAAGTGCTATTGAAAGCACAAAGCACAGAGAAATGAAGATACTTAGCATGCATTCACAACTGGAATGAATTGTAGTTGCTCGAACTGCTGCTTATCCAGGTATGCACTATCCGAAGGTGTTTTGCTACCATAATGCAGTGACATCTGAATGCACCTACCGTGAACTTGACGACATAGAGGATGGGTGCAAAGGTCTCTCTTTGGACGATGGGTGAGTCATGGGCTAATCCCGTCACCAGTGTTGGTTCCACGTAGTGCCCCGGTCTGTCGATACGCTGAGAAACACACACCAGATATAAAACAAACAGTGCCTAGTTGCATTTGTTAATGGTGTGCACTTGCTTTGATCCGTCACCTCACTCACAACTCACACATAACGAGAGCCAGCTAAACATGTTACCAGACGTACAGATGTTCAACTGTTACCTTTCCTCCATAGACAATTGTTCCATTCTAGAAAATGGAAAAAGAGGGGGAAAATTGGACCACCACTCAACACAGTCAAATTTTATACAACCATCAAATTCCTTTATTTAAAAGCAGTGGATTGAACAGTGTTCATTAAGAGACACCATTTAGGTTGTCAATTAAAAGAGGTTGCACACTCTGTTGTACCTGGGACTTGATCTCACTGATTGCGTTGTCATAGCCCTCAACTGCTGCCTCGCTGTGCAGTGGACCGTACAGTGTTCCCTCTGAGGTACAATGTATAATATCTTCACTGGATATACTATTGAGAAGATGATTGTTGTGGTTGTGAAGTTGTGTGTGCTTCATTGACCTTCGAGAGGGTCTCCGATCTTAACCTGAGAGTATGCCTTCTTCAGTCTTTCCACCACTTTATCATGAACACTCTCATGAACTATCTACATAGATAAAGAGAGAGAGAGAGAGGAGAGAGACCATGACAAAAATCGAGTCTCTGGACACAGCTAAGTATTGTTATCATCCTGGTGTAGCTGAATTGCTTGTTGGCCTGAGTGTCGATGCATCTTCTGAAAGATGTGCTGACCTTGATATAAACTTGACTTGCATCGAAAACCCCGTGATTCACGCAGTAGTACGCCGACTCACCAGTCTCCTGGCAGTGGTACACCTCTGGCCAGCGGTCCCCACGGCAGCAAAGAGGGTGGACCTGACCACCATGTCAATGTCAGCATCTGCCGCCACGACGATGGCATTGTTGCCACCCAACTCCAGGATCTTCTTCCCAAACCTCTCCTGCACCATTACCCCCACCTTCTGACCCACCTGAGGGAGAGAGAGAAGTGTGTCTGCATGTCAGTATTCCTGTGTAAAACTTAACAGAGAACAAAGTCTTAAGGTCCCAAATTTTCTTTCATTTCAAACCTCCAAAGAGAAGACAACCTCCTTATAAAGGATGAAATGCCTGGTGCCAGCATGCCCATTATTCGGAGGTTCCACTGTATACCTTGCTGCTGCCAGTGAAGGAGAGAAGATTGATGTTCCTGTCTCGAGCCATGGCCTCTCCAATCTCAGCTCCTCCACACACGTTGGTACAGACAGCGGCCGGCATATCGTTGGCCTCCAACACTCTCCCCACTATCTTGGATACGGCTATGCTGGACAGTGGGGTGCTGGGAGCGCCTTTCCTGGACACAAAATAGCGAGCTATAACAGCCAAAACCATAGAGTGTAACAATTCTAGAAATACATTCGGTTCTGGGCTATTTTTTTAGTTTGTGATCAACTACAGTGATAGAGCAAAGCATAATATTGGGATGACTACTAGTTCGTACCAGAGAGTGCAGTTTCCACAGACCATGGCGATCGCATGGTTCCAACCAAACGGAGCCACTGGGAAATTAAAGGCTGTGATTATTCCCACTAGACCTAATGGATTCCACTGCTCCATCAGGGCATGGCCAGGCCCTGTAGAAGAGGACGGACGAGGAGAGGGATAGGAAATGGAGGGACGAAGAGAAAGAGAAGAAGGGGAAGAGGGAGAGAGAAAACAGAGTGGGAAAGAGGAAGACGTTAATAACTTGTCTTGTTCACACTTTCAAACCCACTTTTCATAAAATACTCAAAATAAAAGTGAGGACACATCCCGATGCGCATGCAAATGCTGACTTACTCTCTGACGGCATGATGCTGCCTCCTAGCATCCTCGAGAGACCCACAGCGTAGTCACATATGTCTACATACTCCTGTACTTCCCCGACCCCCTCCGGGTATATCTTACCTACCTCCAGAGACACCTGAATGACACACACACACACAGTGGAAAAGCTATCAATCGCGTATCATAGTAGATTCCTCTTAAAATCAAGAAACAGAACGAATGCATAGCGCATAGTTGGCAAGCGAATGCAATGCGAAATTTCTGTCGCTTTACGTTTATATAGTTTGGAATTACGCACAGTATTATAGAATGGATGATACCCCTCTTGAAAAATCGTGCAATTCGGATTAGTAGGTGGGCTAGTTTTACTCGCCAAAACTCTTGTCTTCTCTCCTCACCAAACGTCCGAGGTCGTCGAGATTGTCCCTCAGGGCTTGACCAATCTGCCTCACAACCTCGCCTCTCTTTGGACCTGGAACCTTTTTAGAACACACCACCACTTGTGAGCTCATGCAAAAAATACAGTGAAGTGTAGCTACGCCACTTCACTGTGTAATAATATATATAATATACCTCTCTCCATGTTTTCCATGCTTCGTGGGCCTTTTGCACAACTTGACGGTAGTCCTCAACTGAGCCCTGTATTACAATACTTGCTGAAAACCCACGTAGGTCTTTGTGCATTATTTCACCTCTTGAATGTGAGCTATTGGTTTGCCGTTACTGGGACAAAAGGAAGTGACGGTCTGTAAAGGGGGAAACACGGGGCGGTCAATCCACGGACGGGGCAGCTGTCCAGAATAACGATTCAGCCCCGAAATGGTAACCGCGGTACCAGCGCGCACTTATCGGGTATCAACGTAGCCTAGAGCTGCATGCATGACTCACGGGTCCGTTGGCGTGCCAGGTTCCGTCATAGACGCCGGGGTTTTGCTCCTGCAGTCCCAGATTGCGCAGCCAAGAGTACTTGCCGTCATTGATGAGCAGCTCGGAGGACGAGTAAGACTTTGCACCGCTCATGGCTCGGACTAGAACGACACGGGAGGACTGCTGGTGAAAGAGTGAAAAGGCACAACGAAGAAGCATGGCAGAACCCCACTCGTGGACGAGAGTATCCGGACACCTGAGCGTGGTATCCGGAGGTGCGACGGTAGTACGCGGAATAAAACGGTCAAAAGTGCAAGCGCACGAACAAAACGGGGATTTCGGACTTCAGCTCTCGCTCCGATGAGCTTCACTGGTGTGGTGTGCAGGCTTCAGACCTGTAGGTGACTAGCGTCGCAGTGGTTCGATTCCACCTTCGGAGCGATTTTTTTCCCGCTCTTCTCCCACGAAAAGTAACTGTTTCACTTTTTTAACGTCTGTTGAAGCTAGCGCTGTTCTCAGTTGCATCTCCACATCCAGCCCTGAGCTAGGCGCTTCACTGTCTATATACACAGTCCAGTTCCAGAGTGCTCGTACGTACGTACGTACGTACGCGTACGTTGCGTGGTCAAGCCCCGCCCCCTTATATGGTGCGCATTCACCCAGCGCATGCGCATATATTCAATGACATCATCACCACTCAGAATCATCCATGGACCATTTCAGTTCAGTTTTTCCATTGTTCTTTGCTCCATCCTTTTTTGTTCCTGTCACAGCCTTTGTTTCCTTCTTGGGCCGAATTCTCCGGCGAACCTGCTGCTGTTTTTTCTTTAACCCTCTAGCCACCAGCTGCTGGACCGTCGTTCTGTCCCCATGGAGATAGCTAGTTGTCGTAGCAACGGTGTAAGCACTTGAGACTGCACTCTCACTGGCACCATCACTAGAGTCAGCTGCAGGCTCTTCTGCGACTTGTTCCTCTGGACTTTCGAGAACTCTGCGCTCTTTTCCACATCTTCCTCTTTTTCCGAACCACTCAAGTTTTCATCTTCTCCCTTCTCCTCGCTTTCACCAGTGGCATAATCACACACCTCTCCTTCCTCCCTCTCTTCCCCCTCCTCATCCTCCCCCTCCTCCCCACTCTCACTCTCCACACATCCAGTCACCTGAAGATGGGAAATAAGGCGGAAGAAAAAGAAAGAAGCTCCTGAGGGTAAACATGGAGTAACCCCCCAACCCACACCAATAGGGTCTCGGCCCCCTGCCATCTAACCATGACAAAAGTACACTTGGCACGGGACAAGAAGTATCATTTCAGCTCTGCTGGGAACAAATCAACCCTCAAGGTGTGTCAAAAACCTCTGGTTTACCGACACCGGATCCTCTCAAACGACGCTTAGAGCTGGCAGAACAAACCACACAGTGAAAGGAGCTACATACATAGGCTTCTCATCGAACAACAGATACTCTAAATACTGCAGTGGGCCAATAAGGCTGAATTCTTTCGCAGCTTTGAAGGCAAGTCTCAATCCATGAAAATTCGCTACATAAAACAGGGTCACAACTGAAACTATTATCCACAAAATGTTTCTTTTGCAACTAGAAGAATGGATTCAGTAAACATTTTCAGCTCAACATGTCATTCGGCTTCATAACGGAACATACCTCTTCTAGGAGAGTGTCCTCCATTTCACGAGTGAAGCCACTGGCAGACACTTCAGTATCAACATTTTCAGTCACTCTGTGCAGTGAGGTGAGAGGGCCAGGAAAGGGAGGGAAAGGAGAGAGAAGTTTTACAAGCAGAGAGATAGAGAGCGGGAGGGTGGTACCTGATATCATCAAAGGTTGGATATAGCTCGCTCTCGTAGCCAAACTTTCTCTTAAAGTAGTCCCTGATACACGTCACATCTCGATCAAAATAGCTGCGTTAGGAATCAACAAGAAGACACCATGCATTGTTATATACACTGCAAAAGTGAACATCGTCAGAAAACTTCACTAACAGAGTACATTAACCTTTCAGAAACTGAAGTCCCCGTTTAATTTACCATCATCACAGTCATACGCTACATGCCGTTATGCTCTATACACATAATACCCAGAGAATCCTGGGCTTTGCAAAGCCTGTGTACTATTCCTCTGTAATTCAATACCCGCCATCTGAGAGGAAAGAGTAGTCTATATAGTACAGGTATATACACAAGAAGCAGCTATATACTAACCCACTAGAAAGCTAGGCGAGAGGAAGTGATAACATAGTTGGAGGGAGAATCCTCTCCACATGTAAGTATACCTTTGTGCATTTAGATGTGAAGTGGACACCATCTGCGGGAAATCAATTAGAGTGGGTTTGCCCCTTTCGTTAACGAGGATATTGAACTGGTTGTAGTCGCAGTGGATGAGTCCGTGAGTGGCGAGACGGACTACAATATCCATTAGGGAGGAGTAGAGAGTAGGCACATCGCCTACTGTTTGGATATTATTCCTTGATAGAGGGTGGGGGGAAAGAGAGGGGAAGAGGGAGGCAGGAGGGAAGGAAAGAGAATTAGAGAAAGAGAGAAGAGGGAGGCAGGAGGGAAGGAAAGAGAATTAGAGAAAGAGGTAAGAGGCAAAGGAGGAAGCCTCCATGGACAACATTACCCGTGATGTCAGGTCCTCAATGTCACATTCACACAGAACTATTAGTGGCACTTGCAAACACACACACCCATGATCTCAAATAAACAGAGGTCATGCAGTGGGACTAGCCGGTTAAGGTCTTGTGTGTTAGGTGATCTACCATGTGGGGTTTGGCGCACGCACACACACACACAGGGATGTTAATCAACTTACAGAGGAAAGCCGTCCACCAGTTCCATGACGACACAGTGTCGGTTGAAGTCAATTGGCACAGGCACCGGGAATGATCGATCGTGAAGAGCCTGAGTGTAGCACAGAGACCAACTTAAAACACTGTGACAGAAATATTTTGTAGGGTGCCCTATATTTTTCGTACTTTTAGCAAGCAAGTGGATGGAACGACAGGTCAGCTAATCATTCCGAAAACCTGGACCATGTCTAAAGTGTGCAGTGTTCGGGAGTGACCGTGGCTTAAACTCTTTGTTCTTTTAGCAACAAGTGGGAAGGACAGGTCAGCCAGCCATCCTGGATACCTTAGAGTGCCATATCCCTTGCTAAAGTGCAAGAATTCGAGCCGAGAGGAGAAGAAAGTATAGAACCAGAGAGACAGAGAGATGAAAGCCTACCTTCATGTAGGCGAACTCTTTCATGGCAGCTAGCCGCGAGAGGTAGATCCAGGAGGTAGCATGTCTGTGGCGGTGGTAGTCTCTCTTCTCCTTCAGCTTCCTGAACGACGTTCTTCCCAGCCTGGAACACACACAAATGACCAGGGAACATTGAAGGGAGAAAACTGTCACGATTTAGCAGCAAGAAAGGCATGAAAGTTTTCCTTATCTGCAAAATTCACACAAAATAGTTTTTTGTCGGCAGATAAAATCAACTAGCGAAATGCTATGTAGACACACACTTTAAAAAAGTATATATAAAGTTAGCAGATGTTTACCTGTGAACCTTTAGAGCAAACAGTTTTCCACTTGCGTTTGCTACAACATACACATCTAAGAGAGAGAGAGAGAGAGAGAGAGAGAGAGAGTAGTACGTGTGTCTGTAAGAGCTTTGCCAAAACCGTCCTCACCTGACTCTTTGCCGACACCTATCATGCTGCCAATGGAATAGAGTACATCTCTATTAGCCAGTGCCTTCAGAGCCAGATAGTCATAGCCCAGGAATGTCAGTCTGTAGCCACAGCCTGAAAGAACCATCAGTAGAAACACAGAAATATAGAGTACAGTGAAAATGCACCCTCCAAATAAAGGACACCTCTCTATACAATAAAACTTGTATTCTGCCCCACACTAATACATCAGGGTATTATACCACCCTTATTTAACACTTTGAATGTCCTCAAGGTGTCCCTTATTAAGAGGTTTCAAAAACAGAGAAAGGAGAGCGCAGTCCTAACCCTTATTTTGAGACAGGGGCAGGCTGAGGAGAGAACTGACTTTTCTTGTGTTCGTAGCAGACAAGTCGATGTTTGGCCAGGTTTCTCAGGATCTTCAGACACTCGCCCGGCTTGACTCCGGCAATGGACGAGATCAGACTCCCAGGTACCACCTCGTGGTTCTTCATTCCCATCTCCACCTGGCCCAGCACACACACATACAGGAGAATTGTTACTCTTCCTTTCGTGATGGTTTTGGGCGAGCAACTCACCGCTGTAAGCACTCGGAAGTCTTCCCTGGAGAGGTAGCGCAGTAGCGTCACGTTCAACTTCCCCATAGCGAGCCCGAGACAAGTTTCAAACGGAAGACAGAAGATAAGAAGCTCCGAGCAGCAAAGGTTGCTGAGTTAGCAGAATTAACCACGTGGGTGGGCTCCAATTGGAAATCTCGTCAACTGTGCACGCGAGACTGGAGAGCGATGGATGAGGCAACGTGCAGAAGTGCCACAACTCTTCTAAACTACAACAAGAGACAGCTCCAGGACGTTTCCTGCCTCGAGAGCTCCGACGAAAACAGCTGCGGGTGCATTCTGGTGAGTTTTAAAATCACTGGAGATTCTTGTGACGTAATCATTTATTGCCCAGGAGCTCCACCTCTGTTTCAACTACATCTCTGACGTCCCCGAGGCCACTCTGGCTCTCTACTCTCGCCTCACCTACCTCTCCCTTGCCTGTAACAACCTCACATCCATCCCTCCATCTCTCTCCATCTCCTGTCCTCAACTGAAGACCCTGCGTGCGCCCAACAATCGGATCTCGTCCCTACAGAATCTGGAGGGACTCGAAAGTCTAGAGTACCTTGACCTCCGCTACAACCGAATTTCCTGTCTCGATAACCTTCTCTCACTCACCAGGCTAAAGGAGTGAGTACCGTAGAGATGCAAACTTTGACATTGTGGTAGCAAACGGCGTTTTCATGGAGAACAATCGTGTATTGCTGCTCCCCCTAATATTTTTTATATAAAGTTTCCCGTAGAAAATTTTCGTGAAACTGCGAAATTCGGGAAAAATTATCTCCCTCTGACGTGTTTTACACTATGCTATGTATGCAGTATATACTTCCTCCCAGATACATCACTGTACAATTTGGTGATTAGCCAGTCAAAATCTGCTGAACTTTTTTCACTTGCTGCTGTAAATTTCTCCAGGCTGTCTGTGTCGGACAATATGATCCAGAGTGTGTGCTGGCCCCAAGTCCCCTGCCTCCCAACCCTCACCTTCTTGGGAATATATGGCAACCAGGTTGGCACTGGTCAATTCTTGGCCTAGATTTATATAGTCTGTTCGAAACAGTACACAGGTAGCTAGCCTACCTGTTTTTTCCACCCGTGCATAGTGCATAGACAACCAGGATGGTATAGTAAATCTGTAAATGTTCGTTCCGTGCATATCCCAGGCTCTCTGTGCTAGCATTAAGAAAGAAAGAGGGAGAGGGGTTCTTACGGTTTAGACAAATTCACCGTGAATAATGTGTGTGTGACTGTACTACGAGGTGGGCCTATTCTAAAGCTGGGTGTGTGTGTGAGCAGTCGTCCATGTCAACACTATAGATAGCCTTTATCATCCACCCCCTTTCAGTGTGCATATCGTCTGTATACTTAATGTGGAGCTTTGATACTACAAAACAACACCACGTTTCGTAAAAGGGGAGAAGTATAACTTGAGATGCTCAGGTTAAACCTAACCCTTATCCCTTGGAAATTTACATGATATCCTGTTTTTGCCAAAATAATATCACTGATCCAAAGTGTTTCCTTTGCTTATCTCCATATATATTTTCGCTTCATCGTCTCCTGTTTTCTTCTCTCTTCCTTTTTTCCTACTTTCCATCTCAGCTGACGGATTTTGAAAACACCGTTCACCATCTGCGTCAAAAAGCCGGAAACTTGAAACGTCTAAACATAGGCTGCAACCGGTTTTGTGCTGACAGGCAACTGTCCCTCCAGAGTGCTCTGCTCGCAATGAAACACCTGTCATCGGTCCAAACTGGCAAACTTTTTCTGAGACTCGGTCAACTGTTTTCGTCTCCGCTAGAGAAAAGTCGTGATAGTGGGGAAATTTTGGAAGGCGAATTAGACATCATCTGCGGGGATTTTGCACGGGGGCAGGACGACTGGAGACTAAGAACAGTGGCTAAAATGCTGCTGAAGCTGAAACTGTATTTTCCACTTCTTGAAAGTGTAGACGAGAATGCGCTTCCTCGCAGCTAAAAAAACAAACTGTGAGCGCATGCGCAAAAACGTTCGCGTTCGCGTGCTATAAAATTCCGGAGTTGGCTCTCTACGCAATCGTTTTGCAGAGTTCTTTGTTATAGTGAGTGTGGAGTGTAGCAGAAGGAGCGAGTCAGCGTTGCAATGCCTGTGAAACCAGAGTTCAAAGTGACGCTATTGGGCGCGGGAGGCGTCGGGAAGAGCGCTCTGACGCTGCGGATAATATCGGGCGTCTTCACGCCGACCTACAACCCGACCATCGAGGATTACTACCGACACGACACCAACATCGACGGCGTGGGGCCGTGCATCGTGGAGATCCTGGACACTGCCGGCACGGAGCAGTTTGCCAGCATGCGGCAGCTGTACATCAGCAACGGACAAGCCTTTGCGCTCGTCTACGCCGTGGACGACCGCGCGTCTTTTGAGGAGGTGAAGGAGATCTACCAACATATCACGGAGTCAAAATCGCCGCAGAACATTTCCGTCGTTCTCATTGGAAACAAGTGCGACTTGGACGATCGGCGCGAGGTGGAAACGTGGGAGGGTCAGGAGGCCGCGAAGGAGATGTGCAACTCTCAGTTCCTGGAGACCTCGGCGAAGGAGGGCACGCACGTTTTCAAGTTCTTCGAGACGCTCGTCATGTGTCTGGACGGTCGGATTCGCAGCAAGTCCAAGGACAAGTCGCTCAAGAACGGCAGAAGACGCGACGGACGCGAGCGGAGCAGATCGCAACCGGACCTGAGAACGTACTCGCTCTCTGGACACGATTACTACGACCATTCTCTGCCGAGCGCTGAGGCTATTCCGGGCCACACGACCAAGGGACGAAAATGCGCAATCATGTAGTACGTTTTCCTCACTCTTTCTTTGTTCAGCACCACCTTTAGCTACTCCCCTCTCTCTCTCTCTCTCTCTCTCTCTGAATCTGCCCTCTCTTCTCGGCCTCATTTCTATCTTCTCTGCATCCAAATCCCATTCTCTGTTGGTTGTTCTAACAGGTATATTGCATGATCTACCCTATATCTTGTTTCCTGCGATCACTTCGTTTCTTATTCAATTCTTCCGCTCTTCCGATGCTAACAATGCACATGTGCACTTTTTCATTTTGCATCTGCACAAAAAATTTCCGTCTGTATATTATTATCACTGTGTAATCTCATTCATGTTTTCATAAAGCAAGCAAGCAAGCAAATTAGCTGCTCGTTTTATTCGTTGGTAGCTACAATGTATAGAGGACTTGCACTGTTGTGTTACCAAATGCGGCAATGCGGCTTGGGTGGCTGGTATAATTGTGATATATATAGGCCTGTAAAAATCCTGCCGTCTAGCTAAGTACACACACACCTTAGTTTGTGTATATTGTACACACATACTAGATAAGCTCAGGTCTTTTTGGCGAATTTTGATATGGAAGTTTACTTAAAGGCTTGTAAAGAGAGATTTGGACAACGCTTCCATTCAGACTGAAGAACCTTATCCAAAAGGCTTGGAGATAGGGAAAGAGAGAGAGAGTGTAAGGCTGTCTAAAGGACACATCGGTACCCATGGATGGATGCATGACCATGAAGGGAGAGGGGATGGATTCCAAGCTTTGCCTAGGTCTGCTGAGCAGGTGTGGGAGTGATAGCTCGTGTTACCTCCACAGAACACTGTGCATTCCTGCATGTAGACAGTGGGTCTTCCACAGTTCTCTGACCATCCACCCAGCCTACCAAAATAAGCGCTTTGTTACGACACTCAGCAAGTTGTTGATTCGATTACGGCTTATATGGCAGGGTTATCAATTATGGTAAAGAGTTCAATAGGATTTTAACGAGAGGGGCTCATGTGTGCTGACTGGTGGGCCAAGTTTGCATGACAAAGCCAGCCAGTCCCCTATCTGTCCCGGCATCTCACACTACTACGCTCTATCGAGCACTCACAATGAAGATTTGACCATGATTGTGTATACAAACCTTTTGGCTATACTGCAATGCTGAATCATGCTGGACGATCCCATGGCTTGCTGTGCACCCCCTAGGATTTTCCACGCAAACATGTGTACTCTCATGTGTAAGTATACACAACCCACTTAGACTAACAAGAGTGGAAGTGTGGAGTACTTGAGGCAAGATGCTACAAGCATACGTTCATTATTAGTTATAATGAGACTTTGAGGAGTAAGCAAGGAGTGGAGTGATGGAGTGATGGAGAGGGTGCAGAGGAGATAGAGTGATAAAGAGCTGAGGGTAGTTGTGAGACATTTGTAACAGAAACCTTTCACCATGTGTGGGAGGACAGAATCAGATAAAGGTAACGAATTGGTAGTATATACTCTCTCTCTTAGGTTTGTGCATGCTATCAGTGAGAGCCATTAAGATTTAGGAGGGGGTGGCAGTAACCCATGCAGTCGCTGATCGAAAACCCACTAGTTTTTTACTCTGGACAGTTGACATGCCTCCCACATACCACTACCTTACGTAGGCTACCAGGAAGTAGCCCGAGAGCACCCCTAGAGCTTCCAGGCTAAAGTTGGTGCAGGCAGTAAACACCTGTACCACATGCAAACAAGATTCCCTACCAACTATACTTCCTCCCATATCTAGTATATCCTCCCATATCTAGAGCTACTTCCCAGCAGAATCTCCCCCTACTATTATATCTGTTCAAGTTAGTTCTGGTGCAAAGTTTGGAGAGTGATTCAGTCCCCCACCTTTCCTCTTGCAACCCTAGTGTATATGTGGCTGTTGCAATGGGGGGAGGGTGTTCAAGGAACAACAATGAAGAGTGTAATATAGGAGACATGTTTTGCAGCAACATTAAGATGCAGTATACTTTGTGTGGGAAATAACTGCACCAGCACAGCCGTTCCCTTGCTTGTTTTTACCTCATGAATATTTCCTTCAGTGTCGGCTGAATGCCTAGTAGTATTCGGGGCACGTCCCTTTACACACTGACACTGAAGCACTGACCATGCTAAAAGTGAAATACTAGTGGCATATTAAGCATTCGGGGTCACACAAAGGTGCTCGTGTACTGTGACCAGGCAGTGCATAATGACACAGCGGTGTTATTGAATGGTGTCTGAATGTCTGTTTTTCACCTGAAGTTTGTTGACCAACGCCGGCACACGGGGTTCTTGCCCCCTGAGAGATGGCCACAAGGATTGCATGCAAATTCCTGTGCGGTTGATACGACTTGTCGAATCGACCACAAATATTTCAAACAAACACGAGGTGCAGCTATGACCATAGGGTCCAGTGGCATTCCTGCGGTGCATACCTCTAGAGCACAGCAGCAGTTGGTGACAATTCCCTACTGCCACAATACAGATCAAATCATGTTCCCGAGACACAATTTTAATAATTACAACATGACCGAAATATGTCCCGTGTGCCATCCCCTAGTTCAGTAAACAGCTCGGTAACTCTGTTCCACCGTTTGTAAACAGTTTCCACCCACCTTTGGACCTAATGCGGTGTTTGTCCTGCTTTCACTTTTCACTGGAAATAAACAGGGGCGGCCCCACACCCATACACCCAATATACACAAGTCAAGCAGCAGGGCCAAAAACAAGGGAGGGGGAGAGAGACATCCCTGTGTTTTTACTTATATCCCAAGGCATGCCAGTCTGTCCTTGGGGCAAGGGGTATATACACATAGCTGGGATGAAGAATACAAGAGGCAAGGAAGAGTACGTGAACAGACTGCTTTCTGGCATTGAGGGGGCCAGGGATTGAGGGGGCCAGGGATTGTGGGCTGCACTGCCAAAGTGACGTGCATAGTGTCCACTTGTTCCTGGCTTGCTCGGAATGCCAAGTCCTCATTCGTCGAAAATACTAGTGACATCATAGTTGCACGTTGATTTGTATAGATATAATATACGTAGTTACGTTATATTATTGCAAAGCTAGGTAATGTTGACTGAGAGGGTATACATACAACGCCATAATTATGTTTCCCCATCATCCTAATGATGCTAAATAAAAATCGAGCAAAGTGGAATTATTCCTTTCCACAGCGTATTACTGCAGCGTCATGCAGTAAATTTTGGCAATATGAGAAATGGTTAGTACGCCGCCACCGCCATATAATGCAAAGGTCGGGCACCACCAGTGCTAGGCTCACATTCCACTATTAGATTTGCTGTGTGAATCGACACCGATATGGCTCCAAACCCGTGTGTGTAACGAGATTACTACAGGGAAGGGGACATTTCTTGGCAGCTAAACTGGGCTGGCCTGGAACCCTAGCAGCTATATACACACGCATTAATACACCAGGGCACTATCCATAATAGCTTGTGTTTAATGCTGGCACGCACGGGTAGTGCAATGATGAAAATTAAATTACACAAAAATATTATGTTTCCATTGGTAAATTTCCTCTAGACACTGTATATACAATCCCAGAGAATTGCACGACCCCTTTCATTTTCATTTCAATTTTCGTTGTCTGGAGTTGTGGTGGTATTTTCCGTTACTCGTGTCCCTCCGGATATAGAATAGGATGTACGCTCGACAAGACTCCACCCTTTTGGGTGTGGTTTCCGTGACCGTGCTGTCGTCGAAATGATACCACAGACCTGCAATGGTAGGGCAGATCAAGTTTAACCCCAACATCACTATCAAGTTTAACCCCAACACCACCAGAGGGTAATTCGAATACCTCCAAAAATAGTGGGAAAAGGGTTAACTTAAATAAGATGATACATGTAGTTTTGCGTAAGGAAAATGTGAATTCCCGGTGTGTTGGTAAGATGTGAAATTTTGTTTACTAAATGTTTACCTATTGACACTGATGTTTTGCAAGAAAGGCAGAGAGGCCTGTCTGTGCTCATGCATGACTGCTGATAGACTAAGTTTAAAGTATGTGCCTGAGAGATTTAAGTCCCTGACAGTACCACTCATCAAAGGCGTATAATTATACACTCTATTGTCAAACAGAAGGAAAACTGAGCAGCCCAGGCGGGGGTTTGGATATTACACTCTCTGACTGCAAACTCTGCACGGTAACAACGTCCTACCAGAACAGATTACCGTTAGAACACACTCATTATACATACACCCTACCTAGTTAGGAACTTCAAGTCACCACTAACATCAGTTCACGATCAAATTCATGTACAGAGTAACAGGAAGAACATTCAGTAGCCCGGGACCTCAGGACTTTATCGCAGAAAACAAAATCGGAGGAAATTCATTGCTTCCTACCTGATTAAACTACTGGCAGGAAATAGTCCCCTTAGGCGTGGAACTCCAGTTTCTAGGAAGTTAAAATGATCGAGGAAATTAGAGCATAAAGCCCCTCAAGTAATATTATGGGAAATTCAGTAAAGGGATGTTGCCAGGTGTGTAGTTGAACAATAATTCGGGATCTGGCGAGGATGTGGAAGTAGACTGAGGGTTTGAGGTACTCAGGATACGTATATACCAGGCAGTGTATGCAGACAGACACCTTGCTCAGAAATGTGGCACAGTTGTAGGGGTCGGTAGGCACGATTAGCCTGGCAAATCTCCTGTTCAGACACCCGCAGAGAGTTTTGTATGGAACAAAGAGTTTAGTACGCGGCAAGTAATGAATTGTTCTCCTGGGGCGGTGGCAGGTGGCGACCAGGGGGAGAGGCAGCTGGCGGCGGCATGATACGACTGACGGCTACAGAGCCCCCAAGTGAATACTTGTCGTGCCAGCCGAGGACCGTGAATATCATTAGGGGGAGATTGCCGACGATCCGTGCGATCCGTGGACCACAGGTAACGGTGGCTGGAATGTCCCAGAGGGGGAGTTGGGGTAGCACCGAGGAGGAGGAGGGGAGGGGGCCTACCATATTAGTAGTCCATTTGTTCCACGTCATCAACAGTGTTAGTATAATATGTATCGGCCTGGGTACAGTTATAGTGTCTCTTGTCTCGTGGTTCACCTCATCAGCTACATTCAATATAGCCCATCTATATACATAGCACCATCTCTAGAGCACATGCCTCTGTAACAGACAAGTCAGTACGGAACAGTCCAATTTAACCCATAAAGTGTTAACTCATCAGCGATATACATGCGGCGGTAAAAGATGCCCTGCTTACAAAGTCACTAAAGGCTTCTTGAAATATCTTTATATTGACAAATAGGACTATATAATTATCACTAAGTACGGTAGTACTTATGTAAAGTGTGAGTTAATCGTCCATATGAAGCAGAAGAGATGGGCTGGGAGCCAGAGAGTGGACTACTACAGTGACATTATGACCCAGACCACAGCAGCTTGGGGAGCCAGTAACCAGTAGCCACATTCACACGCTACCTACACCCACCAAGCAAACAGTGATTGGACAATGTGTCCCGAGTGCGGTGCTTTGCCTTTTTGGTTGCCACTAGACCCAAACACACCTCCGTTTCAAACGAGATTGAATTCCTTTTCAGCAGGCACCGAATATTTGGAATACCGGAGGACAATGCACAGGAATGCAGACCTCTACCGTAAGGGAATGGACATGCAGGCACGTGCAGTTTGGTTTTGGCATTGGTTTACTCGTTACAATTGAAGGCAGAGTCCTAATTAAGACTGCCTGACAATGGTATTGTTCTTACGCCGAGTCGAGATGGAATTCAAAGGAGAGGCGATTATACAAAGAGCTCCTTAATGAGTGGGTCTTTGGATGTTTTACCGTGTGATGTGGTCACAGCGTCCATTGAACTAAACTGACGGCTCTTTTGAGCAACACGTTGTGTATATACATACGTCCTTGGAAAGAGTAATATTATAGTGTGTGTGGAAAGAGTAATTATAGTGTGTGTGGAAAGAGTAATTATAGTGTGTGTGGAAAGAGTAATATTATAGTGTGTGTGGAAAGAGTGGACAGAGTGTATGTAGTGTGTGTGTGTCTCACCTGATTTGGGACTGAAGGCATAGGCTGTATAGTGACCTGAGCTGACACTGTAACCGAGGGGAGAAGAGAGTGTTTATAATCATTACATCACACCAAACACCAGCAATTATTAAGGGTTTACCACACCCCCTCACCAAAATTGGCAGTTGCGCAACACTTATAGTACGTACTGGCAAGATTGCCGAGCTTCTACAAGATAGCTGTTGAATGCTGTGTAGACCTGATGAGGGCATTGCTCCGACTAAAGAGACTTGAACATTATGATCTAACCTTCCGTCATAGTTAGATGACTATGCCATACCTACATGTACCAACCATCCAGCTTTTTGCTTGATAATCAAGCAAAAATAACTGCCTATCCCACCAGAAAATTGCCAAAATCCCTCTTTTTTGTGCTTACCTGTGATGCATCATGCCCATACATTGTGAATGGACACACAGCGTTTTCAAGCAAAAATACTCCAAATCAAGCAAATTTGACACATTTTTCAAGCAAAGGTTCATCTGCAGGTTGGTAGGTATGCATTCCCTACATACTAAGTACTACAGTAGGCTGGCTGAGGAATGGAGGGTGCTGTCTAGCATTAATCAAAACAGCCCACCAAAGCAGCGGAAAATTTGAGCCTCTCATCTGCATACATACTACCTACACACCTCTACCACCCAACGATTAGATAAACCTTTCGCAATACTTGTGATGTCAACGGAAAGTCTCTGAGGAATGCTTGGTCAGCAACTATGCATAGAGGGTGGACTGTATGTGCATCAGTGGCATACAAAGGTACATAGAGAGATGGGAAAGGGGCCTAGCCTGTCATTCCATAATCAAAGGTGGGGCTAATGGTGTAGACCACAGGTATATAGCAGGACACAACTGGCGAGAAGCCAGCACACTCCCTTCCTCCCTGCCACCCTCTCTCTCTCCCTCCTGCCCCATCAATGACAGGCGGGGTGGAACCTTGCCAAGTCTGAGAGAAGAGTGTGTGTGTGTGTGTGTGTGTGTGTGTGTGTGTGTTTGGAGGTACATAACATGCGTGTAAAGGCCATTATGTGTATAACTTAATCCTACTTCCATTTAATTTAACCACATTTCCAAGGAACCTGCTAGGAACACAAGTGCACGTTTGCCCTCAAATCACGGCTAATAGTAGGGATATGTAGAATTTTCCTAGGAGTAGATGGAGGACCATGTATCCGGTAGCGCCCGGAGCCAACTCGTCTACATAGCCACAACTATAAAACATACTCCTTGTATAAATCCTGTACAACATGTACATGGACTTGAAGATAGACAAGATAGCGACACATACACTATGATATGGACCACACCTGTGTACATTTTACATCCATTACGTAATGTATAATTATATATAGACGGAAGTACAAATTATACAGTAGTCAAAATTTTTACATGGACGGTTGATTTTTGTACTGTATTCATGTCAAGTGGTGTGTGGGTGTGCTTAGCTGTGATGGTGCATCTTTCTACAGCTTGTAGTCGTAAGCAAACACCTTGGCCGCGATTTGATCCAAAACAAGTAATCAGCGTTTAAACATGATCGCAAACACACTTGCCTCTCGCTACACTCGAGAAATCGTTGAATAATTTGCCGTTTATTTTCACTCCAAACCACTTACTCCACTTCGCCCTCCGTTGCACTTCGTCCTCCCTCCTCCCTTTGAAGGTCTAATCTGACCCCTTCCCCCCCACATAATACTATATAGTATTACATGGATATAATCAATCCCACCCATACGGTACAGGAGAAGAAAGAGCAGCATTTGTCATTGGGATCTTTCGTTCTTGGGGAAGGAATGTTTCAATTGTATCCCAGTGTATATAGCTACTGATTCAGCCAAACGAAATAAACGTACAAAAGTATGGTTGACAGCTCACCCTGATCCATGGTGGACAACCACTGCAGCGAGATCATACACACTATTCGTTTCACCTCCCTCCTCCCCCTCCTCCTCCTCTCCTGCCCCCAGCCACAGTGAACTGACCCATGTCCAGTCCACTCAGAGGGAAGCCAATGGGGAGACTCAGTTTCGTCCTCACGCACGACGTGAATCTGAACCTCTTCAGATGTATACACAGTACCTGGAGAAGAGACGTGCGTGGGGAATTGTGGATTGTGAATCTCCACGCTCGGGTATGTCTGCACCGTAGCGAGCTGTTGGTGGGAGTTTCTCCACACTCGGGTTGATTGGGTACATTTGAAACTGAATTCGGCAGTTTGGCGGACACGCTCATATAGAATTGCCAGTTCAAACACGCAGGCCAGCATTTTTACCATTTGTGTTCAAAAAGGGCCTGCATGGGGACGAGGCTAAGACACAAAGCCTACAAAACGATCTAGAGGACACTCCTCAACGAAATTGTCTCCCACACTATACTCCCATACCGTCTATAGCACCGAGTCGACCACTAGCCAACAACAGCCAAACTGTATACGTACGTATATACACACCGGCAAACCGACTGCCATTATACCTCATATGGGCACAAAGATAGGCACAAGGCACACACACACACATAGTACGTTAGTAAGCAATGCACTAAGGAGACAGTGGTCACTTATAGTACAGCTATAGTGGTTGGTATTTCAGATATGGGGTAGGGAGTAGCGAGTGGCATGCCTTGATGAAGCAGATTCCTAGGATTCCTATATAGGAGGTATTATCGTGGATAATGACCTGTGCATACGTAGTAGTATTGGCCAGCGGCACCCACGCAACACGTATACATTTGTGTGTACGTATTAGTGGTCGCCGGTTTATCAGACGACGTCATTAATGCCTATGGGATATAAATAGGGTTTACTTCCCATTACGTCACAACTATCTGCCTCAATCAGAACCCTAGTAATTGAAGACATCCAGGTGCTTGTGATTTTGCGGCATCCTACAGTACAAAGCTATGTAATAGCTGGGGAGCAAAGCATGTCCAACTAGCTAGCAAGTCATCGTGCTAATGCAACATTCGATTTGTGTAGAGCAGCTATTTTACCTTATCTCGTTGCTCCCATTTTATCTCTCTCTCTATCTCTCCTCTATCTCGCTGTACCTGTTCCTTTATCTCGCTGTACCTGTTCCTATTGTGTCCAATTTTTGCACCCACATTATTTCGTTGCGTAGCCCCACGATCATGAGTAAGGTGCTCGCTCACGTTGGGAAGTGCGTGGAGGAAAAGTCGTTTGGTAGATGGCTCTCTTGTCTTGCACCTGTGGCAGTAGTACCATTCCGTCTCCTCCAGTGTCTCCAGTCCTGTGTAGCTTGCCAGACAGTCTGCAGACATCATCAGGATATTGTCAGGATACTACCTAGTAAACTACTCAGTCAATCCACGTTTCTAGATCTAGTAAATTATGCACTAATCGCTTGTATACTAACTAGTTGGGTATATTACGTAGCTATTAAACCAACAGCTCACCTAGTATACTAACTTCTGACACCAGTAAACTACTAACAACCTTACCTACCATACTACACCTCTGCTAGTAAACTAACACACTAACAGTAAACTACTAGTAAACTGCTAGTAAACTAACAGCTCACCTAGTATACTACAGTCCTGATGTCTCTCTCCCTTCCTCCGAGATAAGAAACGGTCAGGAATGTCCAGAGATACATCTAAGGAGGAAAAGGGCGAGAAGGTAAGGAGGGAGAAGGAAGAGGAGGCGAGGAAGAGGAGGCGAAGGAAGAGGAAGGTAAGGAGGGAGAAGGAAGAGGAGGAGAAGGAAGAGGAAGGTAAGGAGGGAGAAGGAAGAGGAGGCGAAGGAAGAGGAAGGTAAGGAGGTAGAAGAAGGAGGAGGGGAAGGAAAGAAGAGGGGAGGGCCAAACCTAGAATGGGGTCATGTTTCCGAGAATCGGTGCAGCAGGCTAAACATCGAACCTAGCAAAACAGAGAGCAAAGATTAACTCTGCCCAAGTAATTCATCTCTCCCTCCTCACGTCACTCTGGAGTGTCCCTCCAAATATCTGGGAGACAATGGTGGTATTGTCGGACCCAGCACCGAGGGAACCGGCTAGGAGCTCTGTATGCAGCTTGTCCAGCAGATAGCGCATGAACTCATGGGCATCCTGCTGTTGGTAACCTCTGCAGTTAGGGGGTGGGGCGGGATTTCAATATTACTCTAACATTAGTTCACATGATTAGAATGTGTATCGAGCAAGAAGGCACTGTGCTGCTGGTAGCTTCTGCTGTGACAAGTGGGGTAGATAAAGTCAATATTATTATTGTCGTATTATTGTTGACCAGTGTATAATTAGAATAGATTTTTAATATTACTCGGGAGTGGTGTATAATTAGAACGGAGGTATATATATTATAATATAGACCTGAACTGGGGTACGAGTCTCCAGATGATGGAGAAGAGTGAGTCGGGGGAGAGGGAGGAGTCTCCTTCCTGCCACAGGCCACACGACACCTTCCTCACCTCCTCCACCAGTGACCTACAGCCAGACCACATCTCTACTTCCTACACCTCTCTCATGTCATGGGCACAGTTACTGTAGGTTTGACTCTCTCCCGTGCATGTCAGACTGTGTGTCATAGATTTGAGCCCCCTTTAATTTTATTTCTGCTCCTATCCAACATACACTCAATGTTGCAATGAGAGAATTCTAAGTTGTGTTAGCTCTCCAGCTCTTTAATATGGAGTTGGAACAAGGACGATTGAACTGTTGGATGGAGAATGATTTATGATTAAGGTGCGTTTAGCGAAAGTGTGAAAATTTTGCCGAGTTGCCGTACAGTTTATTGTTTGTTGGCGACAATGAACAATTTAGCAAGCAATCTATATAATTCTGACATTCCATTCTTACAATTCTTCAAGAGAGGTCTTCCTCCGAGTGGGGTACTGGTGGGTGGAGCCTGCATCGGCAGGTCGAAGTGACGGCAGTTTGCTGAAGTAGACGTAGAACTGTTCTATATTGCTGAGGAGTGGGGAAAATTAATTTGCCGCTTGTTGTTCATGTGACTGTATATATACAATCTGAGTATAATAGTGTACCACGTCTGCCTCATTTCACAATTATGCACTATGTACCCAAGCATTTTGGGGGAGCTTGGGTAGCTACAGCTTACGGAGAAAAAGGAAGGGGAAGGACAAAGTGCGTGAGGAGCAGGTTTCATCAAAAGCCTCACACTGTCCTTCCACCTCCCTCCTATGTTGTATGTATATACCAGCATGCTGTACTCATTGCAACTAGTGAGGAAAGTTCAAGTTTCAACTTGTGCAATTCCCTTTTCGTTTTCGCCAGGAAGTGAGAACACACCTCAGAGACTGGAGTATGGAGTTCATGAAACACGTGTTTCCGAGATTCTGGAGACCCGTGGTCCTCACCGGACACGTGTCTCCATTCTGAGGGGAGGAGGAGGAGGAGGAGGATGGGGGAGGAGGGAGGAGGAGGAAGATGAGGAGGAGGGAGGAGGGAGGAGGAGGAAGAAGAGAAAAAGGAGGGGGTCAAAGTGCAGCAGTGATATTGTTAGGAGAGGCGTACTTGCGACACTACTAAAACATACAAACCATCAGAACAGACTAGTAATGCCTGACACCGTTATGAGAATAGATAAATCTCAGTGATCGCTGGCTGGTAATGAAAGCTACACTAGCATTATACTACATGGCTATATACCTCAAGTTTGATGAGTTTCCGAGGTGGGGAGGAATCCTCCTCCTCTTCCTCCGTGTCATTAGATGACGAGGGGGAGGAGTTTGACCTGGTTCAAAGGTCAAATGTCACACATGTGTAAGAGTAGGTCAAGTATGTATATAATAGGTTTAGAAGGAAACGAATGAGAGTGGGTCAAAGGTCAAATTCGAAGACAGCGTGTAGTGTAATTAAGGGGCTAACGTTCTCAGATTTCTCTGGATTTCAGTTCTCATTGATGATATGGTGTCGTTTTCATTGACCACAAACTCATCATGTCTGTAGCTGTGAGGGAGGGAGGGAGGGAGGGAGAGAGAGGAAGAGAAGGAGGAAGAGGGAGGAAGAGAAGGAGGAAGTACAGCATCCGTAATACAGTGAGTAAAACGAAGAAACCTTCAGCCATTTGACTGTTAGAAACCTTCAGCATTGAGACTCTCTTTATAAGGAGGTGTTTATTTTGAGGGTCAAATTTAAAAGTTCAACCGTATTTTTTTTACTCTCTTGTCTTTTCACAATATATAGAAAATGTATGAGAGTATATAGCCAGAGAAGGAATAATACCAGGTTGCAAGGCTCACCAGAAGACAGAGAGGCTCTGGTCCATACACAGCCAGTGACCGGGGTTCTCTTCAGCATGCCTCTTGGCATGACCGTTGACATATCTTGTACAAACAGAATGGAACTGTAATAATAATATCACTGGTAGCAGTATTCCATTCACATGCAATTTGACTCATGCATAGGTCTCAAGCTTCCAGAAGGAGTAGGTGGGACTATGAATATTAATAATCGGGATATCATGCTCAATATCGGGACATACGCGCGAGCAACCAAGTGCGCATGCGCGTATGGTTCAGTTCAGGACCCGCCCACTAGTATTTACCCGCGATCGCTCGCCAGTTACGAGTCTATGCTTGAAGCAACAGTATACGCAGTGCTAAAGAGTACCAGAGTCCAGTTGTCCATGATTCGTTGCTCTGCTGCAAAACGTTTCTTTTCACTACCGCGCAAGTACTTCCGAGAAATCGGGACAAGCAAGGTGATGGGCGGGACAAGGCTGTGAAAATCGGTACTGTCCCGCCTAAATCAGGACAGTTGAGAGTGCATGTTACGACAACTGTATATATACACACATCGAACCTGTACAACATAGAGTGATTGAAACCCCTACATAGTACACTGATATGAACTGAGACAGTAGACTGAGGACGAACAAGAGGAAAGACAACCAAATATGGTAATGAGGTCACAGAACAAATTCTAGGAATGTTGCTGCTGGGGACACGATGCAAAAAACAAAGCAATGTTGCCAGAAAAAAGGAATGTATATACAACGTGTTCTAAGAAAATCCGTTAGGTGACTAAAATCATGCTCATTGAAAAAAGCATGCAGTCTATGGTAGTGTTTTTCCAGTGGATCACATGCAGTTCCTCGAACCGGAATCTCGGTGAGACGAGTGTCTTTTCATAACTCTTCATTCAGCTGCAGCTAGCCTCAAAAGTGTTTTCAACACGCTGTTGGCCTAGAATCCTCCAGTAACAACAGTACATTGTGTTCTTCAACAGTCCGTGGGCCTAAACATTTTTGCAAGGAAGACGTTTCCAGGTGGCTAATAAAACGTGAAATTCGAGAAAGTTTTCTTCAATAAACGTTTCATGTGATACGGTCATTTGTGGGTATATACACCAGCTGAGCACTTAGCCAATGTTCAACCCCCCCCCCCCCCCCACGGGACAAAGCATATCCCCATAATGAACTATAATTACGCTCTCTGAAAAAGGAAAAAGGAATTTTGGCAAGCTCTGTGTGAATTGATATGTTCCCAGTTTATTTTTCAATACCGCAGAGAATGAAATACGCATTCGGTGCTCACCTTCCACAGTTGATCTCACCACACTTTAGACATATCCACGGTTTCTTGTGTGACCTACACACTGACCACGGAGGAAGAGAGGGAGAGTGGGGGGGGGGGATCGTGTGGAAGAGACCAGGAGGGATATGGAAGAGAGGGGCAAGGAGAATTATGACATGAGAACAGCTGGAGCAGAGAAACATGGTATAAGTAATGACAACACCTCTACCCTCTCTTCCTCGACCTGCATCGTTTGGACACCTTACACCCTTCTTTCCTAACCTTTCCTACTCTCTGTCAATAATTGTCAGTTCTACAATTACTATAATACTCTGCTCTAATACTGTTCCCAAAAGTTTGACTCATACTGCGTAATTAGCCAATAATAAAAATGTTTTTTCTACCTCATGTGAGTTATGTAGTTATACAGTACCCATTATCACACATCACATTTCCTATGGAGCACACGCTTACTCATGCAACATGGAGAAATTAGCAGCAGGACCACCTACCAATACAAGACCAGTTCTCTGGACGGACTTTGGCTATCATATCCGCAGAGAGGGTGGCTGCAGAGCTCACGTGAGAACACTCCATTCTGCTGCTGCTTGCTTGCTAACTAGTGTTTGTGTACAGAAGTGTGGGCAGCTCGCTGCTGCTGGAGCAAAATGCGGGGGATGGCGTTAATAAGAAACAGGATGACAACTGTGCGACAAGCCTAAAGGGTGCTGGGCCCATTTAGAGGGCTATTATAACTCACCAGTATTCCGTTTGAGAGATAACCAAACCGCAACCTTTGCCAGTATGCACCGAGAGACGCGAATTCAAATCGAACGCGATTTTGTTTTATCCCAAACGGAGCACACCTTCGGGTGTCGCCCGCTCAGCAGATGCAGAAGCCTCAAGGGAGTAGAGAGCGACGTGCCTGAGGCCCAAGATATGGGTCCCCTGCCTCCTTACACGGGAGACCAACCGGACGAAACCACTCTCTCTCCCAGCAAAAAGCTGATTCTGTTGGTTGTGGCGTTGGTCGTTTTCCATTTGATAGCAGTGGTAAGTAAGTAAGATTTCGCCATAGTTACGAACGCAGCTGATGTCTACTATCCAGACAGCTGCTGAGCGCGGCATAATCATGCCTCTTATTCAGTTAGCTAGCTAGCTACTGTATTTCTCCAATAGCCACTAAGCTGGGTTTTACTGGTTTACACCTACGGTTGATGTTATGGTTCGTGGGCTTCGTTGACGTTTGCATGCTGAAACTATAAGTATTTTTGATCCTAGGCTGTCACTGTTTTGTTATCTGTCTGTACACAGGTTTATGGAATAACAAGATTGTACAGAAACTCTGGAACTGCTGCAAACAGCAGAGTAGCAAAAGTTCGAAAGTCATAACAGTGCCTCTGGCGTTTGTATTCCTTTTTTTGTCTGACAAATCATATTATTTCAGCATGCGAGAAGGGTTCTGTCACAAAAGCTAGCAGCTCAGGTGGTCGAGGGGGTGGGGCTCGTTTGTATTCTAATATAGCGAAATTTAGAAATTATTTACGGTAAACGATTTAGATGCTGATCGAAGATCTTCCTTTCGTGATCCTATGAAACAAAGTGGCGACGGATGTGGTGTGTTGTGTCTTCAGTCTCTGTTTTATAGCGTTCCTCAGTAGCACATCGTAGAGATCTACAAGAAAGAGTTCTTCTGCCGAAGACACCGTCTTGTTCTCTTCAACTAGCTACTACCCTGTTCATCTGTATTCAATCCCACATCGTCCATGCAGTGGTGAGTATGGAGCATGCTACTGGCGTCTGCCTCTTTGTGTTCTGCCTGACAACCAGCAGAGACCTGGTTTTATTCGCGCCTGCTGTATACGTCGACTTGCTGGCGCATCAGAGCAAACGCTCTTACGAAAAGTTGGCTGCGTTTTGCTTTTGTCGGTCGTGGTCCAAAGCGTTCTGTGAGCGATAGAAGGGCTCCACTTAGTTCTGTGCACAACAGGCGGCTACGTAGCAGAACGGGCTCGCTTATAAACGTAACGAAGCGAGCTTGCAGCACCTTGTAGTATATGGCTAGCTAGCTCCAGCTCAGCGGCGAGTTTGCCCCGAGGCTGTAACTATAACTCGCCTGAGGAGATAATGCACCAGGCATTACTTGCAGACCGTTTTGCTGTTTGGAGCGGGTTTTTCGTGGGAAAATGCAAATCAATATTTGGTAGCTATACAAGCTGCTCCTTTGCACCTGTTACTGGCATTGCAAGGTGTTGAGCACAATTCATGGTGTTCATCCATGCAACTGTATCCAAACCCATTGACCACCTAACAACTGTTCCCTGCATGTCTATAAGCGTGTGAATCACTCTGTGGATGTTTACAGTCATTTTTAATAACCTCTCTAGTTACTTATCTTGAAAGCTAACGTTATGCTCTGTGCAGCGATCTACTCTTCAAACTTCAAAAATGTTGCATTTCCTCCTAACCTACAGCATTACTTTTTGTGCACATATCCTACTGCAATTTCCATAATGATACTAGAAATACTGATCGAAATCTTTGTAGCAATTCTTTGTGATGCATTGCTGCTAGCCTGAGACATATGGCTAAGTCTCATTACCTGTATTTCTCTGTGAGATGACCTATTAATAACACAGGATAGGTGATTAGAACCAGCTTCAGTCAGGATTCGACCTATGGCATATTAGGTAGAAAGGCAAAGGCACAACAAACAAGTCAACTACATCCAGGACAGCTCTTTTTTCCAAGGAAAAAAGAAGAGATGCCCTGGGTGACTTAATTCCTATTGCCCTATTTATGGAAAATTCTTTCCCTGCACATCCATGTTTAGAGTTGAGTTGACGCACAAGAGCAAATTTGTGCATCGTTTGTAGCAAGAGGTCAGGGGTGTGTTGTAAGACTAACACTGTAGCGATATCCCACAGGAACAGTCTTAACCGTGCAACGTCCATATTCTACCCTGTAGTTACTGCACTGCTTTATTCACCCTCTAGCTGCAATATAATATGTGTGCGTGTGTGTTGTGTGTGTATGTTGTGTGTGTATGGGGTCTTGTAGGCTGTTAGTGACTGCAAACATGCTACCAATACCCCTCCAATGAATTGCATTACCTCGAGCTGTCACGGAATAGGTTATAGTTCGTCACTAATTTCCTTACTTGGGACTTTATATTCCGCCTCCCGTTGGAAACCCTTTGAGCTTTGTTGCCATGGCAACGGCATATGTTCCCCAATTACGGCACGATGAAGCTGCCTGATTGGTTAAAGTGTGTTTAATTACCACACCTTGATATGGGGGGCACCCACGTGCAACTATTTAGTCCAGTTGCCCCCTAGTCTCTATTAATTTGCTGTGAATGGAGCCAGTGGGTTATTTCTATCAACCAAATATATCACAACGAATGTATGTAGCCCCCTTGACTTGAGAGATACTCACGTCTCTTGTTGAACTATGATAAAGGTGGACCTGATTATAGGACGTAGCATGCATACATAGCTCCACTTAAACTGAGACATACTTGATTCTCTTGTCGTTGAATTTTGATGAACGTGCATGGTTATAGGGGGTGTGGTCACGGTATCGTCTCTCTCTTTATTGGTGGAGGTTTTGGCTGTGTTATCGTGAGTCGGGTGTTGTGCACTTATGTATGGAATGATGGTTTGAGATGTGGGATTTTGAGACGGACAGGACGCCGACGGCTTTGTGTCTACTTGGCCACAGATGGTATGGAGAAGAGCTGTATGGGAGATGATAGTGGGCTGTGCAGTATGTGAGAGGGGGGGGGAGGCGTGGGGAAGAGTCGCATGAAGCAAACAGACCTCTTTATATTTAGTTCACCTCTCTGCCAAATGGCGTCCAGACTTCTCACTTAGCTGTATTTTGTCTAAGACTGGGACTGGAGTGGGCTAATTATACGGTTACAATGAGGCGTGTATATGGCTGTCTCCTATTCATGTGCTGGGGGAGGTCCAAACCCATCACCTGGGTATATATTATTGGCGTGCACTTATTCCTAGACAGCAGTGGTGTATAATTGCATACAGGAATGTCTTTGTGGGCCCAGCCCTGTCCAATGCCACTCTCCATATATCGATGTTCTCACAAACCGTATAATACCCTGATGCTGAATAATATTGTCAAGGCGTGCATCAACACACACAAACACACACGCACAGAGTATAGTAATCAGTGATGTGTACACACATACTGTGTATACATAATGTATGAGTGGCTTAAAAATGAATTTATCGCACTGTGTGCTTGCTTGGTTGTGAATCTAATTGGAGGTGTCTGGGGACGCGCTAGCTGCACTGCCTTACTTGGAGCACCTTAGTTGCGAGGGGAGAGTGATTGAAATGCCGCGAGTGGAATTCCGTGCCTTCCCGGGTGTTTTTGGGAGGGACTTCTCGGAGTCTGTCGTTCTGTTTGCCCTCTCTGTGTTTGGGTGTGGGTCCCCGATGTCTGTCTGTCTGTCTGTCTGCGTGCGTGCGTTGCTGTGTGTGTGGGACGGCGTTTGTGTTATTCCTGGTTCTGTTTGCCCTCTCTGTGTCTGGGTGTGGGTCCCCGATGTCTGTCTGTCTGTCTGCGTGCGTGCGTTGCTGTGTGTGTGGGACGGCGTTTGTGTTATTCCTGGTTGAAATGATTTACTTTCCAAGTCTGTCACCATGCATGTGTGGCCCTTCATTGAACGACAGAAAATGGATTTTGAGACCAGGAAAAGGTAAAGGTTTATGATTGGGGTGATATGTGACCCTCCTATTTGCAAATTGCCCAATAGCGCGCACCATTTGCAAATTTCAAATTTGAATGGGCCTTGCATGCGTCTCTTTGCTCGTATGACTCGGATCACTTTGTAGCTTGTCGCACACAGAGATTTAGCCTGTGGATATCTGTCGTAATGGCTCGTCTCGTCACCATAGTAACGTGACGTGTGTCTCCATGAGTTTTGCTTATTCACAGTCTCAGGCTCTCTTCCTACGTCTTTGTCACACAACTTTTATTTTTTCGCGAGAATGATCTTTTCATTGAAACTCTCGTTCTTTTAGAATCCACTTACACTGTGTGTGTGTGTGTGTGTGTTGGGCCTCCTACATGGTGGATATGTAGGTGTGCCTCTATCTGGGCCTCCTACATGGTGGATATGTAGGTGTGCCTCTATCTATGTGTGTGTGTGTGGTTGGGCCTCCTACATGGTGGATATGTAGGTGTGCCTCTATCTATGTGTGTGTGTGTGTTGGGCCTCCTACATGGTGGATATGTAGGTGTGCCTCTATCTGGGCCTCCTACATGGTGGATATGTAGGTGTGCCTCTATCTATGTGTGTGTGTGTGTGTTGGGCCTCCTACATGGTGGATATGTAGGTGTGCCTCTATCTATGTGTGTGTGTGTGTGTTGGGCCTCCTACATGGTGGATATGTAGGTGTGCCTCCTACATGGTGGATGTGTAGGTGTGCCTCTATCATGGTGGATGTGTAGGTGTGCCTCTATCTATGCCAGCTACTATACTGATAGTATAATAATACGAGGAGGCATGTAGGGATTTGGGCATTATTGCCTTTTAGCTGACACATTATTGGCGAGTGAAGCAAGCCTACCTAGTAGCTAGTCGCCGGAAATACGCAGTTTCCCATCCAACAATGATAACGCAGTCACATGACTCAGCCTGCATCACAAACTTGACACATACGGAGAAGTTCAAAGATCCCTCTCTCTCTCTCTATCTATTGACTCTGCCTGTCAATTATTATGCGTATCTACGTGTGTGACCATTTGAACCAATGTGTTTCATTCAGCTCATGTTTCATTTACACACACGCACGTGCAGACACTGTCTACAGATGCTGGCTCTACATACCACAAACCTCGCTCCAGGCCTGACCATGCAACCAGCCAACCCCCACAGACCCCACTCCACACCCACAGCCACAAACAACAGGCCCCTAATTGCAGGGAGTTACCCCCAGATAATCCCCATGGCAACCATCCCGCAGTCGCAGTTCCTAATACGCGGCGGGTACACCCTCTTTCCTCCCCTCGCCTCGCCGCTCACAACCGTGAACATGGAAGGAGCTTCGTTCAGTGGTCTGACCCCACTCCGCCCCATTGGCGGACTAACACGACCAATAACGGCGATTCCCTACTACTCACCGACCGAAATCTACCACCAGAGTGGTGGTAGGAGGACCAACAGTGCCACCGCCGAGGAGACCACACCAGGTAACCCTGTACTACAGCAGAACCGCGGGACCACCACCGCTAGCCTGCCTGCCTCTAGAGAGCGTGGGAGTCAGACCCTCCCACCACCCTCCTCCCCTCCTCCCCTCACCTCCCTCACACCGTCACGTTCTCCCAGTGCCAGCTGCAGCGAAATGGGCCTCGGGGCTCGTCAAACGAGTTTGCCAAACTCGCTTGACCTGTCGGCCTCTTCCACGAGGTCTCTCAGCCCCGCCCAGAGTATCCTGACCACGCCCACCGACCACACTCCTCAGACCACCGTCCCCCGACTAATTACGGTTCCAAAATCCCCAATGGATCCTGGGCACCACCACTTATCATCAACAGCACCCACCCCCACTGTTTCTGACGTGAAGAGAGAGCTTTCCGGAGGGGCAAATGACGACGACGCTTACACCTGTAGTCGGCCGAAATCAGCCGACGCGGTTGCTAAGGATACGTCCGTGTTTGGGGTAAACCCCTACCCAATTAACGCCCTGATTGATGCGCCAGCGTCGTTGGGGCGCGGCTCTCGGACTTCGTCCCTCTCTAGTTCGATCTCGTCGTTCAGATTTGGAGGAAGTCTGAACAAGATCTGGGCCTCGCAGCTCTCTCTGTCCAACAGGGTCAACATGAAGAGCACGGGGTGAGAAAAAACTCTTTACTCTCTCCCTCCCTCTCTCCCCCTCTCTCCCTCTCTCCCTCCCTCCCTCCCTCCCCTCCCTTCTTTTTCTCCCTTTCCTCTCCCCCTCATTCAGAGCAAATGCCACTTCTCTTTCTCTCCCTCAATTCTTTCTCCCCTTTCCCCCTTCTCTCTCTCCCTTCTCTCGCTCCCTTCTTTCCCTCTCCCACTCCTCCGTCCCCTCGTCTCTTAGAATCCCGCATGCACACATCAACAACGCAAGTCACATATGTATTCATGGTCAATGCTAATTGGTAAGTACACTGAGTAGGTCATCAATCTTATCACACTTGTGATAGAGTGATGTGCTATTAACACGGAGGGTGCGTTTTGTATGCACGAATGGACCTCTTTTATTGACTCCCAACATTGTCATCTTCATTTGGATCCTAACCGCATTTGGCCGAGAGTTGTCTACAGTGTCACAAGTACAAACACGGAAAACTATAACGACAGGCGGGCGGCAGAAGCAAATTTAACGCCCACGCCAAGAAATCTCGAAATGCCTTGATATCAGTTAAAGTATAGGGCCCCGCTGATCAGGAACAAACAGCTCGACATCAAAGTATCACGTTCTGCTCTATGTGGGACTGGCATTCTTGCATTGATGACTTTCCCGGTGAATGATCGAAACGCCAAAAGCAAACCAACGCATCAGGCCTTTTGGCATATAACGCCTCTCCACACTATTCCCAAGTGGGATTAACCAATGCCAGGGCCGTACCAGATACCGCTTCACCTGGGGTAAAAAGCCCTGGCAAATAATCTTTAGGTCCTTCTCCTAGGTTAATGTGGGTGGGCACTATTACATCGACTTGGTGTAGGGACGCTGTTTCTTTTGGCATTCTTCTTTTGTGTTAATTGCCCCAGATAAGCTGCGATCATCGGGGATGTTACTTGTCTTATATCAAGCCCTCAAAGGAAGCCGCAGACACCGCCCATTGGTCCCCTCATGCCCTAGAAGTCCTTTTATGTCTGTTTTTAGCCTGTCGCCCAACACATGGCCGCCATGCCTCAAGAGTGTTTCTCAGGTGTGAGTAAGTTCCCTTTTTTAAGTGGTTTGTGATGTCGACTGATGGCCGGGAATTGTGGTGATGTCTGAGAATTCACTGGTTTTGGTACTCCATCAAGAAAGGAGTGGAACTTTAGTAGCTCTGACAACTCTGATTTCTTATGTGTATATCCAAGCCTTGGTTTAATTAGCGGTAGGAATCATGTCCGGCCAAAGAAACCGCAGGGCGCCTGAACTAGTGCCCTGGGGCCCTAAATCCCTTTATTTTCTTTTTTAGCCAGTCCTTCACGACCAATGGCGCCAACCCCCTTAGCGGTCCTTTCTTTCCTTTTTTTAGACGGCATTTATCGACGCGCGAGGTATGCGTAGATGGTTTTTATGTGGTTTGATCGTACCGTCTTGTCCCTTAGATTTTTTCTGCTATGGCTTAAAACCTGATGAACCATCAGTTTTGAACCTTTTACCTTTGTCCAGTCTGGTTTTCTTTGTAACCCAGCCTAGTTCCTTTTGCTCCATTTTGCAAGAGAGAAAAGAATGTTTGTGTGTGGATAATTAATGAGTCCCCTGCTGCTAAGCAGGACCAGCAGCTTTCTGTGCAACATCTTTATTGGGGGAGCAGTGGTGCCACATCTTCTGTAGTTTTCGCCGAGCGCAGTCGTCGTTCATGAGCACGTTAGCTGTGTGTTGGGACTGATCTATGGTGCACGCTGACAGCGGCACATGCATAGACCTTCCGTTGTACGAAGCGTGTGTGTTTTTGCCGAATGTGGCGAATATTTCGCACTGTCGGCCTGTACCTTATACTGCGCATCTAAGGGCCGCCCTTGTGCTTGTTTCCATTGAAAAATAGTCCATAATTACTGTGCTTGACTTTGGTAAGTGTTTTTGTACTTAAAGATGAAGAGTGCGGAGATGTACTTGGGTGTCCACTTTTCCCTTTTTTGTGCATGCCTCATTATTGTGCGTTTAATTGCCAAGAGATGCCAAGCAATACGTAGCCACGACTTATGTATGTGTGGTACCACTTAGAAAACGTGTATCACTAAATTGCATCGTGTTACGCTGAATCGAGGATCGACCTCTGACCAACAAACTAGCATCGAGTTGCATTTTGGCGAGCTTCGTTTTTTTGCTATGTACAGATGGTACACAAGTGCACCCGATAGCATGTGTTGCCGCGCTATGGAGCACTTTTGTAAACTCGCAATGTGTAAACGTATCTGTTTATAACCTATAGTGAACTATGAGCGCGAATCTCGCTTCTTGTGAGCGTGTAGTGTGCGTGTGTGGGTGGTGTGTGTGCGGCGTGTGCGAGTGTGTGTGTGTGCGTGTGTGTGTGTGCGCGTGTGTGGTGTGTGTGTGTGTGTGTGCC